CGCGGTGCGTCGGTAAATATGGCCCATGCATCTTTACCTTTCAGTGAAAGTTCATGTTCCCACGCACGCCCATTCACGCACCTTCTCGTCTGGCCGATATAAGTCTTGCCGCAGGATGGCGCAAATTCATACACTACCCTGATGGCACATTTTGTGTACGTGTTGGCGTGCTTCTGTTGTTATGCTTTTGTCCCGCGGCCTACGTTGCCTTGCCTCGTGTTACTTTCGGGCCCATATTTTTCTATTCATCATGTACCAATTCGCACGGCTAAAGTGGAAGCCGTGGTGCCTCTACGCACGGCTAAGTACGGCTGCGCACGACCGTAGGATGAGCCATTATATTGGTACCCGCTAAAACAGGAACTGTAAGACTGCATTGACAAAACTAGCAAAAAAAGAAAACAAAATAATGCCGAGTCAGCGATTCCTCTGCTATGAATTGATTTACTTCGACAGGTGCATGCACTGACATTTGTCACAGTGAAGGTAATACACTCAGAGTTTCAATTTATGTGGTAATTTTTCATGAGCCTGAGGCAATGACAAAAGAATAAAGAAGAAAAATCTTTAACGGTCGCTATTTTGAAAGACTTTGAAGAAATCTTGGTTCTCTAAATTAGGAAGATGGCTACATTTTGAACAGTATAATGCAGATTGAATGTGCATGAATATTGCAATAGAGGAGGCGGTAACAAATTCAGTATGTGACTGCCCTGTGACCCATAGTCAAAATCAACGTAAACACGAGTGTGCGAGTAGCGGAAAAACTGAATCGAATAAGATGATGGTAGTGATGATGAATTATCGTTATTCATGTCAATAGATAAAACACTCAGAGTAAACTTCGTGCCACCCGGCTTAGTTCCACCTACGGACCTAAATAATGCAACTGAACCAGAAACCAGCAGCAAAAACGAACGCACGTTTCGCATTATTTATGATGAATTTATTGTCGAAATTCCAACTATAGTCGGCGACAACTTTTCTTGGCGTTGAAGGCAGAGCTACGGGGGCGGAGCTTCTGCACATGGAGCACTACGCGAGGTAGTCCGATTTGGCACGCGTCTTATAAACGTCGTGGAAAATGACGGGGGCGCACCATCAGCGTTTCATGTAGACGCAGACGCCGTGTTTGATGTACACGTAAAAAGGCGGGACTTTTTCGCGCGTTCAAAAACGCGAAGTCCCAACGTATAAATCAAAAGAAATACGATTTATTTTATTGATCTGTGGTGTTTAACGTCCCAAAATCACCATATGATTATAAGAGACGCCGTAGTGGAGGGCTCCGGAAATTTTGACCACCGGGGGTTCTTTAACGGGCACCCAAATCTGAGGACACGGGTCTACACCATTTCCGCCTTCATAGGATCAAAGGAAATACGAATATCCTAATGGTGTGAGCTGCGTACTGTCTCAAATTGCTCCACGTAGAAAATAAAGTAGGAACTTTTATATTTCAAGGTTGAAAATATGGGCGCCATTGTGGAACTATACATTCACTGGTAGTAGGATGCGCGCGATTGGGTTCTGTAGCCAACGCTCCAATGCCAAGAAAAGTTGAACCCAACGTTGAACTCATCTAAAACAACAAAAGAGTTTCTAACAGAACTGACATATTACTCTGCGCTAAAAAGAGAAGGATTTATTTATTTTCGTGGCGTTCCTTTAACTCTCTCTCTCTCCTCGTCCTCTGCTTGCCTGCCAGCGTATGTGTCACCGAGTGTTGCGGGCGGCATACCAAATGAAGAGTTGCTGCTCCCGGAAATTCTCGGCGAGGTCGGCTACAGAAACATGATCATCGGAAAATGGTTGGTACAACGAGCCAGCCAGCACCTGTCAGTACTTGTAAGGCTTCAGTACGTGATTGCCATGGACAAACTGTTCGTGAAATTATATAATTGTGTGGCTTCCGAGCACGGCAACCTTTACATACACTTCACGAAAAGAGCAAGTGGCGATCGGTCAGTCTGTATACCCTATGAACGAACAGATATTTATAAAACAGTGACGGGGCCCGTCAGCGCAGTACTATCGTTGAAGTGAGGGGGCCTGTCACCGTATAGTGAAATCGTAACAGTGACGGGGCCCGTCATAATAGCGATGCAGCTATAGCGGTGGCCCCGTCATCGTAAAGCAATGACTACGGTGAGGAAGCCCGTCACCGCAGTTTAATGCTAAAAATGAGGGGGCCCGTTATAATCTATTATACGCCGTAAATTTGTATTCGTTTGAGATGCCACTGTCTATAGCTGTTCTGCTGGCCGCAGTTGCATGTGGAAGCGGTCGTGACGTAGGTCGTAAGTTTGAATTCCCGTTTTCGAATGTTTTACTCCACCCTCCACCCCCCATTTTTTGTCCAAGGTAATGCTGCAAGAAATTCATGTCGCTGTCTGCGGTGGTTGTTAGACAGCCCTATCATGTGAATTTCGTGGCGGAGTGTCGTTGGTGTCCGACTTCAGTGCGGATCGCGCTCTTTTTCATTTTGTGCTCTCAGTATATTGTTTCAAGTATTGTTACTTGTTTTTAAATGATAATCGTGTTCATTCATCGGGAATATAACTATCAACTTTCTTTTACGTTCAACGTGGAATGAAGACCTTTCCCGATGATTTACGATTGATACTGCGCTGGGTGAGCAGATTGCGTTGTATGCTTGCGAATTCACTTTAGTAAAGCATTGAACAACCACTTTCGGTGGGGTTTCCGTTCCTTGGCATTGATACCGTAGCTTCAACTAATACTTTGTTACACATCACGTGATGTTCCCAAATCAATCCGTTCCGCGTATTTTTCGTGTCTCTGTATAAAGGCGACATATGAGCTAATGCCAAACGTTGTGCAGGTCAGCATATAGAATGTGTTCCAACCCTGAGGGCTGTGTAGTTGAACAGTATGTTTAAGTAAGTCCCAAAACCACAATACACATGACTACAATACATGTACCTCTGACTGCGGGCCCACTTCGCTTGAAATCGTGCACACAGACTTATCCATGTGATCGAATCGGCTCCTTCAAACAAGGGGATATGCACGTCGTTTTCGTCCCATGTATCTGTTATTGCTACGCAAACATAGATAGACATTAGAGCTCTCTGCGGTGCAGTAAATACTCACACGGTGGTGTGCTCTCTGTAGCTGTCTTCCCATCCTGAGACGACGCTTGTCCTGCCGGAGCGAAACGTGTCCCATATCATTCTCGGCGATTAAAATGCGAGCGCGCCGAAGTCGTGGGTGGGACCGGTCACCTGGATGCTTTAATTTGTAAGTGCTGGCTGGTGCGGCTGCGGGATTGGGTAAACCACAAGGTGTGACTGAGTCGATGAAACGAATACGCAAGAATGAACGTGCATTTAGCAGTGATCTAGCAGCGTCGATGTATACTACGATGAGGGAAGGTAACCGTAGAGAGCTTGAATGCAGCCGCATCGCGCAGCAGTAAAGAAAAACGTCTCCAATCAGTTCAGAAAGAGCACGAACAGCAGCACTATGCCAAGCGTTGTTGAAACAGGCCACCTCATGATTGCATCTCACGGCGCTGTATTAATTGCCTCGCAGCGGTAGTATCTGCAGTGCACGTGCTTTGAATGGTGGTGGTGAAAATTCGCTACACTTGCAGTACATGCTGTGGATTTCGCGGTGGGGGGAGCTCAGACCAGGGCAGCTGCCACTCAGCGAGCCGGGTCCGTCAGCGAGAACCTCGACTCAGCTGATGGTTCTCGCTGGCCAGCAGCTCCTCCCATCGCTACACTTTAGGATGCTGCCTTTAAAATAGGCAACATTACTCCAAACAACATTGAAAGCATAAAAAAAAGAGAAAAGTTCAGTCAGAGCAACTAAAACTAAAGTCGCACACCAATAACATACCCACTGCGCCTCGAAAAATCAACGCTGTAGGGCTAACAACCGGCATGAACAGCGACGTGATTCTCTTGCAGAAAAAAAAGCAAAATTATGACTTCTTGAAAGCAGCAACGCCAGTATTGACGCATTACTGTAAAAAATTAAAAATAACTAAACAGGATTGGAACTGTCGACATGTGGCACGACCGTATCCCAAAGTGCGCGTCAACCTACTGCACCACCAGAACAGCTAGGCGGTGGCGTCTAAAGCGACTACAAATTTACGGCAACGGGCCCCTCCTCATTTTTACCATTACACTACGGTGACGGGCCCCCCTCACCGTAGTCATTGCTTTATGGTGACGGGATCCGTCGCTTTAGCTGCATCGGTATTATGACGGGCCCCGTCACTGTTACGATTTCAATACGGTGACGGGCCCCGTCCCTATAGTCACTGCCTATTTATAATCTACGATAGTTGAAGGAAGGACAGTAAAAAAAAAAAGTAACAGCGTGTTTATTCATTCATTTAGGAATAACTTGTAGGCTTTATCTGAGGTAAATGGTTGATTTGAAGTTTACAATTGCACCTATATGTGAAGGGATTTAAATAGACAGGAAGTCACAAACCCAAGCATCCTAGCAGAATCAGCAAAGGAATGCAATGAGCAGCGAAAATAATCTCGCTAACGTACTTCAAAAGGTCAGAAAATATTTTATAAACATACGTATAACAAGAAGAATAGAGCGACAAAGGTGATTTGAAACATATCTAATCAGGGCGAAAAAAAAAAAAAAACGCGATGCTGGTATGGACTTTTTCACTGTTTACAAACACAGGCCCTGAATGACATCAAGTTTTGTCCACCGATTTGCTTTAATAGCATTAATGGACAACAGGAGCTTTAGAATATAAACCGTTGATCTTTTTTTACAGTTTCCATCCTCTATTTGGCAAAATATATTAAAATAAATCTTCCTTTGAGCTACAAAACAATGATACGCGATGTCTTTGAACTGTATACGCACGTTCCTTTTATGTGAGAAACGAAAGAGAGACTTTCCTTACTCTTGCAAAGAACACTTGAAAACGTGCTTTCAGTTTCAACGTTAGGAGTTGATAATTGAGGTGACAGGAAAGTGGTTTGGGGTACAATGCTTGAAACCTTGAAAGCGTCTATAACGGTTATGATGCTCGACTCTCGACTCGAAGCTCGCATGTTGAAATCATGGTCGCCGTGGCTGCATTTCAAATGAGCTGAAATGCTTGAGCCCCGTGTTCTTACATTTTAGGTGCACATTAAAAAAAAACGCCAGGCCTGCGCGGAATGTGCAGCACTGTCACAGCGAAAGCTGGAAGAGTGGCCTTTCAGATGGACGAGACCAGGAGACGTACATGACACGATGTGTCTCTGTTTCGGGGACGGTTTTTTCGGTCTGACTTAAAAGAAACACTTATATTCGTCCTGTGTTTCTCGTCTGTATGAGATCTCGTTAATGATGAAGATAGAAGCTGTTCAAGATTGATCAGCACGTTACATCTTATCAAATGACCATCGAACAAGTGTATCTGGCATAGAAATTAAACTTGCGTCATTTGTCACAAGGGCGTAGCAAAGGCGGATGATTGGGGGGGGGGGGGAGGGAGGGGTCTGCCCTATAAGTTCAAACTTCCCCTCTAAATTTTTTAACCTTACTTGCTTATATATACACGCACACATATAAATATAAAGAACGCACAAACATAGCCCCCCCCCCCTTAGAAAAACTTTCCAGCATTTCTGGTTACGCTCCTGATTTGTCATGCACAGAAATCTGGTACGCATTGCATCTTCCAGAAAATATACTATCAAGATTACATGCCGAAATAGCTTTCACTATCTTTCCTGTGGTCTTGCCTAAATCACAATAACAAAGTACACAATTCTTAAAGTGACACAACAACGAACTCTCATCCTTTCCTTCGAAAACGTTCCGTGATATAACTCGTCACCAATACTAACACTCACACATCCCGCAAAGTATTAACTTTGTAAATCTAATTTCATGTGATGCATACGTTGCGCAATCGATTTTATTTTGTATGTTTTTCTGTGTATTCATTGTATACGTTTCTGTTAAAATGTACCTTGTACTTTTTTATATTCTTCAATTTCCGTGTCTATACATAGTATACATATAGTGTGCTTTAGCTGGAATTGCGATGTCTTCTTTTCATTATTTTTCTGCCCCTCTCCTCTACAATGCTGTAAAGCCCTGCAAATAAAATAAATAAATAAATATTTCAGCGTATACTTCTTGCGCTAATTATAAACGTCTCAGGTCTGCAATTCGCATCAACTAATCTCAAGCACCAAATATTCTGACAGACATAATTCATATAATCTTTTATAAGACTAACATCTTCATTTTATTTTACCGCTTTATTTGGTCAATTCTCTCAATTTTTGTCGTTAGTTGGTGCGAATGTATTGGTGTATAAATTGAGAATGGACCTTCGCATCCACTGGTAATAAGCGTGTTAGTCTGAAGAAACAAAACATTTAAAGGAAGATGCGAGTCTAAAAACGCTAGGTTTTTTTTTTTTCAAAATTACACATTTTTTGTTTTTATTTGCTTTCACAAGTTTACTTTCTCTACTTTCACTACAAAAAAAAAACTGAACACTGTAATTAAACGTGAAGTAGCTTTAAATTGCTTTTAAAGAGAACAGGGTGGCTACTAAAAACTAAAAAGAGCTCGTTTTCTACAGTCCCCTGGAAATTGTCACCTGGTTGAGAAGCTCACTAAAGCCACATGCTCAAAATAACCATGATAGCGAAACTCTTATGATGAAAGAAATCATCATATAAGGAACATCTTTTCCGCATAGATGAGCTTTCATGTATGCTTTCAAAATGCGTTTTTCCAAAGATCCATTTTTGGGCAACTTCTTGAGTTTGGACATCATGATTATGGTACTTCTGATAACCCGATCAGAATGAAAATTTCCCCACGTTTTCCTTAATGTGTGAAGGGTGTAGGTATCTCTTTTCAAACTTAATATCGCCTGTTATAATTATTACGAACCTAAAGTAAGCAATCTTTATACGCCGAGGGTTTTAAGAACTCTCACATAACAATTTTTCTTGAAAATAAATATTTTATACCATATTTCTTGATAACTATTTACATTCTACAATCAATATGAATTAGTATGATTCATTAGTGGTTGAGAATTATGAAAGATAAGTGGCATAAAAAGTTTGTCCAATACGAACTATACACATTGTCATGGCACAAAACAAAAACTTTGCAACCTACTATAAAACTAATTATATATTTGAAATAAGCATAAGTTCCTGTATATACAGCAGATATTTCATTGCCCTAGGCGACAGATTAACGCACTTTTCCTTCCCAATCACATCTTTCCTTAAGAGACTGGATTCGCACTTGGGCCAATTTTGCGTTTGTGCTTCCTTGTAAATCACTGCACCTCTGCAGGAAGAGCGAAAGTTCGCCAATCCTGAATCTGAACTGCTCTTGCACCACATATTGGCACAGTAAAGCTGCACGGCGTGCTGTTGTACTATAGCAAACTAGCAGCATCGTGACGGGCGGTTCCCTTGAACTGGTGACGCGCAGGCATCTGGGTCACGAACCGGAGTTCCTGCCACTACGTCACGGATTCCACGAGTTCTTCGGCTCACCGTCGACGCATCCTGGGCCGTTCGACGATGTGACGCAGCCAAACATCCCAGTCTACAGAGACGACCACATGATTGGCAGGCAAGTCGCGAGAAATAGAACATCATGCGTACGTTGCACGACGCGCAGCAGAGCACGCAAACGACGAAGAACTGTATTGCAATGTTCGAAAGATCAAGTCCGTTTGGTTCCTGCACATTTATCGGCGTTTTCTTCTTTTCGCTGGAAGCCCATTGTTGGTGCCGTGCAAGGAAGGGAAAGTCATTTCCTCTGGCTCTTTTTAGTGTGTTTCTCTTCATCATTCAGTCCTCATAACCCTCATCGCAGTCTCGTTTTGCCGTGCGCGCACCTTCACCTTCTGCATTCGCACCAAGCAACTGTCTCTGGACGTCAACTTTGGAGTTGTGTGGAACGACAAAATTTATTGGGCAGCCCTCCACCTTGGTAACGTGCCTTAATGTCAGACACGGTATTATGAAATTCGTATTACCGTTCTTTCTTAAGGCCTGAGCTTAAAGCCTGAACTTGCTGCAAATATGGCCTGTCAGTAAGTCCTGCACTCCGAGTGCAGTGTAGCTGGAACCGTACGAATCTTTTGAGGTGACAAGATGATCGCTGATGGGAATCACATTTACTTGGGCAATAAGCTTTGACTGTAGATGTGAATATACATGCAGCTTTTGTATTTCACTGAAAATAACATTAAATTATAAGGCGACCACGCCCACAAGTTGCACCACTTGCCTTCTAAATGCAGGCAGTGGCATTACAAATGTTTCGTTACGATGATCAGTATATTGATATCAGTAGTTGTACTCAAGCTCTTAAAAACTCATTTAAATTCAAAATAAAGAAATAACCGGTAATTGATACTTCCAAACAAGAGCTTCCCTCATTTGAATATTCTCCCGACTGGCACTATTGTGAAATGTGTAATATAGCACGGTGCACAACCCCTAAACAGTCAGTTGATTATAGTAATGATTGAGACCAAAGGCGCAATGAGAAATGTTTTTAGGCGGGTGTGGGGGTTGATTTCTTGACTTCGAAGGGGCAACCCTTTGAAATGATAATTTTCTGTCGAAAAAAATGGGGTGTCTGTGTGTTATCCGTGGCTACACCCCTGATTGAGACTAAATGCCACTATGCTACTGCTGTGCACTGGTAGGCAGTGGTAGGCAGTGGACGCTATGATGAATGGGGGACGTGGCCTGGCTCATACGCCATGTTTATTTCATCCTCACTTCTTCCTCCTCTACTTCTCCTAACCATCCCTGCCTTCTTACGTCACAGAATTCCCCCTCCCCCCGAAAGATGGCACCGGTTACAAGCTACAACAAATTGCAGAGAATAAACAAAATAATGGCCAAATTCACAGTTTCACGTCCCGACAGAGTTTCAGAATCTCACTAAATCTTCAAGGCCGAGGGAGCTGTCCGGCGATTTTTATGACGACTCTGGTGGACGAGCTACCCCGCCGCGGTGGTCTAGTGGCTAAGGTTCTCGGCTGCTGACCCGCAGGTCGCGGGTTCAAATCCCGGCTGCGGCGGCTGCATTTCCGATGGAGGCAGAAATATCGTAGGCCCGTGTGCTCAGATTTGGGTGCACGTTAAAGAACCCCAGGTGGTCAAAATTTCCGGAGCCCTCCACTATGGCGTCTCTCATAATCATATGGTGGTTTTGGGACGTTAAACCCCACAAATCAATCTGGTGGACGAGCTTGACTGTTGCGTTCCGGACAGAGTGGGCTACACATGAACACTGACAATACTGCTTGAACTGTTCTGGGGACTGAGCAAGGTTGGAACGCATTGTTGCATCGGCAGCTCGTATGTCGTCGGGGTTGTATTTCTTGTCGTGAATGGTGCAATCCCGGTGCTTCTTGCTTTCGTGCTTTTTGACAGACCGTGACGAAGTGCCTGAGTGTTTGCGGTGTGCAAGCAGTGCTTTTGCGTCTTTCTCGGCGTTTTCTGTGGTGGTGCAGTCGGTGTAATAGCAGGTGCAGGGAGTGTTTCTGGTGACTTTTCTTTGTGCGAAAGTGCCTGACATCTTGAATTGGTCTTTGGTTTAGAGATCTTATTTTCCGATGTTCTTTTATTGGCGAGTGCGATTCGTCGTTTTCGAATATGTGTATCAAGTAAAACTTAAATGCCTCACCGGAGAGGTAGTCAGTGAAGTTGGTGATCATTTCCCGTTCCGACCATGATGCAGCGACGGCATGGAGCTCGAACAGGTTGAACCAGTCCTGCACGGGTCTGTCGTCCGCTGATCCGGTGTACTTAGGGATGTCAAGGTCTTCTAACGCTGCTGTCATGATGCTTGGTGGTCTTGGTGGTCCGCGTTTGGTCACTGCGTCTCGCTGAGGTCTTCGATGATGATGGCCGGGCGATGAAGTGGTTGCGAGGTCTTCATCCTGTCGACTTGGTGTAACGGATGAGACATGGCGTCAGTCAGAACACCAGTTTATTCTGATTCGTCTTCCTCATCTTCCTTCCCCACATTCACCTGTGAAGCGTCACACACACACACACACACACACACACACACACACACACACACACACACACACACACACACACACACACACACACACACACACACACACACACACACACACACACACACACACACACACATATATATATATATATATATATATATATATATATATATATATATATATATATATATATATATATATATATATATATATAATATATATATATATATATATATATATCACTTCCGACAAATCCAGGCCATCGCAATCGCAATCAACTTCGAAAAAAATGCTCTAAATGAACATTGTTACATGATGTGAAATCTTTAATTATCTCTCTTCCCGATGTGCTGCGCACTGAGCGGATCAGTTCGCTGTTGTGTTCCTACCACTTTGTTGTTCATTCGAGCTTTCGTGACGATCGTAAGCAGCGAATCTCCACAAACTTGCTGGTCCTATATAGTCAACTTGCGTGTTAGGCTTTTATATTATTGACCTCATTACTGTATACATGCTGCCCGAAAGGGAGTGAGAGTTACTGAGGAACCAAGCTGCCGTCGTGTTTCATTTTTCAATTAGGCCACGCCGATGCAAATTGATTGCTAGCCTCTGCGGCCTCAACCTGACGGGTATGGGCTGTATGGAACGCTTGTCAACTGTAACTTGGATGTATGTTGAACGATGTTTTTAGCATTGGTCTTTCGTAGCCTCAGTTTCGCTTTAGGTGGGAAAAATCTATCAATAAATCAATCAATTAAAATTTGCATCATCGTGCTAAGTAGGGCCAAGAGCAGCAAATTGTGCAGTGAAATTTCCTATTGGTCAACGTGGCTTTTTACGTTCATGTGGCCCGCTGGCACGCCTTTCTGTTCTATACGTATACTCTGCGTGCCACTGCAAATGAAACAGATGGTTCATTCTGGTGTTTCAGGTACTACGAGGACTTCGATATAGACGTGAAAACAGCGATGTCCAACATTACAACCATGTACACTGAGGTACGTGCGAAGAAACAGTTTTTGAATTAGACGCAATTCACTGGTCTACGTCGACCACGATGGCGGCCCGGCGTAGAAACGAGAGTTAACGATTGGCAACCAGACGCTAGAATCCGTATAACAGTACGCGTATTTGGGTCAGCTGGCTACTAACAGGGGTGCCTAGACATGCAGAGGATATTCCCCTATGAATGGGCTGGCACACAGAGGGTAGACGTACTGAACTCATTACCGCCAACTTACCACATGCTACTAAAACGGAAAGTGTGCAGTCATTGCATTATATGGGCGGAAACCTCGAGAATTAAAAAAGAACTCGAGAAGTTAGGAACCATGCAGCGTGGGATGGAACTAAATATGTCCGGCGGCTCATTAAGAGATAGCCAAAAAAAATGCAAAGGTCATTGGAGGACAAACAGGGGTTACCGGCATCACAATTGCCATACGAAAAATAGTGCACGAAGGCCATGCATAGGACAGATGACCCGATTGTCAGCTAGGACGACAAAATTGACGCCAAGAGATCCGAAATACAGCCTAGGGCGAAAGTTGACTTAGATAACTAAATGAAAGAGTTACCATGAATAAAATTGAATCAGCCCGCTCAAGACAGTGAACTGGAGATCATTGGGGGATGACGTTCTCTTTGAGTGGACACAGAATACTCCGACAACGACGATGACGACGACGGTGATGATCATGGTGGTGGTGAGGATGACGAGGAGAAGGAGGAGAAAAGTTCGATGTTTGACTGGTGTTTAGATTACAAGATCTTTATGTAGCTAATTGTTTCTCGCCTGTTCTCTCTCCAGCGTGCATTGCAATGTGGCCACTTGATGGGACGGGGTTTGTTTGCTTGTTTGTTGCGTATTTGTTTTCTGTCGTATGTCGCTGAACTGGAGTGCTTCCAGGCGCCGTCCTCACGCAGGAAGCCGTGTCGTTCATCAAGCGGCAAGCTGCGAAGCGTCAACCCTTCTTCCTGTATTGGGCACCGGACGCCACGCACGAGCCCGTGTACTCTTCCGCGGCTGTCAGAAGCCAAAGCGTCCGTGGAGCGTGAGTGCCCACCGAAGTCTTTTTTGCAAGGGCAAAGATAATATGTGTTTATTAATTTATTCATAATACCCTAAAGGTCCCACTTGAGACTTTACACGAGGGGTGGGCGAACAAAAAGCTGGCGTGTCCGGTTGTACTTCATGGTTTGAAATATGGTCTGCGATGACAGCCTTGAATTGAGCAATGTTGGTGATGAGGGTAATATATGAATAAAGGGCATTCCGTTCTCCGGCAGTATGCAGAAAAAAATGAATGTTTATCGTGTGTCGCGGGTCTGTCGTGTGTGCACGGGGCTGATACAAATCATTCCGGTGCGAGTGTCAGAGGAACGATGTGCAGGATTGATGGTTTGGTTTCCTGGAGGTTGCGAATGGGGGAAAATATTACACGAGCAGCCCATGCGGTGAGAAGAAAATGAGGGGAGGCATAGCTGGGATTTTACGGTGGATACACTCGTCGTGTAGGAATAATCAGAAAGAATAAACCTGACAGAACGGTTCTGAATTGATTCTATGGAATTTTAACTTGGTGGTTGTCATAGATAGTAGAAGCATATTCTAGTTTCGATCGGATCAACGTTGTATATGCAAGCAATTTGACTGTAGTGGATACTGATGATTAGTTACGGCGTAGGTAACCTAATGAGCGATTGCAGGAATTGGTGATGGTGTATATGATGGGTCCAGGACAGATCGTTAGATATATGTACTCTTAGGTATTTAAATGTCTGGTATTGAGTCAAAGTCTTGTTGAGGGAGTACGAAGACGCTACATAGTTAGGCGGCGATGAAAGGATGCGTGGGAGTGCTTACTTATGTTGAAGGACATGTGCCATCGGTTGCACCATGTCTTGATTTTGAATAGGTCATCCTGGAGAGAGAAGGAATCTAAGAAGTCTGTTATTTGACGATACAGAACACAGTTATTAGCAAAGAGGCGTATACTTGATGATACATTAACTGGAAGGCCATTAATATATATAAGAAACCGTAGCGGTTCAAGTACAGAGCCTTGCGGCCCACCTGCATATAAAACAGAGGATAGAAAGGAGGAAGATGAACTGGTGGAAACAAATTGAAAGCGATTGGTGAAGAATGCATGTATCCAAGTAACTGTGGAGGGGTGTACGTTTAGGTTCGAAACTTCATGCACGAAAAGAATGTGCAATACTTTACCGGATGTTTTTTTTTTTCGAAGTCCGAGAAGAGAGCGTCAGTGACGATGTTGTGATCTATAGGTTGGAATATAAATCATGCATGAATAAGGTAAGCTGAGTGTTGCAAGAGTGAGCTTTGCGAAATCCATGCTGGTTAGGATGAAAGAAGTTGACAGATGACCAAAAATTGACAATGTGTAAATGTAGAATATGCTCCATTAGTTTCGAACAGACGCTGGTGAGGGATATGGAACGGTAAAAACCAGGGTTTCTACGGTAGTCTTTCTTTTAATGTAAATTATCTTACTGACTTTCCAGTCAGAGGGTATTGTTCCAGTGGAGAAAGATTGCTGGAATATTAGCGTCAGATGTGCTTGGTGATTTTTAATACTTTAGCGTTTATGCCATCAACACCACACAACGACGAATTTTTTGATGACTCAATACTTTTAACAACGCCGTTAGCGCTGACAGTGATGTTTTCCATTGGGGATAATTAGACGCTGTTAACAGGGGAACAATTTCAAGACGTTCATTAGTGAATACAGAGCAGAGAGCAGAAAGCATTGTTTAAAGCATCAGTAGTTTTGAATTCTGGAACAGGGGAGCCAAAACTAATCGCGCAGAAAACCAGTGTTAGAGACCCGTGGATTAACGCATTGCCAGAAGCGTTTAGGGTTAGTGTGTAACATGGAGGGCAGCGTGGTCGAAAAAAAGCCACGTTTGGCATCTGCCACGTGCTTCTCGTAGTGCTTGACCGCATACTCCCACTGAAAGTCAGATTGAGAAAATTTAGCAGAACCATTTTTATTGTTTGAATGTGTTAGCATGCTGCTAAACCATAGAGACTCTTTCCGTTCACTAATTGTCATGGTAGGAACGTATATTTTAATTAGGCGCCGAAATTCAGATTTAAACAGCAACCTAGGAGTTAGTTTCGAGTGAACGAAGGGCGAAGTCAGGCTCAAAGGTATCACAAAAGGCTGCTAGATCTTGGACCATGATGTTGTAGTCGCCTCTGTCATAAATCATGAGGGGTCCCGCCGCGGTGTTCGTGGCTAAGGTACTCGTCTGATGACCCGCAGGTCGTGGGATCGAATACCGGTGGCGGTGGCTGCGTTTTCGATGCAGGCGAAAATGTTGCATTCTTCGGGAGATATTTGCAGAGGTTTATTTTACATCATTTACAAGCGAGCGTTTCTCGTACTATGACGAGCAGCTAGACGAAGATGTCGACCTACATCGTGACGATCTCGTCGAAGGCTCTACATCAAAAAGGCATCAAAAGAACTGTCTCGAACAGCACTGCATCGAAAGAGCACACGAAGCAGCCCGCGAGGGCTGATCATATATATGAACAGTCTCGTTTTCCTAGATCCGCGAATCAGGGAAAGGTCACCAAATTACACTGCCCGATCACCTGTTCCACACAACTTGCGAGGGTGACGCGCACACATGGCCGAATAAACGGCCAATATTGAGGCTTGTTTGGTGCACTGCACTGTGTCACCAACGTGGCTCTTCCTTGTGTGCGTCTCGAGCTCAGGACAGCATACATCAAAAGGGCCGCCGTAACCAAGCTCAAAAGGGCCTGCCGAACTGCTCGCTCAAACATCGGGGCGATTTGCGGCTGCCGCTGCTGTACCTTTCAAGGAAGATATTGCCACCACGTAAACACTTGTCGTCCTCTAGCGAAACGGCCCACGTCATCGTGGCGGCACGATGCCTTACCCTCCGGCCAGAAGGGACAATACATGGCGGATATAAACCAGCAGCCGTTCGAAGACTTGTACGAGGATCAAAAGAACGCCGCTCCCTTGTAAGCCCAGACGCATACCTAACAGCACACAGGCCTACATTTACGATGGAGGCGAAAATGCAGCCGCCGCAGCCAGGATTAGATTCTGCAAACTGCGGGTCAGCAGCCGAGTACTTTGGCCACTACACCACCGCGGCAGGGCACCAAGAAAAAAATAGAATGGGCTTGTTTGCGTTGAACCTCACATTTATGTCGTTTCTGGTGTCTTTCCATGCTCCCAAATAAATGTGCCTAATGATCAGATATTTTGTGTGTGTTGGGAGGGGGGGGGAGGGGCACTTGCTTATACGACCCTGAATATTTTATTACACCTATTTTCATAATTTATTTTTGCAAAACACCCCATACAACAGAATTTCGGGGGAGAAATGAGCGCTTGCCATCCCCCTCCCCCCTTCATTTAAGGGCCTGCTGATAACATTGCAACGAGTGAATAAAACTGTTACAGTCCAGATAGCCTATCCATCGCTTACATCTTGCACTACACATATTATGTTGCTCTTTATATATACATATGTAATTTCATGCTGAGAAAGAGCTTGTATTGCGCTAAAAACAGGACAGAAATGCTTGTGTCGCCCCGCGTCGCCCTTTCAACTCTGCGGCGCAGGAATCTCTCTCTTTTTTTATGGTATGAAAATTGCATTGTAATCTTGGACATCATAAGGCATGCAAAGACAATCGCTGGACATCCAGCTGGACGGTATTATACTAGTCTCGTTGAGGAGCAACAAGACGGAACCGCATATCTCCACGGGTATAGTGTACGCTTCTCCGAACTGATCAAAGATGCGTCGACTTGACCTATAGTATAATTGAACAATCCAGTTTACACTTACTGTGCACTGACACCGACAGTGTGGTGCCCGCCTAGGACTCTACTGCATCATCATGCATGCATTGGGCAAAGCATGGTGCTGGAGCCCGTTGTGCGTGAGTGAAAACTAAAAGCGCATGTATGATAATGCGATATTATTGCGACTCGCTTCTGAATGTGCATTAAAAAAATGTGATAAATTTCATTCGTATAAGCATTTTAATGCGACCGAAAAGTTGGAACGTCGCTAACGGGTGTTGCGTGCCGTGCCTGGACTCGTGTGACTACCTCGAGCGATGGCTTTTGCACTTTTGCGGACTATAATATTCTATAGCACATATGATGGTTGTGTTAAATGAAGAATGCACAAAATCGCGGGTGTTATGTACCCATCAATCTTCATGCTCTACATTGTCATGCACCATATACACTACGAAGCTCCCACGGGGAGGATCATCACCACAAAGGGAACACGATTACAATTTCCAATCACGAATATAGTGTGTTTTTCGTGCTGCGCCCCGGTTTATTCATGGATAACGTTGCTACTAAATTGATGAGCTATAGATGTCCGGGTGGTGTGCTGTCACTAACTGTGGCGTCACGAAAATGGGAATAAAGAGCACGAATTTTACAGAAGCAACGCAAATTCACGACGGTGCTATGAAGAGTAAAATTCGGACGATAAGAACGTTCGCGATTGTACTTTCACACCTTTCTGGACGAACCATTCTACAATAGTGTATAACGTGCCTTTTGCATTATCGGCTATACGGCCGATTGCTTTAAACGACCGCTTATTGTTTTTATACGTGTCGCACGTCTCGACGCAGTTACGGCGATGCGGTAATTGAACTGGATCGCAGCGTGGGCGCAATTCTGCTTGCCTTGAAGACCTCAGGCGTCGCCGAGAACACATTTGTGTTTTTTACATCGGACAACGGCGCGGCCACATACGCCAAGGAGAACGGTGAGTTCTTGCTCGGACTGAAACAATTTGGTTTTCTTAGAGGGTCGCTTTATCGCGCTGCGCTCGTTTCACGTATACAAAAGACTAACGATGCACAGAAGCGCTGAGCTATTTGAGCGTCTGTACTTGACGGACTGTTCCGAGTGTTCTCTAAGCTTGTAAGCAAGAACGCCAAAAAACGCAACGTCTCAATGTTTCGACGCATGAAAAGTGGAACCCTGGTACTTGTGTATGTGCATAAGCTTTATTTTAAATGAGTAGTGAAATGACATTTGAACTTTGTTAAAGCTTCTTGTGCTCATTTAAACACTAGAAAATATACTGTGAAAACTTTGTCGTTAGCTTTTCGAGATCTAGACCCTTCACTTGACGAACAAGGGAGAGAGAGAAATCAAACCCGTCGAACACAGGGAAAATGCATGTGTACAGATGGTACCCGAAGACGTGGGATACGTACATACTATTTCTCCACATTTGCGTTCAGATCAGTCTTTGGTAATTAAGCGGGGGTTCTCGTGCAAGTGCTGCAGCCATAACGTTCTTGGCGACACTCTTCGTGAGCGGATGCCGGCGTCGCAGGTGGAAGCAACGGTCCTTTGCTGTGCGGAAAGCAAACTACTTTCGAAGGCGGTGTCCGGGAACCGGCCATTGCCTGGTGGCCCGGAATTTTTCCTGCTGGCACGGTGAGTGAACAGTCGGGCTAAACCACAAGGGAAGGTATTACGCGAGACTATCAATAATACTCTGTATAACAAAATCGGGCGTATTGTTCCCTCTTTCATCTCTACCCGAATACGCTACGGGCTGGAACCAAGCATTGAATGGCTTACCTCGCAAATCTAAAGCGTATTCTATACGCCAACGAGCTTACAAGGGTGGACTAAATGGAGCTGCAACCGAAGGTACCTTGTGAAAAGTTTCGCAGCAAGGGCGAAGAGAAGAATGATAGCGAGAAAATGGAACGTCAAATGAAGCAACTCGTTACTTGTATAGCGTGCCGCTGAAGCCCAAAGACGGACTCTCCACAAGAACGATAAAGCAGGCAGAAGACAAGTGAACATTCGCAACCTCTTTTCTCTTTATCTATCTTTTAATCCCTATTCCTTTGCCCTGTGCTCTACTGCCGAGGTGTCTTCCGCAAATAGAGACAGTTGCGTGATGAACTTTTCTCTTTATTACCCGCATTAACGCCACTAACCCCCCCCCCCCCCTCTGTCACAGTTGTTACGTCTTTGTGTTTGAGCAACGCGCTGCAAGTGTCGACAGCGCAGAACCCGATGCTCTTGTCTTCTTCTTTTAAACTGTGGCGTGTGGAGTGCCCCCCCCCCCCCGCGTTTCCGATCACGTGGTGGCGTCTGACCGAAGAGGTTTCACGGCGTTTTCTTTTTTTTTTTTTTTTACAAAAAGAGGCCACTTTTTGTGCATGTCTCAGGAGCAGTTTTCAAATTTAATGAAAATGTGGAAGCGTTGCGCGATAGAAAACACACTCAAGCATGGCGCGTGGTATAGATGTCTAAGACTGCGAGCACAGGAGCCGCTCGACCAAAACTCCGGTTGGTTTTTCTTCTGATTCATTTTTCTGTGAGATTATACATCCAGGTAGTGCCTACTACCTGGCGTCGCTATTAAACTCCCTTGCAATATAGACATATGTGCGCGTGCGTACGTGCGTGCGTGCGTGCGTGCGTGCGTGTGTGTGTGTGTGTGTGTGTGTGTGTGCGTGCGTGCGTGCGTGCGTGTGTGCGTGTGTGTGTGTGTGTGTGTGTGTGTGTGTGTGTGTGTGTGTGTGTGTGTGTGTGTGTGTGTGTGTGTGTGTGTGTGTGTGTGTGTGTGTGTGTGTGTGTGTGTGTGACGATAGATGTGAGAGACGTGGCCTGGCTCATACACAGTCATGTGTTTATTCCATTTCATTACTTCCTTCTCGGCTTCTACCAACCATCCTGCGTACCTTCTTACGTCACATGATTCCCCCAACCCCCGAAAGATGGCACCGGTAACAAATTAAAGCAAAATGAAGAGATTTAAACAGAACAATGCACAAATTCCCCATTTCACGTTCTAACGGAGTTCCACAATCTTACTGAAGTTTCAAGGCCATGACGAGCAGTCCGGTGCATTCTATACCAACTCTGGTGGGCGAGGTTGACTGTTGCGTTCTGGGCAGTGCGCGCTGCACATGGATGCTGACAATACTGCTTGAACTCTTGTGGGCAATGAGTTGGAGCGCCTTGTAGCATGGGCAGCTGTGATGTCGTCGGGGCCGTATTTTTCCTCGTGAATGGGGCACTCTCAGTGCTTCTAGTTTTAGTGCTCCTGGACAGAGTATTATGGTGCGATGCCCGATTGCTTGCGGTGGGCAAGGAGTACTTCCGCGTCTTCCTTGGCGTTTCCCGTGGTGTTGTAGTCGGTGTAATTGCAGGCGCAGAGCGCGTCTGTGCCGACGCTCCTCCACGCGGAAACGTCCTGCGTCTTGAAATGGTCCTTGGGTTAAGGATCTTATTTTCCGACGTTCTTCAAGTCGTGAGTTTGCTTCCGTAGAAGTTTCCCTTCGTGGTTGCCGTTACTTGCTTTGTCGATGGCGCTGTGAAAAGTGCAGGTGGTCATCGTCGTTGAAAGAGCACACGCTGTCGGTAGTCTCAGCATTATTTACGAGGGGGATGCTAGCATGCTTTGAGTCTAGGAAAGCAGTAGCTGATTTTTTTTTTTTTTTTGTATCAGTGAGACATGTATTCAATGTTGACTCCATACTGTTTCGACTTACGGTTGGGTCAAATCCTGAAAATGACTTCACCGCAAACATGGCTTGATCTGCTTTCGATTGCGAATGTTTGTTTCTTTGCGGGAGAACTGAGCTCCAAACTTCCCTCGAACATAGTCTGGAAAATCAGGGTGTGGTCTGGTATACTGTTGGGATTCACCAGCTCGTCGGGCACAAATAATACCGTCTTAACAGGCGTGCCGCGAGTTTCGTCGCCGATACTGGTGTCAGATGATGTGATGCCATGTGGGCTGTTGAAACGGGGGGTTGACCAGGATCTCAGCGCGGCCACCAGTTGTTGGGACCGGAGTTTTGAGGATCCCACCGCTGCTATCCATTGTTGAGTTGTTGTGACTTTGCCGTTTACGGCACCGGGAACTCAAAAAGAAGACATCGAGCATGAAGAGGCTGATTGATTGATTTGTGGGGTTTAACGTCCTAAAACCACCATATGATTATGAGAGACGCCGTAGTGGGGGGCTCCGGAAATTTCGACCACCTGGGGTTCTTTAACGTGCACCCAAATCTGAGCACACGGGCCTACAATATTTCCGCCTCCGTCGGAAATGCAGCCGAGCATGAAGAGACTGATGAGGTACACTGTACAGAGACATTATATACAGGCGAACACTTCGCCACATGACAAACATCTAGACGAAGATGTGCTACATCGTGACGATCTCGTCGAAGGCTCTCGTAGGAGTGCACTGCGGCTGGTTATCGAGAGCCCCTTCTCCGCTCACCCTTAGAAGGGGAAGGGCTTTGAACTTCTCTGCCCAACCACCGGACACACATCACTTTCGACGGTGCCGCCCACACCAGCGCTGGTCAACGCCTTTGACCGAGATGTGGTCACCACACTCCCCCTCCGGTGCCAAGTTGTCTCTTGCTTGGGGTGAGAATGCCACTGGGTGCTGGGTTCCATGCTCGTATTACCGCTACACTGACTGTGGAGCTGATTGACATCCATACTGACGCCGCCACCTCTTCAAGGAGGTTGTCTCGAACGAAACTATTTTGGACGTCTCGTTGTACACTTTGTGGCGTCGCAACTGCATGCGCCTCGCTTCCCGGCTGGGAGGACAATACCCAAATTTGGGCGGCTGTTAGCAGGCCCGCATCCTTTCGGCAACTTGTTCGCAGAACCGCGAACACCCCCTTCTGCTTGGCTTAAGCGCCGATCCTAATAGGACCACGTATGCGACACGAAGCATCAACCATCAAGTGATTATGGTGGTTCCCTAACGCCTGGGTTCCTTTGGTGTAGTGTACAGGCAGAAAATGACGATCTCGTTGCCCATGGGAAATCCGGCGGAATGTTCGGTTATTTGAGAAATCGGTCTGGATGCCTTTCGGTCAGCAGATGATTTCCCTTGTCCGTTGGAACGTGTAAATTCTTATTCGGTGTTCGAATGCGTGAGGTATATTCACAAGATTCATATGTTGGTGGAATCATGGGAAAGTTTTTCTGGTGGGTTCTTGTTTGGAAAATACGCATACTGCGTGAAGACTTCTCGTGTATACATGTGGTTGGCAAGTTGAAAAGCCTCCAGGTGATACGTTAAGTGCAAGTCTTCATAGCACTATTTGAATCAGCTGATGATTTCTTCTTTGATACATTTCCAAAATACATCGTTCTCAAAGATGTGGGTGAGGTAAAATTTGAACGCCTCACCAGTGACGTAGCCGCTGAAGTTGGTGACCATCTCCGGTTCCGACCAGGATGCAGCGGCAGCATGAAGCTCAAAGAGGTCGAAGAAATCCTCTACGGGTCGATCGTCCGTTGACCCTGCGTACTTTGGGATGTGACGGTCATCCGATGGTTCTGTCATGATGTTTGTCGTTGTGTACCGCAAGGAGAGGGTTCTGGTACTCTATGTATGGTTAGGGCGTCTTGTGGAAAGCTGCTTCGATGATGAACGACTGGTGAAGAGGCTGTCAGGTCTTCATCCTGTCGACTCGTGTGACGCTATGATGACTGGGCGACGGGGCCTGGCTAATATGCAGCCATGTTTGTTTGTTGGTCGCCTAAAAGATCTTGGCTTATACCGACTAGTGGGATTAGCCACAGTGTACCTTTTAACTGAAATTTATACAATGCTTGGTAAAATAGGGAGAAATCAGATAAGAACGAGATGAATAATAACGTACGTTGAAAGAAGAAAGTGAAAAGGGCAGAATAATTCGACCATGGTTTATTCCATTTCACTTCTTCCTTCTCGGCTTTTACCAACCATCCTGCACGTCACACACACACTATATATATACATATATATATATATATATATATATATATATATATATATATATATATATATATATATATATATATATATATATATATATATATATATATATATATATATATATATATATATATATATATATATCCGGGACATGAGGGAATGTAATTGCTATTGCAATGACACAGCCCTAATAACTTGTATTTCTTTAATATTACAGTGAAACTTTTGGAGACATTGATCATTACACTTTATCATGGAGAGCATGATGACACAGAAAAAATTACTACAAGGCTACTGTGAAACAATCTTTGAGATGCCATTATCTTTTCAAATCATGATCATTAACCTGAAGGCTGCCGAGTTCACACAGCATTTTACTTGTGCAGGGGACGATTCACTGACCACTTTATGAATACATGATATGTACGATTGACCAGTGAATTTTGAAAAACAACTGGTCACAAACGAACTGTTGAGAAGAAGAGGTGATATACTATTTGCGGAAGATAACGTAACAGCCGTCGCAAATATTTAACGGGAAGAGCAATAATCGTACAGTGAGTAGCTTCGGAAGAGGGGAAGGGTGTAACTTTGTAACGTTCTTTTAATACTATATTAAGTCAACAGTATTTGTCGGGCTCATTTCTAGAATATTGCTTTTATTTTTTCAAGGTTTCATTGCCTGGGGTACTGAGGTATAGAAATCAAGTGAGAAGCGTATTAGGCAAATGGCACGACAAATTTGCTCAGTCGAAAGCTTAGCCAAATAAACTACCTGTAGTACAGGCCATGTTCTTGCAGAGGCAATCGTTAATTATTCGCATTGCTTTCCTTGATCACATATTAACGTTTTACGCGCCCTTAGTGATAATATGTTTTTTCTTCTGTTTCTGGAGGGTCAAGAAGGTGATGTAATTTACACTGCTCGAGCAGAAAGGCTTTTTTGGACACTGACTAATTTATTTCTTTTTCCGCTTTCGTAGCAATAACAGGTAACGTAAGCAGGCTCTGATATTGGGAAAGGAACGTACTGAGGAATGGCATTCGTAAGGGAGGGTGAAATATCCGGAAAAACAGGGAAGTTCAGAACAGCACCCCCGAGGATGATGCTAATGTCACAGTGCTATCTTACCCCTCAAAGGAAAGTGTCGTGTGACCTGTTTGAAATGACGGTGTAAAGAGCGCAGTTTCTTACTATGCAAAGAAAATAGACAAATAAAGAGCGCACGCTGATAAGGTCCCGGTGCAGGTGAGCCGGTGGCCGGTCTCCAACATGGACCTACTGCCCACCATCGCCGAGCTGGCTCGCGTCACGCTTCCGCCGGGCCTCGTGCTTGACGGGCAGAGCCTGGTGGACAGCATGCTCGGCCGGACGCCAAACGAGAGGTGAACGCCCGCGCTGGCGGCTCCCCGCGTGGCCGCTTCTGGCACGGGGCCCGAGCCGCAATAATTTATTTTTTTGTCAGACCTGCTCCTGCGTGAAGCGTGGCCCAAAAATGTCTGGCGGGTGGCGAACAGGGCCTTACTCAACGACTTCGCGACTCGGCAGCGCTGCATGCACGCACGTTCAACGAGCCCGTGGCTCGATGGAGCGAGTCCTCTGTAAAGGTCTCGCTAAATATATCGATACTGAAAAGGAAACGTATAGACAAATGATCTCGCGGCTGTATAAGTGATTATTACAATTTGACTGACTCATCGTGTTCAGTGGCGCTCTTTGGACACTTGTGGCCATTGCGTCACAAAACCCCACTAATGATCATCGTAGTCAGGTTTTCCAGATGTAATCTTAAGTACAATGTTATACTGCGGATATTCTATGGATCTCCATAAGGATGTTTCTGGCATGCGCTGAGTGTATCGTAAGCACCTGTAAAATTAGTTCGTCCATGGCGGCGTCTTAATCGTTCTTGTTGTGTTTAATCGACGAATAATGTTATGTGAAAACAAACGCGTAACGAAAATACAACAAACATGAGCCAAATTTATGTCGCCAACTGCATATTCTGGATTTCGAGCGGTCACTTATGCAATGAATGCAATGTATCACTTTTTTTTTTCGTCAGTCGTAATTTGAGGCACACCTGCATCAATTTAAAAGCCCGTGAATTGGTGAAGCACGCCTGCTCTGTAAAGGGCACCAGAATAAGTTCAAGTAGAATATGTGTCAGGCTTCCTTGGCAATAACAAACCATATTCGCAGCGAGAATGCATACGGGCAGTGTACGAAGCACGTGACAAGCGTAAACGCATATCATTATATAGTCAATAAAGCCTTGCTAATGTATTGCCACGCTCTCTCCACACTAGCATACCGATGTTGCATAACAACGTTTCTCTCAGCATAGAGAGCTACTGCGTTGTCTCGAGGTCCAGGCGGATGAAAATAAGGATAAGTATGCTGGACAACGGACAGCGTGTGACCAGACCTTTTTTCATTATAGAAGACGTGTCGGCGATTCTTTATAGTTTAACGTTTTCGTTGCACGTCATTCAAGTTAGAAATTGGACATTTTATGTATTTTGAGCTCACTGAGATTGAATTGTGGAATCAACGAACCCCATTTCGCTGACGCTCACTCTGCGCACTCTGAAAAAAAAAAAAAAACGCGGGACCTGCGCACAACATGCAGGACAGTCACAACGAAAACTAAATGAGCAGCCTTATTTGAGGAAATAAAAGTTATGGCTAAAACTGAGTGGCATATGTTCGTGTCATTTCTTTTATGCAGCGATACTGCCATGGGCTCACTTACCCGTTTGTTTTGACATCCACTGGGGTCCATTGCTGAAACGAAAAAAAAATTTACAAGAGGATACGCACAACGAAAAAATAACCAGTTTCGCTTCGAGAAAGAAGCAGTTGGAACGTTATACGAAGTAAGGCCGAACTCGCGGACAACTTTTACTGGCAGTGAAAGAAAACTACGGAGCTTCCGAGTACTTCGGTTTGGCGCACTTTTCGCACTGCTGTGGCAAGTGATGGCTGCATGCAAACAGAGTTTCATATGGACTCGGACGCCGTTTAGCCTTCGAGGTGCACAAAAAAGGCGTGCCATTCACACGCGTGCAAAAACGCAAAGCGACATCGTATAAAGTAAACCAATACAAATATCTCAGTAGTGTCAACTGCGTCCAAGATGTATCAAAGAGCTACGACTTGCAGAAAATAAAGGAGCACTTCTTTTATTTATCTCGCGGAGAGTACGGGCACAATTGTGGGGCGAAATTCCTCAGCGGTATAGATACATGCCATTTTTTCGCTTCATTTTCACTAAGAGTTGTTCACGAGTACAGCAGCTTATTCTTCATTTACCATTTCTGTACTGAATAGAGTTGGCGCCGGCGTCCTTGTGCTCTAATTCGTCGGTTTCCCAGTTGAAAAGGCGCTCATACATTAACTTTTCTTTTTCCTCCACCTGCAATGGCAATGACTGAGCGCATCTGGATTAATATTTTTTCAGCCGTGCTCAGCTTATTTCCATATTTACGAGGTGGCACTGACTTTCGTCGGATTTCTTAAAGAGTAGAGCGAGACATAGCTATGGTGCAGATGCAGGTGCGGATGGAAATTGAAGAAAAACCGATCGAATCTAAAAGTACGTGAGGCCTGGGAAAGTTGGTTGACAGAGGCTCTGGCTGGGCGGGAGGAGGAATAAAGGCCGCTCCTCCACCGCGAAGCGAAGCTTCAAACAAGTACTGCTCGCACTGTTTATTTACTTTTTTCTTATTTCTCTCTCTCTTTTTACCTCTCGGAAATAGATTGCTCACTCGTATACACGTGATGTTACGTGATTCCAGCAAACACCGCACACATTGGTGTAAGGCTTCATTATCATCATTTATATCATCAGCAGCATCATCATCATTAGCCTGACTACGTTCCCTGCATGCACTACAAAGGCCTCTCCCATGTTCCACCAGTCAGCTCGGACCTATGCTTGCTGCTGCCACTTTATTCCCGCAAACTACCTAATTTCATCTGCCCACCTAACTTTCTGTCCCCACCTAACTAGCTTGCCTTCTCTGAGAATCCAGTCAGTTACCCTTAATGACCAGCGGTTATCCTGCCTACGCGCTACATGCCCGACCCATGTCAGTTTCCTCTTCTTGATTTCAACTATGATATCCATAACCCCGGTTTGTTTCCTGATCCACTCTGCTCTCTTCTTGTCTCTTAAGATTACACCTATCATTTTCCTTTCCATCGCTTGCTGCGTCGTCCTGAATTTAAGCTGAACCCTCTTTGTGAGTCTACATGTTTCTTCTCCATAGCTAAGTACCGGCAAGATTCAGCTGTTATATACCTTCCACTTGAGGGATAGTCCATGGCAGTCTACCAGTCATGATTTGAGAGTGCTTGCCAAATGTGCTCCACCCCATTCTTATTCTTCCAGTTACTTCAGTGTCATAGTTCGGCTCCGCTGTTATCAGCTGTCCTAAGTAGACATAGTATTTTACAACTTCAAGTGCACCATCACCTATCTTGAAGCGCTGTTCTCTTCAGAGGTTGTTGTACATTACTTTCGTTTTCTGCAGATTAATTTTAAGACCAACCTTTCTGCTCTCCTTGTCTAACTCCGTAATCATGAGTTGCAATTTGTCCTCAGAGTTACTCAGCAATGCAATGTCGTCGGCAAAGTGCAGGTTAGTAAGGTACTTTCTATTAAATATTATCCTTAACTCTTCCCACTCTAGGCCTCTGAAAACATCCTGTAAGCACGTAGTAAATAGCATTGGCGAGATTGTATCCCCCTGCCTTACACCCTTCTTGATTGGTATTTTGTTGCTTTCGTTATGGAGCACTATGGTAGCAGTTGCTCCCCTGTAGATTTCTTCCAGAATGTTTATATATACTTCATCTACGCCCTGATTCCGCAGTGTCTGCATGACGGCTGATATTTCTACTGAATCAAACGCCTTCTTGTAATCTATGAAGGTTGGTATGAAGGTAGGTATAGTGGTTGGTTATATTCTGAGCACTTCTCTATTACCTGATTGATAGTGTGAATGTGGTCGATTGTTGAGTAGCCTGTTCGAAATCCTGCTTGTTTTTTTTTGGTTGATTGAATTCTAATGTTTTCTTTACTCTGTTAGCAATTACCTTTGTAAACAGCTTGTATAAGACGGAGAGCAAGCTGATCGGCTTGTAATTCTTCAAGTCCTTGTCATCTCCATTCTTATGCATTAAGATGATGTTAGCATTCTTCCAAGATTTTAGTACTTTTCCTGCCAGGAGACACTTCGTAAACAAGGTGGTTAGTTCTTCTAGCACAATCTGTCCTCCATCTTTCAGCAGATCTGATGTCACCTGGTCCTCACCAGCAGCTTTTCCTCTTTGCACTTCCTCCAAGGCTTTTCTGACTTCTATCATTGCTGGTGGGATGCCATCTGAGATACTGCTAGTTCTTACAATAAAGTCGTGGTTGTCCCGGCTACTGTACAGATCTCTGTAAAACTCCTCCGTTATTTTAACTATCCTATCTATATTGGTAGTTACTTTGCCTTTTTTGTCCCTTAGTGCATACATCTAGTGTTTGCCTATCCCAAGTTTACTCCTAATTGCTTTGACGACGCCTCCATTCTTCAGAGCATGTTCAACTTTTTCCAAGTTATGCCTTCTTACATCGTATACCTTACGCTTATTAATGAATGTCGTAAGCTCTGCCAATTCTATTTTGTCTGTTGTATTTGAGGCTTTCATGCTTTCACGTTTCTTAATGACGTTCTTCGTCTCATATGGGACAGCTTACCTGTGTCCTGTTTAAGTACCGTACCTCCCACTTCCACTGCACACTTTGTAATAATACTCGTCTGGCTTACAGCACATTATATTTATGTCCTCATCGCCTCCCTGCTCTGCTGTTATGGAAAAAAGTAATTTTACAGCGTAAGCTGTTTACAAGCTCGCTAAAACGGCTACATATGATGGCGATGTCGTCCACCACCTCTACCGTTGGCCGTCGAAGCTATTGCGCGAAACGAGGAAAGGAAGCCAAGGTTCTAGCAGGAATAGAACCTACATATTTTGTGGTGCAGTAAAGCACTTTGCCATGAGGCCACACGCAGTACTTGGAATTGCTCGAAAAAAAGACCCTATACAGGCATAATGTATGGTGCGGAGTAACGTTCACAGTGATATTGCGTTAAAGAAGAGTGAAATGGTGCCAGTTGCCACACAATATGACTCGCGTAGTGTGTATAGATGAATAAAGCTACCAACTCGTTACAAATAGCTCATCCATAAGCGCTGAAAATCGACGAGCACAAAAATGAATAGCAGACTGTGCTCATCGATTCTAGAGCGTATTCTTTTAGAGTTGTTGGGTAGCCAACTAGCAGAACACTTTGTTATGCTCGGCTGTAAGTCATTGTCATCATCGTTGATTGATATGTGGGGTTTAACGTCCCAAAACTACGATTTTGATTATGAGAAACGCCGTAGTGGAGGGCTCCGGAAATTTAGACCACCTGGGGTTCTTTAACGTGCACCCAAATCTGAGCACACGGGCCTACAACATTTCCGCCTCCATCGGAAATGCAGCCGCCGCAGCCGGGATTCGAACCCGCGCCCTGCGGGTCAGCAGCCGAGTACCTTAGCCACTAGACATTGTCATCATCGTTGTCAGTTACAGCAACATCATCAGCAAAGTGTGGAGATTTACATTGTCTCACGGGTACGTATATAGTTGAACTTATCCGCAAAATGATTGCAAATTTTACATGAAATATTGGATGCTTCGTAACTCTACTTACTTCCAGTGTGCTCTAAAGCCGCCTATTCAGCTAACGCCGCGGCAGTGCTAGCCCTGGCGTTTATTTTCTTGAGTTTGGTGACATTGTACGAAGTTATTCATGTGCACAGATGACAGCTCATGAGCCCCCAACGCCGTGCTGCGCAGGCCGATCTTCCACTACCGGGGTAACGAGCTGATGGCGATTCGGATAGGCTTGTACAAGGCCCACTTCTGGTGCTGGACAGACTTTTGGGAGGATTTTGAGCGGGTGCGCTCTATATTCTGGCTTCACACATTTCTATTATCTTCCGACGCTTTGGCGGATGTTCCGCCTTCACCCGGGGATACAGGAGCATTACACCGATTTGTTGGTATGGAATGCAGGGCGTTGACTTCTGCCCGGGACAGAGTGTGGATGGCGTGACGAGCCACGAGCAGCTCAACTACACGCAGCAGCCAGTGCTCTTCCACCTAGGCTTGGACCCGGGAGAGAAGTATCCAATACCGTACGTGCACAGCCGGGGTCAGTGGGTGGGTGCCTTTTAGTTTTGAGTACCCAGTACTGAGATTTTCGTTTAATCTCGTAACCACTGTTAGTAAGCCATAAATAAAGCGAGTTCGTAGCACGTGGGACTCACTTTCTTGGCAGTCCTCATGTACGAGCATTACAAAGAGCTTAGTTCGGTGCACATCAGAGAAGCCCACCTATATTATACATGCAGGGCCGCCGTATATGGGGCTCTCTAATATATACTGCGGGAACGTGATAAGTTTGATCGCAAAATCATTGAGGCTTTTATTATCATTCATGAATGGGGTAGTTGTGTCAGTATACGCCATCACTATAGTAATACTACTGTTGAAAAAAGGGGTTCTTTTTGCCAAATATTGCTTAATTTTTCAATAATGTGCACATACATATTCGTGTCCCCAAAGGTGATTAAACATTAAGTTGATGATCAGCACTGTTTCTGTTTTCTAATGCTGTTGTTGTCTGGCGTCAGTATATCGTAGCACACATACGAAGAATCACACTGCAGGTATTACGCTTGAACGTGGCCTATCAGACCTAGAAACTGTGTCTGACTTTTACCATTAAAATGAATCTCTTCCTAGCGAAAATTAATGTTGCGATCGACTCCAGCGAGATCTGTCGCGGCGTGTGCAAGTATATGACCACCGATGCAGCATTAATCCCGTCGCCGAAGCAACTTGCAACGCTCGCGACCGAGATTCCTGCCCTAAATATCACACATTGCCAAAGCCTTGACAAACACCACGACACGTTTTTTCGTGTGCAGATAATATTCACTGTAAATGAGCCCAGCAAAGTTATTGTGATAGTCGCACCGCTTAGTTTTGTGTCAGCGCGAAGCGACGGATAAAAAAGGTGGGTAAGTGGCGGGGGGAGGGGGGGGGTGAAATCCTTGACCACACTGTGGATACGCCACTGTCCCGAAACCACGATATGACTATGAAAGACGTTGTTTTAGAGGGCTTCGAAAATTTCCGGAGCCCTCCATCGCGCTAATATGAGCTAGTTCATGCACGTGCATATTTATTATCTACGACATCGTTAGAAAGCTCGTTTAGCAGAAATGCCGGTGTCGGTTTCGGCATCATTGGCAGTGAGGGAAAAAAATCAGCTTTGTCTGTCATAAAAAACATTAAAAAAAATGCAAATAAAATCAACAATAAAATCTTCGGTTGGAGTGAGAATCGAACCTAGGTGTTTTGCGTGGCAAGCAGGTGTTACACCATATGCCACGCAAAAAAAAAAAAATGTCATGTAGTGGGAGGGGTCTCCTTAAGGCATGTAATATATTGCGTGGCGTATAGGATTGCGCCGGGCGTCAAATCATGTGAATTGCGCAACGAGTGGGTGTTTTTTAAGCCCACAAAGCGCTCAAACACTTGAACAGCTGCGTAGGTTTACGTCTTACGCATGCGTAGTGGGCCTTATGCTAAGTCGGAAAAGGAAGAATTGCTGTCCTTGCAGTAGGCGTTCCAGCATAGTTTGAAATGACCAATGTTAGCGGACGGACGTTCATGTGTGTCCTTGCGCCACGGCTGAGGCGTGCCTCAAGGGCACACGTGCACGTTGAGGCGGCATGGTTCAGACGCCGAGAGCCGAAGCCAGTCTGGGAATTGAGAAGTTGATGCGCACAGCGCCCGATTAGGCTATCGTGTTTTGCTCCTGAAGGTGCAGCTCAAGCGTCTTCGAAGTTTTTTTTCATTAACAGGGGAGCTCTTTAAGTTTGACAAAACTCCGGGATCGTTCTCAGAACTGGGCTGGTATGTGCCACAGAAATGGGAATATGCTAAGCAGCTGCTAGCATAGCAACACCATGCTATCATATATTGTATCAAAATGAGGGAAAACGAAGTGAGGTTGAGGAGGAATGAAATGAAGAAGTGATGGGGTAAAACATAGCGTAGCCATGGGTGCAGTATTGCACAGCAAGGGGGTGGGAAAGAAAAGCGAGTGTGAGAGGGAGTGATGTGTGGGCGAGGAGGAAATGACGGAGGAGAGAAAAAACACGATCTCGGGTGTTTCCTCAGTCTTTGCACCACTTCTGCGTAGCGGCCCCGAATTCTTTATATCACTGTACAATAATCGCACAATACTGCGCCACAGCTTAGCGTCACCTCATGTCAGTGCAATCGCCGCAGCGACGCCCGTACTACAAATGAACTTTTCTCTTTCCTCTCTGTATAGCGCCGATTCACCAGAGTACCGCGATAACATAAGGTCCATACTGGAGATCTATCAGAAGCACAGACGCAGCTTGGTGCCGGGCAAGCCGCAGCTGGACTGGTGCGACGATGCTGCCATGGTGAGTGGTGCGTGACTCTCGTGCTTGCGTGTCATCCCACCTCTCTCTCTCTCTCTCTCTCTCTCTCTCTCTCTCTCTCTCTCTGCAGCAGTGGGTTCCTCCTGGCTGCGACAAGATCGACCGGTGCCTGCCAGTGCCACCGTCGAGACCATATCGCTGCCCGTGGCCGTACTGACTTGCTTGGGAGTCCAAATGAACAGAGACGTCTCTATCGCCACTATAGTAGGCCCGTGTGCTCAGATTTAGGTGCACGTTAAAGAACCCCAGGTGGTCTAAATTTCCGGAGCCCTCCACTACGGCGTCTCTCATAATCATATAGTGGTTTTGGGACGTTAAACCCCACATATCAATCAATCAATCAATCAATCTATCGCCACTATAGCTCCCTGTTATTATCTTCCTTATTTTGAACACCAATAACCATGTCTTGAGGTTAGAGCTAAAACTTAATTAGGCTGCTCATTTTTTTCTACCCGTCAGAGAGCAACAAATAAAGATACAACTATACAAACTTTACTATTGCTTCATTCTAAGTCGTATTAGCTTATGAATAAAATATGAATAAAATATTATTTATCAAGATAACATTACCGGTCTCGTTTTAGTACACAGTGATCACTTGCAACTCATTTCCGTAACGCACTTTTCACGTCACTTTCATAATTTTAACGATTATGTGTTTTTACGGGCCTTTAGTGAGCCGCATTTTAGGCCCTTATAGAGCCAGAGCCTCTAAGCACCATCACTGATCACATCCTCGGTCCCATGGTCTGACGCATTTTGGCCATCAATGGCCCTTGAGCCATAAATCATCATATATAATCATCATCATAAAAAACATTAGCGTTGTGTTGACCTCGCCTTTTGTCAACATTCTGAGCTGCTCATTTAACGGCAGTATGGTTTGCGATTATTCGGACTCTCCTTTTTTTATTTCTTTAATGCGACCAGTACAGCCTTCATTATTCGGGTCGCATTCTATTCGGGCGTTGACGGGAGCCTCGGGGGAGTTCCACAGCCTACTTTGAATGAGTCTTAATGCAGGAAAGCGAGCCGCGCGGAGGATAGTGAGCCCTAATATCAAATGGGAAACTTGTGCCGAGTCGTAAATATCCTGTAATGTCAATGAAGATCTTTAGGCAATCCACGTATTTGTTATGCCGAGTGAGGAAAAAAATTCAGTCCACAGCCCTTGACGTCCCCTCATGGAAGGCTTAGGCCCGGCCACCTATACCTGCTAGTTTCTCATAATGAAGTTTATTCCTAACGCGTTCGATGCTCTCGAGAGCATCGAGCGCGTTATTTGAAGGTCGTAGGTTCGATTCCTGCTCACGGCACGTTATTTTTTCACCCACTTTTCTTTCTTGTTATTTACATTACATTGGTCTTAACTCCCCTGTACATTCCTTGTCATCATTGTGTTAGATCTCATATATATATATATATATATATATATATATATATATATATATATATATATATATATATATATATATATATATATATATATATATATATATATATATATATATATATATATATATATATATATCCGAATTCACAATCATAGTTTATTGGTTATTATCACGTCTTTCTGTCACAAGTGAGATTAATGTGGCAAGGGACGCTCACACGTCCGGGGAAAAGAGCTGAGATTGCTTATCAGGCCTTAGCAAGCGGCAAGATAGGAGAACACATCGGCGGGCTATTTCTTCTCCAACGCACTTGAGTCTTGCGAGAAGTCGGCCGATATACACACCCGAAGGCGAGCTCCAGACGACGGTCCACGGCAGACGTTCGAATGCAAGACTCGATTGATTGAAGGCAACACTGAGCGCTATGTCGGCACATTTTCTACTTTGTGCAGCCCTTTTTACACTCTCCCATGGGGACGCTACTGTTGCAAGGCCAAACTTCATTATAATGCTCATGGATGACGTGAGTATGTTTGACGTCAGTTTCTCTTCATGACAGCATAGATACGCGGTAAGGTGCACAGCTTACACGCATGAGGGAGGCAGTACGTCGTATTTATTTATCTTGATGCCGCACCGAGTGAATCCAATGTAGGAACGTTTGCAGCACCAAGGAACACGAGGGACGGCGGCAAACAACAAATACCGAATGAATACAATGTGGAAGCAACTAGGTGTAAGCTTTCTTGTATACAGAATTCACTCGGTGCTGCTGAATAAAAATCAACTATATACCAATTTGGAGCCCCGTTCAATGCTACTTATAGCGCGAACTTTTACGTGTTTTCACCTGCCATTCTTAGTTTAGCGCTAACCATTTCAAGGTGTACCATAAAGTTCATTATCAGTACACCTGTAAATTACAAAGGCTCCGAATACGAAATCTGGTCTGAAAAACAATATCTGCTCCGAAACACAAGGCTTATTCATGTCGCTTGATATATCTCATTTTGCTTACAACTGAATTCCAGCTCAACTGAGGAACTTGTAAATGACACATACACGAAAATAATAGTCGTATCTCGGTTCACGAATAAACACTCAGAACAGCACATAGCACGGTGCATGGTAAAACGTGCAGACGTTTTAAAGATCGAAATGCTGTAATGGAGCATTATGCGCTTGTTTTAGAGAAATGTAAGCGTAAAGTGAAGTTAACTAAGTGAATTCACATCTACTGGCTACCTAAGATGGGACAGGCTTATTAAATGGTTGAAACATATTGTGTATGAGTGATGCATTCGCCAGAGAGATGTTGGGTCTGTGTAATGATCACGTCTCTTTTGCAACACCATCATTCAAAAGAACCTCGACTTGCATTAGACAGTACATAATCCCGATAGACTGCATTAACTGCCTTACAGCATACGACCAGTTTGAACCATCAATGCATTAATAAAATAACGAAGGAAATAGCAACTATCATTCAACCCGTATTGAGAACTACAACACCTTGTGTGATGTAGGTTTAATATTGGTTGTTTTGGCAATGAACTCAAGTGAGGCAGAAATGGTTATTATTGATTGGTCTGGCTTTTTTCACTTGAGCCTTAGGGCTAACATCCTCTACGCAGGTAGCCCTTCTTAGCGATGAGATAAAGGTTAAAGATATATGGTTATCGAGTAAAGAAAAATAATTCCTGAATGTGCGGCAAACTTTTGTGAAAGCTAAACTCGCTTGCCCATTAACCAAAAATACTGCTGATTAGCTTTCTAACCAACAAACTCACGGCAAATACTGCATTTAACGAATTGTATGTTGGTGATACATCGCAAGGCCCTTTTAAATAATTTCCGGGATGGCCCCATTCTCGAGATATCTTCATTGCCGGTGTGTGCTATGATACACGTGGGCGTTCTTCATTGCGCAAAACGGCTATATGTTTTAAAAAGATAACGGAATGGGGCATTTGTACCGCAAACTTTATGGCGGATACTTTAAAAAACGCGGCCGAGCTCGGATATCATTCCAACTGATGATGCCTTGCACGGCTACAATTAGCAAATCGCAGTGTTTCATAACGTTATTAACTTAAAGTTGACTTTTTAATCTTTCCTTTTAGACGGGTTGGGGAGACCTCGGTATCCTGGGAGACCCGGCTAAGGAGACTCCCAACCTGGACAGGATGGCCGCCGAAGGAGCGCTGCTCACTGACTTCTACACAGCCAATCCTCTGTGCTCGCCATGTCAGTGGTACTCATAGCCTGCATTATTAGCACTGTACGCTTTGAATTCTGAAATGCTCCACTATCTAATCCGCAACAACGCTGCGCAAGCGATACGAAAGCGGAGAAAAAGAACCAAAAGATTGATGATTTTATTTGTGGGGTTTAACGCCCCAAAACCACCGTATGCTTAGGAGAGACGCCGTAATGGAGAGCTCCGGAAATTTAGACGACCTGGGGTTTTTTAACGTGTGCCCGAATCTGAGCAAACGGGCCTACAGCATTTTCGCCACCATCGAAAATGCAGCCACCGCTGCCGGGATTCGATCTCGCGTCCTGCGGGTCAGCAGCCGAGTATACTTAGCCACCAGACCACTGCGATTGGGCGTAAAGGAACCAAAAGAAGAATTACACACTGGTTAATCATCGACATGAACGAGATTTTCGCCCCGGCAGTAATCTTGAGTAAAACACGTGAGCACCAAGTTTCGTGTAAGAACACCCACTAATATCATTTGTCGGTGAAGTAAGGTCGAAAGTTCTCAGTCACGTGACAGTTTTGTGTATTACTCAACCTCCTATGTACAAATATTCCATTAGCCCAACGTCACGCCGCATGCAACCATCAAAATTAGGGATCCACGATCACATGATCGGCAGGTATGCAGTCTCGGTATCAATGCAAAATTGTTTTATATGACCCATGAGTCAGCAAACATGGCGAGGGCACGACATTAACATCCGATGGTGACAGAACTCACGTGACCAAATGATGACGTTACGTTGCAATGTCAACTAATTCTTGTATGTTGAACTTACGTCATTATATTCAAAATAGAACATGCATTGCAAATTGCACACGCGACGTTCCCAATCACGTCTAGGGAGTCCGCCACAGTGGATCAGTTGCTATATAGTAATCGGCTGCTGACCCGGAAGTTTCGGATTCGATCCCGGCTGCAGCGGTGACATTTCGGTGGAGGCGAAAGGGTAGGAACCCGTGTTCTGTGTGATGGTAAGGCACGGTAAAGAACACCAGATGGTCGAAATTTCCGGAGCCCTCCATGGCATCTCTCGTAATCATATCGTGCTTTTGGGAACCTAAAACATCAGATGCTAATACTAATATTTGAGTTTAGACACCATGCTTTATAAACAGATGAACCATGAAACCCATTGGTAAATCGTAACAAAAATGTACGCGCGACATGTAGCTGTGAATACGCTACGCGTGAACTTCGTGAGAAAACAAAAGAGGTGGAACATATACCGTATACGAAGTAATTTGGTTCACCGAGGGTCATGAGGGCTGTGATCGCAATGGCATGAACGCGGCACCATGAGCGTCGGTAAAATTTTGGCATAAGGGGGGGGGGGGGGCAAGTTGGTGTAATATAGCCATCTAGATGACAGGGTGAGTGCTGGCGCAGCTTGGGCGTGGCAAGGAGCTGTTGTGCCATGGGGGGGGGGGTGGCAGAGTTCTTTTGCAATTTCCTGCCGAAGTCCATGCGTGCCGCCACCAGGCACGCTTGAAGTCGGTGCGCATCATCGGCTTCTTTCCTTTTTATTGCAGCGAGGGCAGCGCTGCTCACGGGCAGGCTACCGATCAGGAATGGCTTCTACACCTCAAACAACCACTCCAGAAACGGTACGGAAATGCGGTGAATGCGAAGCACGCACGCACTCCTCCGAAACTCGCGCAGTCCTTCGCGCGCATGCAGGCTACACGCCCCAGGAGATCATGGGTGGCATCCAGGACAGCGAAGTGCTCATCCCCGAGCTCCTGGCCCAGGCAGGATACCGCAACAAGATCGTCGGAAAATGGTGCGCATAGCTTGCGGCCGAGTGTTGAACGCAAAAAAACAAGAGTTGAACGACTACATGAAACGATTTGATTGATATGTGGTTGATATGTGGGGTTTAACGTCCCAAAACCACCATATGATTATGAGAGACGTCGTAGTGGAGGGCTACGGAAATTTCGACCACCTGGGGTTCTTTAACGTGCACCCAAATCTGAGCACACGGGCCTACAACATTTCCGCCTCCATCGAAAATGCAGCCGCCGCGCCCGGGATTCGAACCCACGACCTGCGTGTCAGTAGCCGAGTACCTTAGCCACTAGACCACCGCGGCGGGGCTACATGAAACGATCGATTCATAGAGAATTTACTTTTCGTACCTGGTTCCCCACTGTTTCGTGAAAGTCAAATGGTGGTCACGTGCGCAAAAAAGTGTTGTTTTTGCTGCATGAGATATGAAAATGCCACTAATGCCCACATGTGTGTAATTTTCTGAGACATCGTTTATATAAGGTGGTCGACGCTCAAGTCGCACGTACTGGAACCCATGTAATATCAAACAAGCAAAGTGCAGATGCGATAGGGAAACCTTGCAGTAAATACCACCGTCTACGCAGGCATCTTGGCCACCAGAAGCAGTACCTGCCCCTGAGACACGGCTTTCACGAGTGGTTCGGTTCACCAAACTGCCACTTCGGCCCTTACGACAACGTCCAGCGGCCGAACATCGCCTTTTTCCGCGATGATCACATGATCGGCAGGTATGCAGTCTCGGTATCAATGCAAAATTGTTTTATATGCCCTTATGAGTCAGCAAATACGGCGAGGGCCTGATGCTAACATCCGATGGTGACAGAACTCACGTGGCCAAATGATGACGTCACGTTGAAATGTTGAAAATTAAAACTGACTTGCCTCAGTTTTAGCATATGGCTAAACGATCACGTCATGTGACAGTCGTTTAACCGATAAAGAACTAAGAACCTCATTAAGTTACAAGGTCACATGACCATGTTACGACGTGGATGTCGAGAGACAGTAACCCGGCACGCCATTCAGTCCGTGCCTCTGTGTGTTCCGCGCTGCTGATTGATTGATTTATATGTGGGGTTCAACGTCCCAAAACCATCATATGATTATGAGAGACGCCGTAGTGGAGGGCTATGGAAATTTTGACCACCTGGGGTTCTTTAACGTGCACCCAATGTTCCGCGCTGCTTTGGCATGCAATGCAGAGTCTGCAACGTTAACTTGAATATTATGGTTTATAAACTGAACGGACTCACTGGTGGTCGAATACTTGTTTCAAAAAGCAGTCGCTGATTTGAGCTTATTTCACTTATCATCAGCGATAAAATAGAGCGTGAATTATGAAGATACGGAGAGAAAGTTTACGTAGACATAAATGCGAGGCAAGCTTCACAAAACGATATGTTTATCATTTTTTTTTTGCACAATCAAAGCACGAAACAATCTAGACTCGATTCCACATTATTGCAGCCACGTGAAACATTTGGCTCTTATTTCGGCGAATGCGACATGCTATTAAACGAAATTTCGCCGTCCATTCCAAGATGGCCGCAGGAGGATGATCAACGCGCGAATACCGTGAACTCGCACAGAAAATGATGGAATGCACGGACGTACTCCCCGTGCCGCTTACACCGGATGGACTCTTAATCGTCGAATGAATGTATGATGGACCAAAGTACGTTCACAAATGATAGGAACTGCTAAATGTTCACTGCCTCATTTCTTCGCGCAGTGCGAAAGGTAGTGGTGTCAGCCGATGGACCGTGCGTCAACGACGCCTTGCGTAATTCTGCGCTTGCTGAAGAAAACTGCGCGAACTAGAATATACGTACGAACTGAACGGCATTCCGAGATGATTTGGGCCGAGCCTGCCAGGCGAATTCGCCGCAGTAGTGGGCCACTAGCGAGTAGCACGCCGTGGCGGCTGCACGAGACCGAATGTTTAACGTAGCGATGGTTTGAAAACATACTACGCCGTCATCATTACTTGCGCTGTAAGCACCATGGAGTTGCATCTTCAACGGAACACAACCATTTACCTTCCCCTTAAGTAGCGCTTGTGTCACAGCCATGTCAGACTCTAACAGCGAGCAATTCACTGCACTCGGTGTTGCAGGTTCCATCAGCGTGATCGCAGCTATTGAAACGAATACACGCGTACGCTTTTCGCAACGTCGAAATTGTGAAAATTCGCCGAACAACAAGGTTGTTCGGATGGTACTGGTGAAGTGCAGGAGAAGTTAGCAGCGTGGACTGTAGTCGTAACTGCACGTTCCGTTGCTCTAACTATTACGCTTAATTCGCTGGTCGAGCTCGAGCGTGTTGGCTACATGCGGCGCTTTGTAATATCCAGTGTAATTGGGCTCCATGCAAAGCACAAGAAAAACGTCCCAAACTACCATATGATTATGAGAAACGCCGTAGTGGAGGGCTCCGGAAATTTGGACCACCTGGGGTTCTTTAACGTGCACCCAAATCTGAGCACACGGGCCTACAACATTTCCGCCTCCATCGGAAATGCAGCCGCCGCAGCCGGGATTCGATCCCGCAAGCTGCGGGTCAGCAGCCGAGTACCTTAGCCACTAGAGCACAGTGGTGGGGCTTTAAACGACAATTATTGTCAGTGCGGAAATTCAGTTTTATTAGAAATGTCAGTGGATCCCTATACGAAATAAATAAATAAAAATAATAAATAAATAACTATATAAATAAATAAGTAAGTAAAAGGGGAGCGTGCACGTGCACTTTAGTTTACGACACGTATTGTTATTTCTGTGTGATGAGCCATACATGTGAATAAAGGAAGAATATTTAACTTGGATTTGCACAACTATCCGTGAAAAGCAACGGGCAGAATATGGCGGTTGTCGTGCATCTTCAGGTCACTGTACAACCACATGACTGACGCGACACTGTATATTTGTCTTAGTCTGTCAGAGGCCCCTACTAATCGCATTCGACGATTTTTGAAACAAAAACAAGTGTCTCAAAATAAACTAAGAACACTCTAGTCACCCCCTGAGGAAGGGACCGAGTCGGTCTCGAAACGTCGGACTCTATTTGAACTGTGGCTGGAGCAATTTCAATTTTCTAAACTCTAGGAATTGAATGAAATTTCAACATCATGAAATATGCATTCCAGGACGTTTCTTTGTTTATTCAATTGCAGGTATTTTGAGGACTTCTCGATAAACCTCACAACACGCACTTCCAACTTGACCCACTTGTACACCAAGGTAGGCATTTTCACTCTGAATGCACTCCTTACTCGAGAGATTTTCGCCCCCTTTATTTTCCTCAAACAAGGATGAGATCTCGTCAGTTAAGAATACTGCCTCATCCTATCACCCTGCTCGCATTAAGTATATTAAGAGCACGCGCACGAATACTCGTCAGTGCGCCGAGACGAGGGCGCTCTGCTGCTCGTCTTGTGATGGGAATCGCACAACTCCTATTCGGGGCCTGGAGTGTGAAAGAATAAGGGGATGTGCAGATAAATTACGACAGATATAGTATGTGAACATTCTTGCTTCTTACTTTCTTCAATGACAAAGCGAAGTAAGAATTTTTTTGTTTGTATGTTGGAGCAACCAGAGGCTTTCTGCGCAACTAATGGGTATATGGGTCCCGCTCTCTCCGCAGGAGGCTGTGGACTTTATCGAGAAGCAGACTGCGCAGCGCCAGCCCTTCTTCCTGTACTGGGCACCGGACGCTACGCACGCTCCCGTATACTCGTCTGAGGAGTTCCGAGGGCGCAGTCAGAGAGGACCGTGAGTGCGTTGAAAGAGAAAAGAAAGAAACAAACTTGCATTGAGCTTCGGCTTCAAGGGTAGAACGCCATTACGTAGCTTAATCAAGCCCCGTGCCTATTTCCTTCTCAACTGCTCGCTTGGTCTCGGTTCGTGGTTCGTGCCTCAACCGTGCCATTAGGAAACGAACGACCGTGTCCGTAACATTGACCGTTTCAAGCCGTCCTGTAATGTCTGCCGCAAGTACAGTTGTTAAGTGCCACTACGTCAAATTTTGGTCTATTGCGAATCACCGAAGGTCTCACTAAGCGTCCGCAAGACAATACGTGAAGCTTCGCAGCTGCTGAATTATTTGATGCTTTTGCCGCTCATGATGATTAAACATGTCTAAGTGCTTTGTATATAGTGAGTGGGCCTTGGAAACACCCACTCGCTGCGATTCACGAGTTTGGACACATGGCGCGATTCTATGTGCTTCTGCCACGTAATATTACACGCGTTAAGGAGACTCCTTCCACTGCGTGACATTCATATAGTGTTTTTTTTTTCGGACGAGTTTCAAGCAGTATCGAGGCTCCGTGGTTGACCACCTCCTTACCATGTGGAAGGCCCGGCTGCAATTCTCAATGGAACCATTTTTTTATTATTTATCTTATTGGCATCTTTCTTGATTTCTAGGTAACGGACGAAAATAATATTTCGCTCACAACCATAGACGTCGACACCGACGTCGGTGACAGTGGAATTCCTGAGAAAGGAGCCCCTTAACGCCATCGCGTTAAAACATGGAGTAGGATAGTATATAAAGACGCAGTTTTCTGCGGGGAGCAGAGTGTATCAGGAAACAAACCGGGGTTAAGAATATTTTAGTTGAAATCAAGAAGAAATGGACATGGGCCGGACACGTAGTGCATAGCCAAGATAACCACTGGTCATTAAGGGTAAGTGACTGCATTCTTAGAAAGGTCAACACATGAAGGGTTGTGGAGACAGAAAGTTAGGTGGGCCGATGAGATTAAAAAGTTCGCAGGTATAACATGGCCGCAGAAAGCACAAGACCAGGTTTATAGGCAGATCACGGGGAGGCCTTTGCCCTGCAGTGGGTGTAGTTAGGATGATGATGATGATGATGATGATGATGATGATGATGATGATGATGAACTCCTCAAACGCAGAAAAAAAATGGCAGAGATTATAAAAAGCGGGCAAATCACTTTCTCCATTCTCGCAAGTTGCTTCGATGACCAACGTGATGCCTTACATGTAAAAGAAAGGAAAGTGCATCGTACCCAATGTCGCCACTGGTGGCTACTTTTCACCAAATTGGCGTAATTGAGAGGCCCGTGGCGACCTAAGATTATCGATGGCAACATGACGAATTTCTGGCGATTGCCGGCTTAGGTCTCGAATGAGTTGCGCATTCGATACTCAGCGTCTTCAAAACAAATTGGCGACAAGATTTTTTTTTTTCATTTTTGTAATGTTAGACTAACCCGTAGGAGGCGCACTTTACGCGCAATACAGTGCGTCAGTCCTGTTTCACCTGTGTATCTTCTCAGTTCACAAACATCCTGGAGGCACTGGCGCATCCGCCAGCAACCTGCCAGGATGATTTAGGTCAGCGGACTTCTTCGCGTACCGCGAGGTAGTGGTGCGTACTAAGTGTTTTAGGTGCCTTAAGAGCTTTAGGCTTTCTTTTTTTTTATTTGTGATGTGGCTAGGTGACGATTAGACCACGTGTTCTGACCGCATCTCCAACTGTCCTGAATAGTTTGTCGACTTCTTCACTGCTGTAGTGCTCCCTAATTTGGTAAGTAGAGTTTAAGTTTGTTATTAACATTCTTTTCGGGCCACCCAAGAAGTCAGCTTCTTTAAACAGCCTTCAGCAACTGCACTGAGGCGATTGTGTAGCGTAAGCTGTCCGTCCGTTTTTTAGTGCGCTTCAACAAAGTTTTCAATTATGAACGTAATCCAACTGGCCTAACTTGCCATCTTGCTGTAGTAAGCGTGATCGCACAAAAAACGGGGTGTGGGCATTGCGATGGTTATGCGGCACTTTCGAATTTATTTCTGTTGTTGTGTGATTAAGTTGTCTGATTATCAAACGCATGATTCCACTGAAATGAAGTTCTCTAAATTTGAAGGAAGGCCACGTAAGTGGTTCCTATCTCATTATAGCGACTGTTTTCTTTGTATTGGCTAAAACATCACAAACTTTACTGATGATCCGTTAGCATTCAGGGACGGTGCTGGTACATGCACACCCTTTATCAGTGCTCCTATAATGAACCGGGTGATGTGACTGGCATTAAAAAAGGTCCATATAATTCAAGGGCTATGAATGGTACTGTACTCCATGAGGCTATACATATTTAGTAATTTTTATTTGGAGGCACGCCACACATATGAAAAGTGGCAACTTTTCTGGCAAAATTCGAAGAAAAATGGCGACTTTTGGCGACTTTCCACTCGTCGTTTTGTGAATTTCCCTTGGAAGTCAATGGCAACCCTGGTCGTACCTAGGCAGACTCTTGTTAGCTTCTCAAAATGGGAAATAATTGCTCAACACTTGAAAGGAGCACGACAAAACTTACACACCGTGACACAAACGGATCGAGTGCATCGATCTGTTTGTGTGTATTCTTTGTGGTGCCCTTTCAAGTGCCGAGCAATTATTTTTTTCCCTGCATAGAATGAACCAACTAGCACGCGAAGAAGCCCTGATCAGAAGGAGACTGCGAAGAAAATGCTGCCAAACTGTGTCAAAACGTAGCTGAAAAGCGTGACTCGCTCTTCTACAACAGAAACGCCAAGCAGATAGAGCAGCGGAGGAACTGAATTGCGACTTCTGAAGCCTTCAACAAGCACTCGTATACAAATTTCTCTTGGACAGCGGAGTGCCTTATGCATGTTGTGCATGGTCGCAGACACTCCGTGATGGACGAAAGTCATCGTAGTGTTAAGCCGTGAAGCTCTATTGCAACAGGTGGCTCCACGTCTATAGAATCAACGACCGGTCGCCACCCGCGTATACCTCAACGCTTGATACCGGCCGCGGACTAAACGCTGCCTCGACGAAGAGCCAGTTGCTTTCTGTCTGTAGAGCCTGCAGCGACCGTCCATCTATAGTATACATCCCATGTCTCCTGGATCGCAGAGAGTATGGCGCATTCTATTTCTTGATCCTTCACCCTGCACAATGCGCCATAGGTGATTCACCATAGCATCACTCATGATGCATAGTACAGGTCGATAGAATCCATGTGCATGCTAAAGTTATGGGGATGGAATTGACAAGTCAGGGCGTCATCTTCAAAATATGCATGTCTCCATCATTATACATGTAATGGTTATACTTCACTTTATTATTAATAGCAATATCGTTGACAACTGTTGTGAGACTGGCACTTTAATATATTTATTTATTTCTCTTCGCAACCGAAGCTACGGGGACGCCGTGATGGAGCTGGATTATGCCGTGGGCGTCATATTGGAAACCCTTCGGCGCACCGGGACGGAGAAGAACACTTTCGTCTTCTTCACTTCTGACAACGGAGCGGCGTTGGTCAGCAAAACGGAAGGTGAGGGGAAAAATATTGGGTGCACATAAAGCCTACAAATACGTCTCCTGTAAATTAGCACACTGCATGGGAGTGGACCCCCACGGTACTCATAAGTTAAACGTAACACTATTTATACACAAGTAAAGGAGGAAGAGGGTTATCGTGGTTGTTCCTTTGGAGGCGTAACTGACCAGCCGCTTGCATTCCTCCCTTTCGGGTGTAGCTAGGAATGTTAAAAAAAAAAGATCTGTTCATAGATTTGGTATACGATGATGATTAAACCAGATGATCCCTAGGCACGAGTCACGGCAACAGTGGGTCAACTTACTGCTGAAATAAAACTTGACTGCCAAAGCTTGCATGTGAACGTTAGCTCGCCGCGCTGAGCTATCTATAGCTTGGTTCGGTCTGCAGGTCGATCTAAGAGCATGTTCCTGTTCGATCCCCATACTGGATTAAACCAACTTCTTCCGCGCGCTCCTTGGAGGATTTTTAGAAGCGAAGCAGCTCTTTGACTAGTCTGTGTAACGCTGTCCCTCCGCGAGTTCGTACGAACGCGCCACAACACGCTTTCCTCGCCGCAGGTGTTGGAGCGCTGCCAATTAAAAGTAGGTCACACTCCCCTCGCAGTGCGGGCTCACGTCACTCTCTCCCTCGCCTGCCGCCTCGTCCGTTCGCCCGCAACACCTACCGCTACCGCCGCTCGCTACACCTCGCGCAATTTCGACGTCGAATGTCTGCAGGAACCTCTCAGCGTGCACTTCACCAATCAGAAGGACTCGACAGTCAACGCGAAACGCGTGCCAGCTCCGGTCCAGCGCCCATGTCCACTTTGAAGAAACAAGACCTACGACAGCCATCGCTTCAAACGAACCTTCCAGCGCTCAACGCAGCAGCTGCGTTAGCGCTGTTCAACCCGTGACGCCACCCGTGCGCAACGCTGCTGCTTCGATTCCCCGTGAGGGTTCTCTTTGGGGAGATGGTGTGATTTTTTTATGTTCCGCTCAACCTTATTCCAATCTAATAGACCTTTTAACAGACGGCTGCCTCAGGTGCTCCCATAATCTTCTTTGAGCTGCACTAAACAGGAATGACCCTCAAAAATACAGTGCCGAATTGAGGCTGTGACGTCAGAATTTGTACCCGTGCGCGGAGCCCAGAATGGCGGCGTTTTTTTCTCTCCCCGTGAAAATGTCTATAAAGAGCTTTAGAATAGGATTGCTAGCGTTGCTTAGGAATAGGCTTTGTAGCGTAGCTTGAGTACGTATGCTATTTTCTAAATATGACGCACGTGCAGTTGCACCAAATGCTAACGCAAAGCTTTTCGAATCCCGGCTGTGGCGGCTGCATTTTCGATGGAGGTGAAAATGCTGTAGGCCCGTGTGCTAAGATTTGGGTGCACGGTAAAGAACACCAGGTGCTAAAAATTTCCCGAGCCATCCACTACGGCGTCTCTCATAATCATATGGTCGTTTTGGGACGTTAAGCCCCACATATCAATCAACACTTATATTGCGATAGCAATTATATGGACAGTATCGGCTGGTTTTTATCGTTGCCAAAGCTGCCGTCATGCACCGTATATGTATAGGTATCTATATACAAGAAAACTCAAGAAAGAAAGAAAACAGCCGCCCGCGCTCTGCACCCAGCTCGTCGCGGTGAGCCAACACGCGCATATCTCCCACGCATACTTGCTTACCCCATGGAGGCGGAAGGGGGGGGGGAGTAGGTGCTTGTGCGCTCGCGCTTATTTTTTTAGTGGAAAGAAACGTGTGCCTTGGCTCTTCACCGGAATGATTGCGTTAGTTGCCTGGGCCACAAAGGTCAACTTCGCTTGCTGGGCAAATTAAGCCCCATTTGCAAAAAGAGCATGCTTTTCAAACACAGTGAACTAACAACTGGGACACTCGTTAGTTCGCACTCATATCTGTATCCGTGATTACGTTTCGTACGTCGTTTTTGATTAAACAGCGCGTTAAGCGATTGATTGATTGATTTGTGGGGTTTAACATCCCAAAACCACCATACGAATATGAGAGACGCCGTAGTGGAGGGCTGCGAAAATTTCGACCACCTGGGGTTCTTTAACGTGCACCCAAATCTGAGCACACGAGCTCAGATTTCCGCCTACATCGGAAATGCAGCCGCCGCAGCCGGGATTCGAGCCCGTGACCCGCGGGTCAGCAGCCGAGTACCTTAGCCACTAGACCACCGCGGCGGGGCAGCGCGTTAAGCGTCAAGTTGTAAACGTTGTTAATTATCTCTTGTCTTGTGCGTGTTGTTTTCGTGCGTCATTTGCGCGTGAGCAGCGCGCTGAACGTTTCGATCTGCTAGCCGTTCTCAGCGTTACAATCCATGTTATTGCTATCGCATTCATTGCTTTGCCCTTGCGGCGAAACTGTGGCTTTTTACCATATGGTTCAAGAAACCAAACAGTATACACTCAGTGCGTCGCATGCAGACTGACGAATCTTAAGGGTCAATGACGTCATGCTTGCAGCTCGCTTGTGTTTAGTCAATGCTGACAACTTCCTTCGTCGAGCAGGCGGCAGCAACGGCCCTTTTCTGTGCGGCAAGCAGACCACATTCGAAGGGGGTCTACGGGAGCCCGCTATCGCCTGGTGGCCCGGCACCGTCCCGGCGGGAAAGGTGAGCCTCACTGTGGCTCGCTTTACGTTGCCCTGCCTTGCTTGTCGTCGGTGAACTGACGCGTCGAGTCAGTTTATCGAAAAGTCTGCTGGTGTCTGGGCTCTCATTGTCCCCGTGGTGACACTGTGATTGGACGACAAAATTGAGCGTGTTGTCTGGCATGACCGCACTAAAATAATCGATTTATATTCCTGTCACACGGGCACCCGCGAAGACCGTTGAACTCCCTCGTCCTTACGACAACGAAGATGCGGTCCGTGTCACACGGCCACCCTTACCCAAACGAAGGTAAACGGAGCGTTTCGCAAAGGACGCTCAACGATCTCCCTTCGCAGCGAAACGAGGTACTCTCGTCCCCAGCAGTCTAGAGGTCAGAGAAAAATTTTGAGCACTAAGTGACCGCAGTGAAAGAATAATACATTTTGGCAATCTTAAACGTTCTTTCGTTGCAGTACTCATTCACAACGCGTGTTTGTTTACATATATTTACGCCCGCAAGAGTTCACTTACTCTCAACACCGATGCTCTACACTCCGTGCCTCGCAAGTGGTGCCTCGCGAGTAGGGCCGGCCGGCGCCATGGAAAAATATTTCGTCCATGCGTGTGGTTGTGGTCGTCGCTGTGTCACTCTTGGCTGAAGAACACAAAATGTGCGCTCACGAGGCAAGGAAGCACAAGAACTTTTGTACACAAACATGAACACAGGCAACAAAACAACTAAAAGCACAATGTGGCCAGCGTCACTAGCAGCATCGCTACATTTAGCGAATTCGTTTTTCTTTGAAAATATTTTTATGGTTTGTTAGCCTCTTACCTCCTTAATAGTGTTTTTTTTTGTAAAAATCCTCGAACAAGGATTCACAAAAAAATTAATAGAGATGAAATTAGAATACTTTTCCGAAAATTAAACAGCGCCAGCTGAGTCCCCTCGCACCAACTGTTACAACCTTTTCATTGCCGTGTGACACTGCCACAACTGCTTCTCTGTCGAACCACCTAGGGGACATTTACGTTGACGGTGTTCAACAAAGTTTAGTGGTGGCCGTGTGACAGGGGTATTACACCGATTGCTTCACGCTTTCGGACTTTTTTTTTATTCCCACAAAATTTGGCGTCCTGTTTGATTTTTTTTTTTGCGATAACTCGTGCGTTTTCATGCACGTCCTTTTCACCCCCAATCGAAACAAATTTCTGGCTGCGTGGCGCTCTGCATAATGCGTACTGTCTCGCAGCAGGTGAGTGGAGTAGCGGCCACCGTGCTTGACCTCCTGCCCACTCTGTGCGAGCTTGCCGGTGTGGCACTGCCCCCAAGTCTGGTCCTAGACGGCGCCAGCATCACACACCTGCTGCTAGCGGAATCGTCGTTGCATGACATACGCCTTAATCACAACAGGTAAACAAGTGCCGTTTCAGCAGAACAAAGATAGCCCCGCCGCGGTGACTAAGGTACTCGGCTGCTGACCCGCAGGTCGCGGGGTCAAATTCCGGCTGCGGCGGCTGCATATTCGATGGAGGCGGAAATGTAGGCCCGTGTGCTCAGATTTGGGTGCACGTTAAAGAACCCCAGGTGGTCGAAATTTCCAGAGCCCTCCACTACGGCGTCTCTCATAATCATATGGTGGTTTTGGCACATTAAACCCCACAAATCAATCAGCGGAACAAAGATTGTTCACAAGTGAGCGGTGGCCGGAGCCGCAAAATTGCGACAGGCGGCGCTGTTGTTCAAGAGCACATTAATAGCGAGATTACCAAGCATCTTCAATTTTAAAATGCAGGAGTGGCCGGGGGACCGGTGAAAAGCAGCCAATATTGCTGGTGGCCCATCCAAAAGCCCATATCTTGAAGAAACGCTTGTTAATTGCTTATAGACAGATGTGGCTACGCACACGATATTGCTTTTTTTCTTTTTTTCACCGTATCCTTATCGCAGCTGTACAGAAAAAAGGGCTGCTTGTTGGAGTGTTTTCCATCGGCAACGACTGTTTTGGAAAATGGAACGTGCATGGCACTCACGACATCGGCGTGCTCGGAAAGAACTAGCAGTTGTTCCGTGTACGAATACAACCGATGCCAGGAACGATGAGCGAAGCTCCTCGGAAATGGGGCGCAAACGACTATGCGCCTGATGTCGCTGCTGGCTTTCTTGAAGGCGGTAGTGTGTGGGGAGCGTCTTGCTGCTGCGATCGTTGGCGGGAACGACTGAGAGTGCGGTGCGGCCAGCGCGAGCCAGCCTTGGACCAACCACTGGGCAGAGTGGAACCCCGAATATCCCACGCGGTTGCAGACGACAGGGCGAAGCGATGGTTGCGCGTAGTTTCGCGCCTTCACCGGTTTGAGGGGAGAGGCACAGACGCACAAAAAGAGACAGGTTGGAGGGGAGTACGAGCGGTGATGCGGCGGGGAGCTTCGCCGGCGTGCGTGCTCGTAATGCACTGTATGCCTTGAGCTTTTGCTACTAGAAAAAGAATATCGACCAATATGCAACAGAGGATATCACCTTCTGCATGCTTACTTCCCCGACTGTGCTTGTAATCGCATTCTGATAGGGGAACAAAAAAAAAATAAAAGAGAACACGCAAGTAATTGTCAGTAAGAGCGACAGAGTGAATAACAAGAGATACAAAACATGTGCACTGCAGAAGACAGCAGTGACGTAACGTGGTGATGAAATTAATAAATGTGCAGGCATGAAATGAAATCGACTTTCCCAGGACAGGGTAAATTGGAGATCATTGAGAGATGCATTCGTTCTGCTGTGGACAGATGATAGAGTGAGGACAAATATTTTACAACCAAAAACACGACATGATTATCAGATACGCCACAGTGGAGGACACTGCAAATTTCGACCATCTGGTGTTCTTTAACGCGCACTGACATCACACGGACCTCTAGTATATCGGTTTGCCCCCATCAAAATTGGAAACAATTTTAATTGGGGAACATAAAAGTTCTGAAAGTCATTTCATAGAAGTGTGCTCAATTGCTACTTGGCGACATTGTTCAGCTGATTCGAGACCACCGCACGCGACCCTAAAAATGTAGTATTTGCTGAGTTGCGGTTTTTTTTTTTTTTCGCGTGTTTTCCGATTTCGATAGCAATATACAATTAGACGCGAAGGGCACCTGCGGAGGGCGTAATCGTTCCCTTTATGCAGGCCAGTGTTTTACTACCGTGGCAACGAGCTCATGGCGGTGCGAAATGGCCTTTACAAGGCGCACTTCTGGACCTGGACAAATTCCTTGGAGGAGTTCCAGCAGGTATGCGTAATGATCGGGCCAAGTGCTGGATCACCGGCCCAACTAATCCTAAATATGCGCCTCAGTTCTATGTTTAGGGTCGATGGGCTATACACAAATTCATAACACCGTACCAAAATATTTCGCTGTGCTATTTACGCTGGAAAATATTACTTTTCGGAAATTCAATTTACAAGAGTGGTGCGAAACGCAAAGGTTTTGTTTGATCTGTAGTTGGTCACACATACTTATTTACACATTCGGCGAGAAGAAACACTGTAAAAGCGCTGTGGCCTCCATCCTGTTCTATGGTGCAGTGTTAATTTTCCTCGTCTGTTTTTTTTTTTTCGGGCAGTGATGTATTCACTGCAAATAGGAATAGGCATGCTGCGTACTCCGGCAGGACCATAGACAAAAATATATCTCAGGGTGCGAGGTGGGAGGGGGGGGGGGGAGTACCTACTTTGTTATGTGTGTTCGTGTGTGTATATATGCCTTAAAATTTTGGTTGCATCATAGCCGCCCCTCCCTCCTTGCCCTTCTACCCGCGAATACGTGGTTGGCATTAGATACGAGTAAGAAAAGCCGATCATTTCCTCGGACAATGTCAGGGAGTCGTGCAATGAGCGGTCGGCGTAAAATTGCGTCGCATAAACGAGGTTTTAAATACATTATTCCTATAGAAGTTTTGACAAGATAAAACTGACTCGTCCTGAAACTGGGGGACATAACATATATAGTGGTTTGAAAGCGGATATCGCTAGCTTTTCTTTTATGCGATATTTCGGGTGGCACGAATATTTTAGCAGCACTTCGAGATTCACATCACCCTTGTATACGACAATATTCGCTGCAACCAACGTTTCGACAAGTTTATACTTGATGAAACGTTGTCTCCTGTGACATTCCCAATTTTTGGCGATTTTGTGCCTATTCATTATTCATTAAGTTCTGACAGCTATATAAAAATATATGAAAGGAGTTTGTGCTATGGAACATTGCGAATTCTATTTTTTGGTTTCAAGCTATCCGACAAGTCACCTGGCTGCTGGTCATTTGGTAGATATTGTCGAATTTACTTTGTGTTACACATGGACACGGTATACATTGGCTGCGACCCAGAATAGACAACGCAACTATACGTTTAAGTGTGTGCCGCTTACGGGTTAAGCTGTAAATTAGAAATAGTAGTCAAAATACTGTCAGAATTGTGCTTTAGTTGGACAACACACCAAAATATCGAAGCTAGAAAGAGCAACGACGGTATAAAGGATATTATAAAGGTACTTCAAGAGGAACATGAATATCCTACACGCAGGGTGACGACTTCTGTCCCGGTGTGGTGGTCAACGACGTGACGTCTCACGTGCAGAGAAACCACACGGCGTCGCCAGTTCTCTTCCACCTCGGAAGGGATCCCGGAGAGAAGTATCCAATTAGGTGTGTGAAGGACACAATTCACGCGCGGTATGTTCAAATTGCGCCTTTAAACATCGCCAACGAATAAGAGATCTGCTAGAAATTTAATGTCCGTATAACTGTGTCCAGGCACATCTGTTTCCTTTTGTTCGTGAATATAGTGACCATCCCAGATTTTTTTTTTCACGAAGTGGGGGAACGGGGGAGGGGGCAGCCACCGTCTATGTATGTTTGTACGTGCGTGCATAATTATATAGACGCAAAACTTAAACATGTCGCAAGAAGAGGGGAGTGGTTAGACTTCCCCCTTCCCCGACTATCCAAATGCTCGCAAATATGTGTCCCCCGCGCAACATTTCCATAATTAGTGTTAGTGCAAGGTGTTCCCACAAGAAACGATAATATAAATTTAGTTACGAGTCAGACTTAGGTGAGCAGCCTAATAAATACGCGAATTACTTTGGAGTAACCATGTACCGATTACACAAGCGCATTCTTTTCATCAAAAGTGCTAACACAAGTTGGTAAGAAGTCTCTCTTATTCTTTCATTTCTGTCGTAGCTGCTGAACAGGGTGCAGAAAAGCACGAAATATTGTGTACATGCACATTACATTTTACTGAATACGTGGATGATTATTAAATAGTTATCATTTAAAGGGAATCCGGTCGCTAAAGTAGACAAGCAAGGTGAGTGCAGTGGGTTCATATAGCTGCCTATTATACACTCGAGGTTATAATTCTAGGTACACGACAATGGTTACCCCGGAATTGGGTGCGTCCCTTGGTGGCTTACAGGTCAGGTTTCCTGAAGGGTTCACGCAGAAGCGTAGCTTCTCCTATTTTTCTAGGAAGGATGGAGCTTACTGCACATTGCGGGCCTCAAATAACAAAATATATCGGCTGTTTGTGCGATGAAAATATGGAAGTTTACTTCCACATCGTTGATTCCTTCAATTTACGGTTCCATTTCGTAGTGTACTGCCTATGTACGTAACAGTTCGGACTGTTACACTGCTGCTACAAACACTGCTGCTAAAAACTGGAGGTGTTGAAAAAAAATTCATTTGAAGAAATAATACATCATGTGATCACATATAGTTAGTCAGCCATACATTATGTTTACAACCGCCGCAGCCGGGATTGGAACCCACGACCCTCGAGTCCGCAGCCGAGCGCCCGCTAAAAGACTGGCGGGCTACTGTACAAGCTTCAAAGTTTACTATTCTTGTGTGTTTGCCGCAGTTGTCCACCACTTGGTTTGGACGTGTTCTGGGACAAAAAAAAAAAAAAAGTCCGCGAAAACGTACACCGTATGTAGCGTTATGCGAACGACCTGAAAGACACGAACGATGACTCGCGGACCAAACAGTCCACCTTGCTTTTGCAGCATCTTCGTGAAACAGCTCGGACCTGCATGCCTACAGGCTGAATCCTAACAAGGCGAGAACATTTTTTTAGGCACACTACAACAACAGCGCGATATTACTTTTTTTTTTCTTGTTACAGCCCTAAAAGTGCTGAATATCGCGAGTGCATGGCGTCCATCTTCAGTATTTACCACGAGCACAGAGCGTCGTTGATTCCTGGGAAACCGCAGCTAGACTGGTGCGATGCTGCTGTCATGGTGAGTAAGCGCGAAAGTGAAACCGACCACTGCTGATGCTCAAATCTTTGCACATTTCCCACCACACTCGTTTAATTGGAGTGCTGTATTGTGCTTCCGCCTTTCTCCGAAGTGTAAATCAAGCTGGAGTTATACTGTGGCTTGGGCGTGCGTGCCTGCTCGCTTCATGACACACTCTTTCAACGATCGCTGCCACATCACGACGCATCGTGCAGCGACCGTCTTTTTTTTTTTTCGTTTACTCATGAGCGCGTGTAGCTCTAACGGTGCGCGATAAGTAAATGCGCACTCCGGTACTCTGAAAAAGAAGTCAATGAGCCTCCTCCGGGTGTCATTCTTTCTTCGGTTAAAGCATAGTAAATGAAACTTTGGGATTGTTGCGCGCTAAAATCAAGATCTTTCAGTGGGGCGCGCGCACAGCCGGATCTCACGGTGGATGCTATGTTCTTTATTGCGCCAAAGCTTCACAGTCGCTGCATCTGGCGCTTCCCCTCGCGTTGTATTTATTTGCAGTGAAGCCACTTCTACAGTGAAGGTGCAGAATATCATCTACAAGCTCGCGACAGCTCGGCGATCTGATGTCCAATGGCGCTACGGAAAGCGTAGTCGATAAGTAATTACCATATTGTCCTACAAAATACAAAAGTAGAAGTGGAGAGTATCGACCCAGTGGCTGTATAGTATTTGCAGTCGCATTAGGCAAGCGCAGATGCACGATCATGTTTAATATGCGTAAAAATACACACACAGACAAATCAACTCAGACCTTTTTTTTTTCGTTTAGTATTAATCCAACGACGTTAAGCCAAGAATTCTTTTCATAATTACACTAACTGCGCTGACTGCCGTAAGACTTCTGCAATGAATGGTAGGCGGCTCCAGAAAACCCCGAATGTTAACTTTGCCCTTGCTCAAACAAAGTGTCCCATACGATCTTACTTCGCCGTTCTTATCTTTTTCTTAGTTTTTATTATGTTCACCTGTTTTTGTACGAGATCAAGTGAGCTCATTCATTCTCCATTTTTCCTTTCAGCACTGGGCACCTCCTGGGTGTGAAAAGTTAGGACGGTGTCTGAGAAAGCCGCCATCACGGCCATACCTGTGCGACTGGCCTCACTAAGGCCACGCCGAGCTCCCCACCATCCCCGTTCGCGACAGGCGTCAGCGAACCTAAATTTATCCTTCAAGTTGTCCCTAAACCTGGAATATCTAAATCACGTAAGTTCTGCTAGGTTCACTCGGAAAGTTATTGGCGAATTGTGAAAGAAAAAAAAATGAGTAAAACAATGAAAATTGTCTGATTATTCCTTCTGCATGGTTGAAAAAAAAAAGAACGAATATTTGGGCTACTTGGTTAAACTCCATTATAACATGGTACGCTGTTGATGCGTATCATAATACGAAATTTGGTGACGAATGCGCGAGCCAGCCTTCGGTGGTTTTGCATAAAAGAGAGATCGCGATTTTAGATTAGATTAGCCATTTTATCCTTGTGCCTTCATTTTTATCGGGCACTCCCCTTGAACTATGTCACGTTTCTTGTGTTTCCTGTTGAAATATTTTGCCTGTTTGCATATATTAACATGTGTGCTGCGAAAAGTAAAGTCAGTTGGTAGACAGCGCTCTTGTTGTCTCTCTTTGCCTTCCGTTCCTCGCTTTCCATTTGCTTTTCTTCCAGCACTTTCGTGCTTGCGTTGCAACCCTTATTATATTTAAACACATAAGGCTTCATGTTACCTACAAAGTCATTTATAATTTAAGATTTAGTTTCAAGAGATTGAAAAATTCTTCTCTTTGACCTAGCTTTCATTTCGTACTGAACATCTCCTGTATTCAGCTTTACTACAGCAACAAATGCACTTTTTGAAAAAACTCAAAGCATAAGTGAAAAGACACTGGATGGAGAAGGAAACACACATACCAAATGTGCTAAAAAAGTAACAACTGGTCCACTTATGCACCCTATTACACATATTGATTTGCAAAATAAAGTTCCACATCTCATCACTATAGTAACTGAAAAAGCAGAAGAAAGCTTAAGAATTCCTTTTTAACTAAATGTTATGGCTGGGGCAGGTAAAGCGTATGAAATTACATGGTCTCTCTGATTGACATTGATGTTCTCGAAAGTAACTACTCGAGCTATAATATATGGTCATGCAAGGTAAATAAACAAACAATGTAGCTGAACAATAGGCGATAATAACTTTTGTCCTTGCTTGCAGCTGTCAGAACACAGCTGTGGTAGCTCACTTGAAAAATTGAGATGAGCACTTTTAATTGATGCTTTTTGTTAGCTGTACCCGTCAGTTAATGTAGAAACAGCCGCAAAAGTCGCAACTACTCTGGGAGGTGAAGGCACCATGACTGATTTATATTTCAAATATAAAACAAACACTGTTCTGCCTGACAAGCTGTATGCAAACCATGATTTAATGTGTAGCATGAGCAACCCTGTTGCCCCATCCACAGACAGCTAGATTACTAAGTGCTTTTATCTTGCACATAGAGCTTATTTACTTCCACACCAGATGCTCAAAAGTGCCCAGAGACTAACACTCAAACCCTTGCAAACACGAACGTATACCCAAATTCCCATCTATTGCATGTGACCTGCCCTGATCAGCAGCACCACCAAACATTTTTTTACGAGTGGGAGGAGAAAATAAAGTTGCCCCCCCCCCAACTCCTGCGGCTACACCTCTGGCCCTGACACCCACACTTGCACCCCATTTTCTTAGCTTTCCGCCTTTTCCGAAGGACTCCCCCCCCCACCGTCCTGAACACTCACATTACTGATGTCTGCGCACTAGCTAGCTCGAACACATCCTCTGGCGATGCACCAAATAACACTTTTCATCTGATGCCACCTCGGCCAGGTGACAGGTAGCTCTACACAGGCCACTTTCAGCTGACTAATTCTGGGCTATCCAGCAGGCTAAGAGGCTTGGCCTGAGACGTGCTCTGCAAGACTTAAATAAAGTTTTCCATTTATAAGCAATCCTCAAGTGACTGTTTACACATGCGACTAAATTCTTCTGTCAAGAATAACTATATCACAGTCATAAGAGTGATAAAATTATGAAGCAAGAAAAAAAATGAAGAGCGAGAGAGTGATGAATACGTTGTTTGTAGACGTTTGAACCAACCTCCGTCTGCTTGTGGTCAGGTAGGGCTTTCATGATCACAGTTTAACGTCCAGTGAGGAAGAAGAGTGCCATGATGAACTTGAATTATGTTGTGACATCGCAGTCAACTTCCAATTGATCATTTTATTCTTTTGGAGCCCCGATTCTTGCAACCGACATAACAAGACAGTTCTACAATGTGCACACAAGGCCCACACAGGCACACAAAACAACTTTCATAAAAAACATGATATGCTCAAAGCTTGCCAGGAGGTTGATTTCAGTATGCATGCTGGCCATCATGCCTGCAATGCTTTTGCACATCATGTAAACTAGCTTGGTCCGCGAAAACTCAATTGTCCAATGTGAGTTGCATCTTATACTAATGTAAAAAGAAAGTGATTGCATAACAAAAGTCTGTCCATGTTATACCAGGTGATGCTAGCAGTACACGAAATTAACGTTGCCAAGATGAAGAGAAGTGCAAACTGCAAATAGAATAAGTACACCTCTGATGAAGTTGAGCCAGATTTCCTAAAAGCGCACGACAAACCTCTTAGAGAGTGTGCAAGTGGTATAATTTTCTTTTCATTTTGGCTGGTTGTTGCCATCAATTAAGAAACCGTAAAAATAGCATGTGCTGTTTGGTTTCTCAGTGCAAAATAACGGCATTAAAATTCTAAAGAACAATGCAACACCAAACCTCACGTCATCTGAAAATGACACAATGACTCACACTCATGTCGAATTCTGACACTCGTAAAACATAAAGTATTGCGAGTTTTATGCTTATGAAGATCATTTTTTACTATTCTTTTCATTTCCTTTAACTTCTAATAAATTTTCATGACATCATTCTGGCAACTACTTGCCCCAATTCACTAACTAATTACACCTATTAACTAACGTTAAAGTGATACTATCATAATCTTATTCATTAAATTCACATTATGTTGATGTTAGTAAATTGCCTATCCAAGGTACTGCACTTTTTTACTTGCTTTAATTGATTCTTTTATCCTGCTGTTGTAGCCTCAAGTAGCTTTTTTCATCTAGGTTATTCAACAAACCTTAATAATTATGTTAATTTAGCTTATGAGTGCTTTCTTTGGATTAGCAGTTCCCCTCATGTGGCACTGGCATCCTGCAATCTTCAAACTTATTTTTTTATTTTTTGTGCTAGTAATGGGTAATATATTTATTTACTTTTAGCGACATTTGTACAGATACTCTGACCTAATGATAATCAATCAATTTTCTTATCAGTGAGAAGGCTAGATGAGTATATTAACTGCACAGTCTTGTACGCTCATTATGTGCATTGTATACATCAGACGATGCAAAAACAAAAAAAGTTCATCACAGCATCAAACATCAAACTGCCTACATAAATTACTATATTGCTGTTCTATGTAATAATGACATTACATATTGCCAAGCATCACTGTATCGCAAATGGGCTGTGATATGTCATTAGAAAATTAGCTGGACAAAGTGTGGAAGCAGAACTAGAGTGACGTGAAGGATTTAAAGAAAACAGGACTTAGTGTGAGTGATAAAAAATAATAAGAAATGTAAAAAAACTCTATAGGAAATCAAAATGTTCAAGAAATATTTGAAAACTTATAAAACCTAGGCATTAGGAACTGTGAAAAATTTAACGATCTTCTCCCATGCAGCACTTGTAAAAAATGTCACCCATACGAAGTGGCAAAAATAAAAAATACTGAAACATCTCTTACCACAAAGCACACATGTAAGAGTGTTTCAGCAGAATAAAAAAGGCATTGTCCACGACCTTTCCCTCACTCTTGCGTTCACCATAAATGACAGCCTAACGGCATTTCACTGCCAAAAAAATGAAAAACAGGCTGCTCTTCTTATCAAGAGTTCACATCACATATAAAAAGTGTTCTAAGGCTAGACAAGTTGTAAAAAAACACTGTCAGAAACAGTCCAAAAATAGTGGTAAAAACACACCCCATTATGCAGGCCAAATTCCATGAGATACTCGGATATGAAAATTGTCAAAAATGCATGCAAGTAATCTAATCTTTAGAACTTGATTCCCATACCGATGACTTCATATAACACGAAGCCGCTAAGGTGAGAATTATGCATCAGAACAAATGGAGTCACATTGGTTGATACACACACCCATGGGCTTGCACTGTGATCTTCTGGCACCATTATAAGAGGTAAGGTGTGTGTGCTATCATAGTATAATTCGATTTGTTAATAAGTGTCACGCACATGCATGCAAACGAAGAGCAGTTTGCGTTTGGTTTCTTACTATATGTGCGCTACACTGTACTGGCATGCAGCATCAAGCTTGTGGTCTAATTGAAATGTTAAACTTGTGTTTTTTACAAACAAAAAGTTTTCTCCTTTGTGACAGAAAAAAAATTATATGCATATTTAAAATATGGATATATCAATACAGTCCTACATTGGGATCAGTTTTACACAAGCATGCACACATACATGTTATATACAAAGAGCCAATGCTTTTTCTCTACCAGTACATGTGATGCAGAGTTACTGAAGCACAGACCTTGAATTGTACTCATTGTTCTTCACTGGCCCTAGATAGCCAGCTGCCAGGCACATAACTTGAGATGTCCGGTAGCAAATACAAGTGGTCCATGTTCTCATTCCCCAAATAGAAGACCAAAAGAAATAAGATTGTGTGATATGAGCTTTACTTTTTACCCACAGCTTTTCTAAAAGGGGCCCCGCAACACATTTTCAGCATGGTCAGAAAACGCTGCTGATTGATAGTCTAGGCCCATGAGAGCACATGAGCCAAACTTTAGAGTGCAGCATGCAGCCCGGAACCTACAATTAATTCTTAAATTCAGCTAGAAATCATTTCCTCTTCTCATGAGAAAAGATACCATAAACGCAAAGTTCAAGGCCATTGGCTGATTTGGGCATCGTAGGCTACACACTTACTGTCGCCGCTACAGAATACTGTCACCTGCCCGGGTGCACGTCAGCAATCACATTTAAGGTAAGCCGCGTGTTCGAAAGAGACAACAAACTACTCAAGGTTATGACGGGCTCTGATGAAGGGACACTTCTTGCCCCTTGTTATTCTCCTCCCCTGCGTAGCTTTCTGCATTCTCAAAAGCATGAGAGAAAAGAGAAAGTGCTTGAAGCATGCGACAAATCCCTGTAAATCCACCCATACTGGAGATATTCTAAATATTTTTTCATCAGTTTACTCACAAAGCAATAAACTCCTCCTGTGGAACCATTAAAGAATTACTTTGAAAAGTGTTGCAGGACTTCTTTAATGATTAAAAGCAGTGCATTTACTCTTAAGCAATATTATGGCTTGGAAAAGGACACTGATTTAACTAGCAGAGCTTTCCTCCCCAAACTGAGTAAAACAAATATGTTCATAGTGTCACAGCAATAAATAAACTTTGCAACATAATTTTACTACGAATCTAAATTTAAAATAAATATTAATTTTAAATCTGGATTTGATTATAAACATACACAACATAGAGAGTAATAAGTAATTATTTACTAAATGCCTGCATATGCAAAACTAGCAATAGGTCATTGTTTGTTCTCCAAAAAGTATACCAAAAATTGAGGCATTAAGACAATAGCTGAGATAATGGAAAATTGTGAACTGTGATACATGAGAATATGACCAGAACAATTCCAATTAAAAAAAGGTGAGAGCTCAGTTACAAAATTTCTGAATGCTATTATCTGGTTTTTAACCAGCTATACCTTTGTTGCCTACTTTAGCAGACCATTAAATTAATTGAGTTATACACTATCATGTATCTACAAATCATTTGACCACGTTAATATGGTGATCAGTTTGATGGAGCTGGTGAGAGATTGTCCAGCCTGTTTGACCTTATTGAATATATTTAAGTACAACTAGCTACTCCACCAGATTTCCACTGCAATACAATTGAAGGCAGTCTTTGTGGTCATCTAGCTGGACTCTCGATGTCATCCAACTAAAGCAGCTCAAGAGCTCGCCCCGTGGTTGCAAGTAATGTGAACTTGGGTAATTTGCAGCTGGCTAGGGTGAGCCGTTTCAATCTAGCTAACTAGTGCCTAGCCCTTGACTGTCTGATCAAACATCTCTGGGTGAATCATATTATGTTGAAAGAACCAGGTGAACTGATTTGCATTCAATTCAGCAAGCTTACTTATACACTAGAGTAACTGATTTGTATAAAAAGCAATTTACTTGAAAAAGGCATGCTTTCTATCAATTATAACATTACTCGTGCAATATAAAATGACTGGGCTAACCAGTTCTTCGAAACGAATATGCAGAGTTTTATTGAAGATTTATATCTTAAAAAAAAAAGTAAGTCCTGCTCTCCATTTATCAAGCTGAATTACGAAGTTCTGTTGTTTCAGAGCACTTGCATTTATGTGTTGCTATTATGGGTAGTAACTATGTATATTGCTATTTTATAGAATTGCTCATTCATATGCTTTTCAACTTAGACCAGTTTGTGTTGAGCCTCATTTAGGTGAACAAGTATTTAGGCTCTATTACAAAGTAGTTGGTATTTATAGATACTGCCGGGTACCTTGAACACCTGAATGATGATCTGAGATGTTTAGTCTTGAACTTCTATGTTAAAGCAATTGATGAACTTTTAACTTGGAACTTTGGTTCAATATATGTCCAAATGAGAGACCCAATATTCATGAAAATGGGTGGCAGTGCAATGATGGACCCACTAGAAGAGAACGAGCTTTTGTGTTTGTGTTTTTGCATGCCCACCCCCTTTCGTGGTGAATACTTCCAAAGTAGCTCAAGTTTCCGACGTTCTAACCTATGCATTCAATTGCCACCCAGAGTGATGTCTTATACGATTTTGAATAAATGTAACTAGTCTATCTAGGTCGTAGTGAAAAACAATTTGTTTTTGTCTAAGTTTTTTATAATGCATTGCCAAACTGTGAAGGCTCTTTTAACAATCTCTCATAGTAAATAGACAGCCAATACTTGATGAACAGTTATGCTTACCTTGTTAATATTGCTAGCTACCACTTAAAATGCCATATCTCATGAGTTAGCACCTGGTGTCAACTTTTCTGACTGGATACCTTGCAGAGACTTCGTGCAGGCCTGAATTCAGTATGTTCAAGAATTACAATAATTGTGTTAACTTCATTATCAGCTACAACTACAAAAGTAAGCTGTTAGCTGTTGATCCTTCCATTTACTGCTGCCCAGCTCAATGGCTGTAGGCAAATAGGGGTCAAAGGGTAATATAGTATTTTTTAATTATTCACTTGCCTATATTGAAAGTTTTGACATTAGTAGAGTCAAGTAAGCTGCTGGCAGCTGACCATCAACAGCACCAGAGGTGGCATGCTCTTATTAATTCCGATGTAAAACTTCCTAACAAGTGCAAAGAACCATGCTGATACACTTGCATCACTAGAGAACAGTTGTATCCTACCAGAATGTTTTGTAAAGACGAATCTGGTTCTGTTTACATCACAATACGCTGTAGTACAATCCATCACTTTGGTTCATATCAAGCAGTACACATTTACACATAGTGACAAGTCATTTAACTAACAGCTATTGTAACAGAACATAACACAGCTTTAAAAAAATGTAGAAGCTATTATTTGTCAAGCTTCATTTAAACATTTGTACATTATACTAATATCTATTTACAAAATAAAATATATCAACATGAAAATATCTTATACAAATAATAAATAATCATTGGTAAGGCAAATTAAATATTTATTGTTATTTACTGAAAACTAAAAATATTGTATTCAGTTGTTTCTGAAAGATTTCTAGATGGCACAATCAAATAAAAATAAACAGTGACAGCTAAATGACCTCATTTCCTCTTCAGTTTTCAAAGTTCACTTAACTTGCTGCTCAGACGACAGCATTCAGGGCATGCATTTCAACTACTGATAATGCAAGTTACCACATTCTGCACAGTAAGTGCAACACAGAATCTACACATGTAAACTGAATATAAACTATGGCTGCCTCAACCTGTGCAAATTTAATGTTATCCTCGTTGGCCATCTGCTCAGGAACAAATTTTCTTATTGTGGGGGGTGATGAAAGCTTCATTCACCATTTTTAGTTATGACTAGCGCTTTGGCTCAGAGCCAAGTTTGTTCCCAGCCAGTGGGCTGAGAGGAGACAACACTGTGGTGCTGTACTTGCACAGAGTCTGGAGGACGCTCGGTGCTTTTTCCTCGTAGCGTAGAAAGCATGCCAATATGCATGTCCCATGGCAGAGGAGCTCTCTCAACATGCTCGATGGCAAAGCTGGGGCCCAGAACATCGGGCCGACCCCTGGGAAGCGTGTTGGCCCAGGTTTGTGGTGGGGCCTCCCCCCCGTGTGTGACAGCCAGCAAGTCGGGCTGTGATGACAGGGACCCCTGGCGAAACATGCTAGTTGGGGAGACACCGCCCGGAGAAACAGGAGGAACAGCATCCAGTGGCCTTGGCGAGGAGAACTGCTCTCGGCACGCGGACAGGTCGTGCTGGAGGCTCTGCTCAGACGAGCCAGTTGGAGCCGTTGCGGGTCTGGTCACTTTGTGGCTGGGTAGTAGAGGCTCTCCTGGGGAACGTGAAATGTGATGCCGGCCGCTGGGGGGTAGCTGTTTCCAGGATATGGGGGAGGCTTCTCGCAAAGACGTTCGGCAGTGCCCCCGTAAACACCTCCGCTTCCAGGCTGGTGACCTGGGTCACACACACCACCCCTCGGGGGTCAATGCCCTTAGCACACCCCCCGCCCAAAGGCTTGTCTCTGCCCAGTGCCACAATGGCCAATGAGTCCTCCGCAGCAGTGAAATTGTTTCAAAGGTCATGTAAGGTCCTGTGAAGCAAGTACACTGACTCTCCTATAGCCCCAGTAGCACTGTGCAGGGACAAGCTATCCTCAGACAGGTATCCTGTGGGTTGGATGCTTTCACCGGATCAATATCCATTATCAAAGGATCTTTCCTGGTTATGTAAGGTCAAATTTATTCTGAATGACCATTTCTTGTGCTGCACTTTGTACTTTTTGCCACAGATTTTTTCCGCTAACAAATTTGCACTTGTGAGATAAAAAATGCAAGTTTCTAAAGAGTTTGGTGGTGTTGGTTTTTGCTATTTATAGTGCGGCACTGAAGTAAATATTGTTTGCTAACCTTGTATTTATGTGTAAAAAAGCTTGATTTGCTCTTAATGTCCAGAATCTTTTACTGAGCCTAACGTTAACATAAGAATTGGCTAACACCATACACTGCGTGCATGAAAAGCTATCAGGCAAAAGTACTGAATAAACTACATAACCTTTCACAAAAAAGCAACTATGAAAAGTACTAATAAATCCCTGCTAAATAATTTTGAATCTGCACACTGAGTTCATTTCATGATCCAGCAGTGTGTCAGGATAAATATCACATGTCTGCCTCAGGAATCATCTTAACAGCATAAAAAGTGTATTGATAAAAGGAGCATACACTGTGTGACATAATTTTATCAACCATCAAAGCTGGCCAAAAATGGGAAAAAAGTGATTTGCTTCGCAAATACCAAGCTATCTCATTATTGTTGAGGGCAACCTGATGTCCAAAAACAAGATCAGGGGCATTTCTCAAAGAAAACCTATCCGTCTTTAATAGTGGACATTTCTACTTAATTCAGATGCATGTTCACCAGAGAGTCTGTTGATCGTGGGCTGTCAGAAGAACAACTCTTAGTGCTTACCTTTCTTGAAGAAGTTCAAGCTTTTGAAAACTGCGAGTATTCATGAGTTATGGCTTTAAAGTAGCTATGCTGTATGTTATATATAACCAATTAAAACACTAATTCCTGAACTTGAGGAGAATTCTGGCCCAATGTAAGCCTAAATATTATGCTGTTTTAATTTATTGCTCTGTCAGGTCTGAAATATTATTGTAAAGCTACCTATAAGCAAGGGCTCACAATCATTCACCAGAGAATGGTAAAGATGGTCCACTACCTCTGATATAAAGACGTAATTGTGTTATGCAGCACATTGTCAGTCTACTTACAAGAATGCCCAACGACTGTAATCTTTTCCATACAACAGTGCTTTGCATCCTGGATACTTATGACCCCCATTTTGCCCTTCAATTATTGTTAGATTGTGTGTGTGAGTCCAAGCAGCGAGCCGGATGCTGATCTGGGACTCAAATTGAACAGTTGCTACTTGATTCGGCTCTTGCATGAAAAATTGCATGAAAACAACCTATTCTTTGAGTTTCCCAATTACATATCATTCTGCTACTCAATATAATTTTAAGTCTCCCAAGGACATTTTAACACTAAATAAATGGTTTGCATTGTTTTAAATAACCTTTACATATTATTCAGTTTTGAATTTTATTTGAATCATTGCAATCACTACTCAATTTGTATATGGTCTAATATCATCATAATTAAATTCATATTAAATTTAAGGGATCACAAGGTGATTGTTTTCTTCTAGACTCAGAAATGCTTGCTGACACAAACATCATATTCCAACAGTGCATCAGTGAGAAAGTGACTGTTGCACTCCCGCTATCCTTCAGTGTTTTCTATTAAATGATTATTTATCAGCAGATTCATGAAGCCCTGTGACAGGTCAAGTGTGCATATATTATACAGTGTTGAGAGATGTATAAAAGGACTGAATCTGCATTCCTTTAGGCTGCAGTGGTATTATGAGGCACAGCATGCTGCCAATGGTGCACTTTTCAGAAACACCTATGGGGAAAAGGAGTGGGAGCAAGGATGCATCTGTGTTATTGTTTTATGTTATTCATGCAAAAACAACGTGCAACAAGCTCGCAGAAAGAGCCATGCATTGCTGAATTATTATTGCGCTTATGGCTTCATATGCACACACTGAATCACTCTACTACAAAGTGCTAACATTACACTAATTTTTATCAAATGAAATAAAGTATTAAAGCCTTGACCCAATTCTTGCTTCCACCTTCACTTTTCAGGCTAAAAATATAAAACCATGTGTATGAACACATTATCAGCAAGACACTATATTTTATGAGTCTTATCAGCATCAGTGTTAACGGATGCCATACACCAACTAGGCATTACAACTAGGCAGGGGTACGTGACCACTGGGAGCAGATGCATCCTCTCCAACAAGCAGGCAGGGTAGTGCGGCAGAGCAGACAGGGGGGAAGCCAGGAAAGCGTCATTACACGCTTACTGGGGAAGGCGCTGTGGTTGGCCTGCAGGGCAGTTGGATGGCTCCCTGTTACAGTCATTGCTCCAGCGGCTGCTTGGCGCTGCTGCTGCTGCTGTTGCAGCCGCTGGCACAGGCACAGGGCGCCCACACACAGCACCAGGCACACCACTATCACCACCAGGGCCAGTGTCACAAAAACACTCACACCAAGGCCAAGAATCTGGCTGCTGGCCATATCATCTGCAAAAGAATGGAGTAATGCAGCTTGTTTTTAAACAGTATGGTCAGCATACGAAAAGGTTAGTATACACTGGGTAGGATAAAGAACACCTAAGGAACAAAAAAATAATGCTTCCCTCAACATAAAAAAAAAGAAAAGATTGCATCTATATCAAATGGCAACTGAATTTGCCTTCCCAGGCACATTCAGTTGCCTGCACCCTGTGGTCTGTGGCACTGCACCCAATATAAACATAGACATGGTCAAAAGGTGCATAACTCTGGCTAGGTCTGTCTGGTAAGAATACAAAGTGGCATCACAGTAACATAAAACATATTTGCATGCTTTCCTTTCAGCAGTATGCATGCTTTTGTCTAATGGCTCAAGTTTTGTTGCCCATCAGAACGTAATTTTTTGTGCTTGTGATTTAAGAATTCACTGCTGAATCTTTTTTTAACCTCATTGCTTCTCACTTTTCACTTATCATGGCTTAACCCATAGATGTATTTGTTTTGCATGTTGTGGCTTTAGCGTCGGAATGACACTGCATAAGAGCCAAATGGAATACATATCTGGACTGACAGTATACTGCTGTATTGCAGTGATCATGAAGAACCATAAAGCTCTGTGAGATACACCCTTCATGCTTTATTGGGTGAACAAGCGTCAATGGCGGACCCAGAGGGGCGATAATCCCACCCAAAGTCCATGTCAGCACTCCCCTCCCCTTCACTCCTGTGCTCGTAGTCCACCTCTTATCACCAATTAGTACAGATAAGTAAAACCACTGTGAATGTATATTAACAGTATTCAGGCTATGAAGGAGTTTTTCTGCTAGAAAAACAAAAAAGTTACGACCCCACCTTCCTCTTCAGTGTTACATTAGGGCGGCCCCCCTCCCACTAAAATGAGTGGCTGCATCCACCTTTGACGAGCCCCTGTAAAAACAAATGACATTTAAAGCACTATGATATCAGTGGGCACAGTTGTCACATGCTATTCATATATTCAAGTATAATTACTTGTACCAGCATGAGTTTTATAATAAATACCAGTGTTTGCTTTGAGCATGCAAGCAGCTCAAACAAAAATTGCTTCACTACGGAATGAATGACAGCACTCGAGAAAGTTGTAATACAAAAAGGCAAGCCTTGTGCTGACCAATGACTGTGTAACACTTGTCAGACAACAAAAAAGAGTCACTGGAAAACACAGTGTACATGTATTGAAATATAATGCAAAATGCGAAAAAGAAAATGAATTGAAACTGAATGTGGAAATGTTGAAGCAAAAGACTACAGGTTACCGTACTACGAGATGGTTATTTAGCACATCAATAACGACAGCTGCCTACTATCAGTCTTGGTGTAGTGTTTCTGGTGAGGCCATGTGCATTAATAACTCTAATTACTACTTCTAAAATGATAAGTTTAAAATCTTTCAGGCAAGAAGTAGATCAATAGTATTGGAGATTCAGAACAGATTCAACAGAACTTTCACTTACAAAAAAAGTTTTTCACTACTTTTCTGTGATTTATTCCCAGTGACAAAATCAGAATTATACATGAGCACATTTTTGACATCATAGCTGTGTTTTTGATGCAATAAAAACATACACCATTGCTGAATTCATAGTGTTTATTTTTATGTGTGGCTAATCTACGCATACACCTACACATGTACAATTACTTGACTAAAATGAACCAGCTCTGCCGCTTGAAACTTACCTATGCACAAGGCATGACTTGTCTCGTCACTGTTATCACCGCAGTGGTTAACACCATCACATGTCAAGTTGCTTGAGATGCAGAAAGTGTTACGGCACTCAAAATCCCGGCACTTCAGGTCATGCTTGAGATCTAAAATGTAAATAATAACAATATTTTAGAAATAAGTTTAGGACATTGTAATAATTTATTATAAGCTTATACAGATTGAAGGTTAGTTTTATTTGATAAAACTTGTTTTATTTTTTTTGCCTTTGCAGCAAATATAATTTGAAGGTACTCAGAAGAGAAAAACAATTTTTATTAGATTATTGAGTACCGTAATTACTCGAATCTAACGCGCACCTTTTTTCCGGTTAAGCGAGTTCATAAATTGCATGCGCGTTAGAATCGAGTACGAACAAAAAAATTACGGTCAATCTATTGCCATCGGCAAGTCCAAAATGGCCGCCCCCTACGTGCGTCGGCATGGCGCGTCCGCCGTTTCTGCCTATGTGTTTCCCATGTGCGGCACCTCGTACGTGTGTTGAGGAGTTCGTCATCTAGTAGTGCATTAGCATCGACGGCGTGGAAGGGCCGACTCCAAAAACTCGAGTGCACCACGATGCCGCTTTTAAAAGAAAAGTCATCGCGTGTGCAGAGACTGAAGGAAATCTGGCCGCATCGCGGTCGTTCGGAGTTCCCGAAACGTGCGTGCGGGACCGGCGGAAACAAAAGCAGAAGATTGTCGACAGCAAAGCTTCACTCAAAGGCTTCAGTAGACCACAGCAGGGTCAGTTTCCGCAAATTAAAGAGCTGCTCGGCGAGTATGTGCTTGAGCAGCGAGCGGCCCGTGACGACAGAACTGCTCCAAGTACGGGCTATGCAATTAGTATTAGAAAAAGGTCTAATGCGGAGCCAGTTTAAAGCAAGCAGGTGCTGGCTAACTAACTTTATGAAGAGGAAAGGCTTTTCCCTCCGAAGGGGAACATGCATATGCGAAAAGTTTTGTGGAGGAGTACGATGAAAAGCTTCACAGTTTTCAGAGGTTCGTCTTAAACTTGCGGCGCAACAACGGCTACCTGCTTGGGCAAATCGGGAATGCCGATCAGACGCCTCTTTACTTCGACATGCCTGGCACCACAACCGTTGAGATGAAGGGGGCGAAGCAAGTTCGCGTGCTGACATCGGTCCACGGTAAAACTACAGTGACGGCAATGCTCTGTTACACGTCAGATGGGCACAAGCTTCGCCCGTACCTCATATTTAAATGGAAGACGCTCCCGAAAGGAGTCGTTTTTTCTAGTGGTGTGATCGTGCGGGCCAGCGAGGAAAATGGGTGCGCGTTGGAATCGATGTCTTACGTTTTTATTTTTTTTTTTCGCCGTGAAAATCGGGTGCACGTTACAATCGAGGGCGCGGTAGAATCGAGTAAATACGGTACACTTTTCACAAAACTTGAAGCACAACTGTTGCTGTGAGAAGCTGCCTGGTAAGTGAGAAAATGTGCATTGATTGATTTGTGGGGTTTAACGTTCCAAAACCACCATTTGATTATGAGAAACGTTGTAGTGAAGGGCTCCGGAAATTTTGACCACCTGGGGTTCTTTAACGTGCACCCAAATCTGAGTACACGGGCCTACAACATTTCCGCCTTCATAGTGAGAAAATGTGCAGAAAGAGTATGTGAGAGGTGACACTATTTTGCAGTTCTGCAACTATTGCCGTGGCACCACACATATTGATGGGGTCTCCTAGGGTCTACAATGTGCTTAATTGTTAAAAAAAGGAAGTACACTGCCTTTCAAAGAGGCCAGAGAGCTAGCATACCGAGTTTCAGAAAATTTCATCCGTCCAATGATGAGAAAATACAAAAGCAATAAAAGACGCAAACTTGTGACATCACACTGGCATTTTTTAGTGGAGATATCAGCGTGAGATTTAAACATGAGACCTTGACCTTCATTTTTTCATTTAATAACAAACCTATGATGGTAAAAGAATGAAAGTAGAGTTTTCAAAGAATACCTTGTCAGCCTAAACTGCTTCATTTCTTCAGTTTAGCATCACTTTTGTGTTAGAATACTGTCTGTTGGAAACATTCTCTTTCCTCAATTACAATAACAGACTTGTCCTATATCTTGGAATTAAACTTATACCCCACCTGAATTAACTGAAAATCAAGCAACAGATAATATGCATGCAATATGTTGTAGATATGTATATATACATGGAAAATATACAATTTTGTGAACACTGTAAGCTGCACTGAAGTGCTGTTATTTCTTTTTCAGAACAACTGCACTGCACACAATTACAGTGTTTTCAGGGTCAGGTAGGGCATTGATTGATATGTGGGGTTTAACGTCCCAAAACCACTATATGATTATGAGAGACGCCGTAGTGGAGGGCTCCAGAAATTTCGACCACTTGGGGTTCTTTAACGTGCACCCAAATCTGAGCACACGGGCCTACAACATTTCCGCCTCCATCGGAAATGCAGCCGCCGCAGCCGGGATTCGAACCCGCGCCCTGCGGGTCAGCAGCCGAGTACCTTAGCCACTACACCACTGCAGCGGGGAGGGTCAGGTAAGGCAAGAATAGTCGGCACAACATTGCATGACATAACATTTTCTACTTGCTTCACCCAGAACTTGTCAGTAAACATACAAATCCTACTTCTTTAAAGAGCTGCTGCCTGTCCTAGTCTGTACTGTATCTCACCAGGAAGTGAGCTGTCCTTGTAGGCAGTGATTATTAGCTTGAAGCCATTTCCTTGTGGACTCCAGCTGTCTGTGGTGTATTTGAGGGTCACGTAGTTTCCCTGGGTAAAGATGGTTCCCACATCTGATCGTGTGCTCCGACAAGAAAGATCCACCTGCGAATGCAAACGATGGCAGGGGTGAGGTTTAAACTTCACCAGATGAGTGAAATGATATAAGATTGCTTCCCTCCTTTTGGTTGTCTTCCAGACAAAAGGATTTACAGCCATGTTGTGGTAGAACCATAGAGTTTCCTAAAATTAACTAGAGCAGACTTTGGTGCTGCGATCGTTCAGTGACCATGGGAATGATTGGTAATACACGGATTTTATTTGCCTAGTCTTCATACTTGCGGGCAGCGAATGGCACTTGTGGCTTCATTTATTGCTGTTTCAGTTTTGTTTGAAAGGAAAGAACGAACCCTTTTGAACTTTGTGACCTGATTTTAAATGGTTAGCCTAAAATATTAAAGTGGTCAAGTGTAACCACTGGACATTAGCTAATTTTGTTTTGTGACAGAACAGCTCCAAGCCACACGAACACACACAGAACCAGAAGTCATAGAATTAGACAAATCCATGTATTACCCATCATTTCCATGCTCGCTGAAGTGCCATGAATTGCGGCTCCCGTAGACACCAGAGTTCCCTCTAGTGAATATATAAGAAACTTCAAGGGTAAAACAGAACAAATTGAAATTTAACTAATTTAATGTGAGATTAGTTTACAGCTTCCATGAAGAGCATTAATAACAATGCACGAGTTTCTATTTTTCTGAGACATAAATCTTCTCCAGGCACAATAATATCATTACAGCAGTACACAACAAAGTGAGAAAAAAAACAACATGCAGACAATAAAAAAAATATCGGTGGCAGTAATTCAATAATCTTGACTGTCTCTGCTGGAGGTAACTGAATATCTCACAAGTCTTGTTCCAACAAGTATCATTATGAAAAAATTGATTGCCTAACTACTACCATGCCAGAATTACTCAGCAATTACAGTGATTACCCAATTCTTATTACTTCCCCTGTACATTAGACACTGGCCTTAAGATGGCAGTTACATCTTTGCATTTTCCATGTAAGAGAAAGTCTTAGCAACCCGTAGCTTTTCTGCTTCTTCAAAATGCTTCCAATGCCTAAAATTATTCTGTCTAGGCTGCTCATAACTATACGACACCAGTTTACACAAGGTGTGCCTAGATCATATTGTTCAGTGTAGGGAGCGTAATGCAAACTTTTGCTTTTTCACAGACGTCCCACTTCTTTAACTGGTTGCAGCACTAAAGCTTCATGTAAATAACATCAACTAACATAAAATAATTAGTGCAAACTCGACTACAAAGAATGGCAATGACAAAATTATAAGTTGCAGAGAAGAATAATATGCTTTTTCTTCTTCATTTATTTTTCTTTCTTTTTGAAAATGTATTGGCCATCTTGAGGCAGCGGGCTTTCCATTTTTCAATTAACTGAGCAGATCTAGCATAGACGTCATGAGCAAAAAATCCCAGGCATGTGCGGAACAAGCAGCAGAGTTGCAGCGAAAGCTGGAAGAGCGGCTTTTCAGAGCCTTTTCTAAACACTGTTTGGGTAACTGCTACTAGCACACTTGCAGGATACCCCCTACATTATAACTTACAATTTCTGTGTAGTAGGCTGGCATTCACTATGCTATTCTTCATCATTCTTGGGAGCGCGGTATCCACTACACACTTGCTAGGAATATTGTGCAATATGTTTATGCAATGGCTGACAATGATGAAGGTTGATGCCTGAAGTGGGTATGCGTGACAGTTGATAAGTGATCAAGAACAAGCTTTTGTAATGGGATAAATGACTGGACGACCCACTCTTTAAGCAATTCGTTTTGTGTGACGCCTGGTTGTTCCTTTGATGTTCTGAAACACATTACTACTTACATTAGCACGATTTTTTTCCCGACATCAAGCCTGCCTAAGGCCAGTTTTTAAATGAGTTTCAAGCACCGGCGTGGCTCAGTGGGAGAATACTGGGCTGACACGCAGCGGACTCGGGTTTGAATCCCACTGTGTCCTTGATGTTTTTATTTACCGAGTTTTTTTTTCTTATTTCGTGCAATAGTGGTTACGGACAATGACGGTGTGGCGGCGGCGGACAACTACGGCGCAGTTATGAGATCACAACACTTGTCGCGTGAGTCCTCCGCCACACGCGACCCGTGTTGTGATCTCGTAACAGCTTTCACTGTAAAAAAGGGTTATCATATTAGCAACCATGGAGGTATACAAGTGTTTATGCATACAGCCAGTCATCGGTACATCTCTGAATAAATATACATGCACAGCACAGAAGGAAATTCAAATTAGGCGCATGCGATTTAAAATTTTAAGAAATGTAAATTACCCCATGTTTTCTTGTTTATGGTTGCCAACTCTGCTCCAGCTTCACTGCAAACATTGTCGCACTGCAGTGAAGCCAGCTTGCACACCACAGCACATTTTTTACAAGTCAAGAGGTAAATGAGTGACGTAGCCAGAGGTCTACAATCTTCAATTTTGACATATCACTTGAACATACTCTGCTTATATTCTTGAGAGAAGGGGGTGGTGATGTTTGAAAGGCTACACAGCGTTTACGCCAGCCACCCTGTTTTACACGTACACTCAACTACAGTGCCAGGCGCTGCGCCGAGCTCCCTACCGGGCTGCCAAAATTAGGCGCCTTCTTTTTCTTCTAACCACTACTATCACCCTCACTAGGTGTTTCTCCTGCAGTGAGCGTGACATGTTGATGACAAAAAAAATTTTAAAAAAGCATTTTCTACACTTCCTGGCATTGATTTTTGGCTCAGCAATACTAATGTAATACGTGTAGATTCACATTATTGTGGGCACCTTGTGATTTCCTATAGCGTGGGCACCATCAAAAATGACTAGATGATCGTGGCAGTCCAAGGCCAGCCTTTCAAAGCGAAGCATGAAGCGTTGCAAGATGGAATCAGTCTGGAAGGTGACGGCGCACTCCAGGTTATTCTCGCTCTCGGATGTTAGCACGGCACCATCAATTTTCTTGTACTGAGGGTAGTGTCGTTCTCCCATGCACAATGATGAGATGTGAACTGTGAACACCAAAACAAACAAACGAAGTGCAGGTTAGAGTTGATACGCATCCAGAAAAATATTTTTGACGAACAATGCCACGAAGTGTGTGTATATATATATATATATATATATATATATATATATATATATATATATATATATATATATATATATATATATATATATATATATATATATAATATTCGCGACAGTGATGAGGGATTATTCTGAAGTAATTTTGATAAACGGCACTACATCATGAATAAGCAGACTTGGCATTAACTACCACGTTTTGCATGGGCTTGAATACGCACGCCACGTTTTATTCGATAATCACGGTCAAGCTATTCACATCATCAGGTAACTATTAGTATCAAGCGTACATCATGAAGCTGTAAGTAGTTGGTTCTGTTGAAAACAAATACGGATAAGCTGGACTGAACGCAGTGCGTGCATGCGTAGCTACGCTCCCGCATGCTTAGTATCCGTTCCACGCCCACCACTTCGCTGCGGCACGAATGCTCGGAGGTGATGGGCGCTGCTCCACGCACGAGCAAACCCGAATGCTCGTCTCGTAAGGCGCCGAGTATGCTTGCGTAGGTCTGTACGGGCCGAGCACGGGGCATAGAGCTCCCTCTTTCCCGTGCAGCGGCCGCGTCCCCTTTATTTAGGGCTGCGCTCAGGGCGGTTCGCGGCGCTTGGGCCCGGAGCCACGCCGCGCACGCCAATAACGACGCCTACGCGTATCATCAGCGCGCATGCATTGTCCCGGCGGCGGCGGCGCGTTTTCCAGCGGCGAGAAAGCGCTATCGGGGCAAGGCGCAGGAAGGGGGCTCCATATCCGAGCTACTCACAATACTTGTTCCGGTCCGCGAAGGCACCGTGCCTGCAAATGAGCAGCGATAGCAGCAGAAACTGAAGCACGACAAAGGACCAGTGATCTCGCTGGACGCTCGCCATTCTTCGAGCGCCGGCTGCGGCTAATTTCGAGCGGCTATCACGTCGGCGTCATATTGACTTCCGCTTGCTCACGTACAGCCAACGCCTCCTCGGCTCGCCTCTATGCCTGACGGCATCTCTCGCACCATCTAGGGCTAGCCGGCGCCGCCAAGTGGCGGCGCCACCGAAGTTCGTGGCCCCGCAGGCGGCGATTGGCGGCGCGCCTTTGACGGCCGCTCTTCTTGCAAGGAGGCAAACTCTTGCTTTGACGCGGCGCACGCTTAGCTCCTTGCCACTAAAAATACTGTGCGCAACTTGGAGAATATGCACAGCAGTCAGACTGCCGACAATCGATCGAGCGAGTCTGGCACGCGCCCTGAAAACTCCGTGCGGCCGCGCCTCGTGCAACCCGCCCTGCTTTTTCAACGTGCACTGCACTCCGCGGATCCTGCGGCGCCGCAAATTTTGTTTTTTTCGACAGGGACAATGTACAGTCACGCACAAGAAAAAGAGAGTGAGACTGCGCATAGAGCCGCAAAATGATGTTGTTACTGACGTAGCGGGCATACGAGACGGTAGTGGAGTGCAAATTTCCCCAATGAAACAGCGCGCAGGCTGAGGTATTGGTTAAAATGTCGATACGCAGATAGCGTTTAGGTGCAAATTCTAGGCATACAGGGTTCAGTTTCTTGCAGCCAAATTTGGTGTTACTTGACGTCAACGGATGACTAAGTTATATGACTGGTGCAAACATGATAATCATATATGCGTGTCACGTAAAACATGATTACATGCTACGCTCATAGCGTGCTCGCGGCCGTTTCGCTGGCTCCACATATACCAACTTTGGTATCACGTGACGTGAATAGACGACGAAGGTAAATGGCACGTCCAAACATGATAATCATGACACGTGTGCCATATACAACATGACTACATGTTACGCTCATAGCGTGCTCGTGGCCGTTTCGCCAGCTGCACATATATCAAATTTGGAATCACGTGACGTGATTAGATGACGAAGGTAATTGACACGTCGAACATGATAATCGTGACACGGAAGTCGTGTACGGTATAATTTATGCCCGCCTCGTAACGTTGTGCTGATTTTAAAGGGACATATCAAGCTTCCTCATTCGTACTTCGCATGTCATCGATTCCCACTGTACGTGGGATCCGTGCTTTTTTTTTTTTTTTTTGCCAGCGCACTCTACTCATCAGTTTCACGTCAAAGGAAGGTCAGCTGTAACCCATGCTGTGCCACGGGAACACTGATGGCAATAGCTCATTTTAATTTTTTTAGTTCGTTTCTTTGCTCGTTTTGATGTTTCATATGTGTACCCCTATTTGAATGAGAAGAAAAGAAGAAAAATTTACAATAACTATACAAAACCAAAGACGTCACAATACAATTAAGATGCTAGATTTTCTTTCTTTTTGCAATTGATCTTTTAAAAAGATTGTTAGGCTAGCTAAAAATATGGTTTGACTTTTAGAATTGAAATTTCTTTTTTAAGCGTTAAGTAACCATTGCTTTTCTTTCTCTAAACTTCAGCGATCGTCATAACTACAACGAATGCACATGTGGGACACATTCATGTGCTAATAGAAATGTTCGGAAAGTTTGTTCACTAGGACTGAACACTTTAAGGAATTCGCTTTAAAAAAAAACTAAGAAGAGCTCACCTTTAGAAATTCCCACCCGAAACCGGAACTTTTGTCGTGTTCCGTCCACGAAATATAAACTTCTCCACACTAACACGCTTAGTGCAGAAAAGCTAGATTTACAAAAGTTGAAACATGAGAGGTGGACTCATCCAGTGTCCGACCCCCTATCTGCCGACCGGAATAGGAATGGTCAAATTTTTTTTAGCCGATTAATTGTTAATTTTTAGTCGATTGAGCTTTTGATTGAATAATGACTTTCGACGTAGCGTCTTAATAGATTATTCGACATTTTTAATGGGTGCTTTAAAAAGGATATCCCAATGTCTGAGAGGAATTGTTTGTGTTTTATATCGAACCAAGTATTTCTATCATACGCCCGCTAGAGATCACATGCGCATTCGCACCAGCATAAAAATTCGCACCTTCACCTGTTGGACGCAGGGGGCTCATCATCGTTGGGTGACGTCACATATTCAAGGATCTGGGGCCCTTATCCACGGACGATTGGACAGCAGGTCATACTTCTTCGAAGCCTGCTTACTTGAGTGCACCGAAATCGGAGGCGCTTTTCAGCGACCACACTAGTCGAAAGGTCGCTTCGGAAACATGCAGCGTGGCCGAGAGTGAGGAAATCCCGAGAAAGGTTTTAAAAAATAAAGGCGAAGATGAAAATGAAGTAAACGAGACGCTCGCACTTGAAGGGTCGGCATCTTTTTTCCTGTTTGTCCGGTAGATATTTTGCACGCAGAATGACGCGATCTCGCTTGAGAGGTCACCCATGCGAGACTGCACGGCAACATACTGACCACAAACAGACCATCGGCACAGGCATTTGCGTAAAATATTTATTCTGCCTTTTGGCTAGAATAAATGGCAGCTACGCCAACGTACGCCACAGTTATTTCTGCTCGAGCTTGGAGCTTTGGGGAGTGCTTGGAGGTGAACACCGTAAGCGACGAAGATCAGGGCGAGTTCATTTCAGTCACTATGTGGGAGGGCTACCGCCGGCTCCGGGCTCGTTACGGTGAGCCTGGAGCCGGCGGCCGCCCTCCCACAGAGACTGAAACGGCGTACGCCTCCCACAGAGAGCTTGTGTATTTTGCCTATGTACGAGTGGCAGGAGCCCTTCGTCGCAGCTCTTCTAAAATCACAAATGGCAATCCAGCCAAATTATAGCCTGATTTTGTGTGTATATAGCATCAAAATAAACTCTCAGTAGCTGTGCTAGTTCAGTTGGCGGTACATCAGACGCGCTATTCGAAGGTCGCAGCTTCGGTCCCTGCCCCCGGCAAGTTATCTTTTCACCCACTTTTCTTTCTCTACATATGCATTACAATTACTTCTGGTAGCATCCCCTATACTTTCCTTGGCATGACTGTCCGTTAGTTCTTCAGTTCTTATGAATATTGTTTCTAACGAAGAAAACAAGCCCTTAAATTTACACTTCTTTCCTTCGCTAAACATATACGTAATTCAGATATTTTACTTCTGTAAAATTCTGAAGTGAGCCGAGTCACATCTGGGGCAATGAGCAGAACAAGCAATCGATGCAAGGTTAATGCAGATATTTCGGTACAGTCAGTGAGCATCTGCCTTAACTGAGTGACATGGTAATTTTTATTCGCTTCCGTTGCGATGTCAGAGTATCAATAGAATAATTGCAATATATATTTTCTACCAAGCGAAACTGTAGACCTTCGTCGAGACTATGCATCAAAACACCATGAGGAAAAAACGAAATTAATTTTATTGTCACGCTCAATACGGCTAAACGATAGATTTTAGCTTTAAATACATACAGCACAAGTGAGCATTTTAATTCTGTGTGTTTTCTTTTAGCGTTAATCAACAGGAACAGTATTCGTGATTTTTATGTCAACGCTGCCTGCAGATATACCAGCTAGCATTAAGCTTCGATGCACCAACATTTACAACTTCACGCCGTTCGTGCTTGTTGGTGTGCCACTGCAATGAAGGTTTCGATTAACGCATGTGAGATGCACACTCTTCTCTCTCATTTTATTCACACTGGTATTATTCAGGGACTTTACTGTTACAACTTTCTTTTTCTTCGAATCATTTAGAAAAAACAAACAAACGAAGTAACTATAACAAACTAATTAACAAATTGTAGTGAAGAAGATGAGTGCTACTCAGAGATGCAGAGGGTACTACTCTGCTGCGCGTTTCATGGCCGATTCTCCACGGTGGGTTGAGCCACTTCTCTTGGACCCAACCAACCAACTCAGAAGGAGAAGACGACGACGTTTGGTTGTCTTGGCGCACAGTCTGGTGCCGCCGTTACCACTTGACTTGTCGTGACTGCTCTTCTGCTGTATAAACGAGTGCTCCTAAACGTCTCCTTCCAATTGGTGGAGGTGCTGGGTACTGCATAATCCTGAAATTACGAAACCACACATTGACTCCAGTAGCTACTCAGTCCACGGACGCAGATCAGTAGGCGGCCGCCTCGGCTCCAACTCCTGCTTGTGCGCGTGCGCTTAAGGCCTAACCCCACATATCCGTTGCAGCGCGTCGGCGCGTGTCCATTTGACGCGGCGTCCAGCCCTTTTCCAAATGTAGAGAGAGCGTGCGGCTTCGAGTATACCCACGCGCCCACTATCTCTAGAGGGAGAAAGTGCAGCGCCGCGTAAAAAAAACCTCGCGCTGACGCACTGCGACAGATACGTGTGGTCAGGCCTTTATCCTTTGGTGGGGAGAATCGTGTGCCATCGGCTATCAGAGGAACGATTGTGTTAATTGCCGGGCCCACAAAGGTCACTTAAATCGGTCGCTGCACAGGCCCTGTTTGCGAAAAGAGCGCGCTTTTTATATACAGCGAAGTATAACAAATGGGACACTTGTTAGTTTGCACTCAACATTAGTTTGCACTCATCTGTACCTGTGAATACGTTTTGTGCGTCGTTTTTGTTTAAACGGCGCGCTACGTCTCGACCGGTAAACGTTGTTAGTTCGCTCTCGCCCTGTGTGTGTTGTTTTCGTGTGTCATTTTTGAAGTTTGAAGTTTATTCATTATCATTGAAGCCTACATCCTTATCCAATGGTTTAATGGGAAGGGGGGGGGGGGCGAAAAGGCAACTAAATGCCTGACAATGCGCCAATCTGTGCCCAGACCAAAATAATGCACAACACTAAGTATATCTTTAGAGCATGAACGCAAATTCAATACAGCGAGAGAAAAAAAAAGGGAGAAAAGAAGATACAGCGAAAATAAAGAGAGAGCAGTGGGAGAAGAGATAAAAGATTCCAAGACACATACATGCACTTTTTACACATACCAAAGAAACCTTTAATAATACAGTCGTAGTTTTGACCAGGTATCAACAAGTGACAGATCACGAAGTGATTAGGACCGTAACTGGCTTGCACAAATTTAAGGCGCATTACATTTCCTAGACAGTACACGAGATGCGCAATCGTATACAGAAGAACAAAACAGACATGTCATGTTTGAAGCGAGAGTAGTTAAGCGTGTATCTTTTTTCTTAACTGTTGTTGATCGACTTTCGTTCACTATGCATGCTGATAACCATGCTGTTTGAATTTAGAAATGAAGGAGCGGCACGCTGCACGTTTCGATCTGCTTGCCGTTCTCAGCGTGACATTCCAAGTTGTTGCTATAGCATTCCTTGCTTCGCCCTTGCGACGAAATAGTGACTTTTTTCCGCCTTATTCTGAAACCGGTGTTCACCGCAAGCGCTTCCCGATTCCTTTCAGCGTTTTGACCAATAAAGATGGATCAAGTACCATTTATGTTTCAAATCCGTTTCCCTCATGTGCGGAGAGTGGCTAAGCCTTGTCGATGACGTTGATCCCTGTGTCGTTCCTGATCACTCGGCTGCGCTTCATATTGACGCTGTTGGTCGATCCTCGTCACCCTTCTTCACCATCATTCAACGACGCGATTTCGCGCTGCATCGACACCAACCTTACGGCCCAGCAGCGCACCGACATCGCACCGCCCTCCTTGAGCGCTTCCGCGCCAGGTTCGTCCACCAGCAGCCAACTTTGGGCCACGCTTCCTCAGTATCTCACCAAGGCGACGCTGGATTTCACGCTCCTTTTCGTCAGCGTCCGAATCTGGTGTTGGCATCTGAGCACCGTATCATCGCGTAACAAGTTGTTGACACGCTGAACCGCGGAGTTAAGAGCGCTCTAATAGCCCGTAGGTCCCTCCGGTCATGATAGTTACGAAAAAGGATGGCTCAATAAGATTTTGCGTCGACTAACGCCGGTTGAACAAGATCATGCGCAAAGATGTTTACCGTGCACAACCTCGCATAGACGATGCTCTGGACTGCTTTCAAGGTACCCAGTTCTTCTCGTCACTAGACCAGCGCTCTGGTTATTGGAAGGTTACGATGGCTAAGGCTGATCGCTCCAAGACGGCTTTCTTTACCCCCGATGGCTTATACGAGTTTAACGTCATACCATTTGGGCTCTGCAATGCGCCTGCCACTTTCGAGCGCATGATTGACAACATCCTCCTTGACCTAAAATGGCGGATATGCCTGTGTTATTTACATAATATAATGTGATATTTTCAAGCGACTTTTCAACGCATCTTCAGGGCCTTGAGACCGTGCTCACTTGCCTCATCTCCACCGATCCACATCTCAACCTAAGGAGGTGCTGCTTCGGCACTCGACAACTTCTAATGGGGTCATGTTGTATCTAGAGATGGCGTTCATCCGTATCCGACAAAACTTGATGCCGTTGCCTATTTCCCTTAGCGAAGGCCATAAAAAAAACTTCGCAGCTTCCTCGGCTTATGTTCATATTTTCATCGTTTTATTCGAAACTTTGCTTCCATCATATCACCCTTGACTGACCTTCTTCGCCACAACCACGACCTTTCTGGCTGGACGTCGGCTTGTGATGATGCATTCGCATGTACACTCCGCCACCTTCTTAAGCCACCTCATATCCTGCGACATTTTTATCCTCTTGCCCCGACGGAAATCTGCACGGAAGCCAGCGGGGTTGGTCTCGGTGCTGCGCTCGCCCAGCGTAAACCTGGATTTGATGAGTACGCCGTCTCCTACGCCAACCGTGCGCTCACAAAAGCGGAAGCCAACTATTCAGTCACAGGAAAAGAGTTCCTAGCCATTATATGGGTCATAGGCAAGTTTCGACCTTATCTTTACGGGCACCCATTTAGCGTGGCAGAACACCATGCTCATTAAAAGAACCCACCCCATGGCTTGCCTGTTGGTCACTTCGACCACAGGAGTACGACATTCACGTCATTTGCCAATCTGGACGAAAACATTCTGACGCGGACGCTTTGTCCCTACAATTTGGTGACGAGTCGCCATCTTCGCATACCCACGACGTATCTGCACTTTGTACCAGCGACATGCTTCAGGAGACACGCAAAGATCCCTGGATCGCTTCACTTCTCAACTTGCTGAGTCGACCCCCCTCGCAACACATTCCTATAGAGATACGCGCCGTCAATTACAGCTCTTCGTTATCCGGGATGGTTTGCTATACTTACGAAATTATCTTTCCGAAGGCTTCTGGCTATTCCCAGACATCTCCGCTCGGACATATGTGCCTCCTTTCACGTAGACCCACATTGCGCACATTCTGGAGTGTTAAATACTTACACCCGCATGTCTCACTGCTGGCGTGGGATGTATCGCTTCGTTCGTCGCTACGTCCGTTCCTGCATATATCGCTTGCGAGCGACGGAAGAATCCCACTCCCCGTTTTCCGTACACTATACAGCCTCTTGTCCTGCCCGTGTTGGTATTGATCTGTACGAACCTCTTCTGAATACACCTGCTGGAAATCATTGGATAATCGTCGCCATCGATCACCTCGCGCTCTACGCAGAATCTTCACCATGGCTCTCTGCGTCGGCAAGTGTCGTCGGTTGTTTCATACTGCATCCCATCAGTTTACGTCATGGTGCACAGTGTCAGCTGCTGAGTGACTGATGGAGCGTGTTTTTGTCGAACGCAGTCGAATCGCTTCTCAAGAAATGCCAAATCATACAGCCATCGCACAACCACGGCGTATCATCATCAAACTAGCGGCATTACAGAACGATTGATTTGATTGATATGTAGAATTTAACGTCGCAAAACCACCATATCATTATGAGAAACGCCGCTGCGGTGGGCTATAGAAATTTCGACCACCTCGAGTTCTTTAACGTGTACCCAAGTCTGAGAACACAGGCCAACAGCATTTTCCCCACCATCGCAAATGCAGCCGCCGCAGCCGAAAGTCAATTCCGCGACCTGCGGGTCAGCAGCCGAGTACCTTAGCCACTAGACCACCACGGCGGGGCATTACAGAACGATTCAACCGTACATTAGGAGATACGCTGTTAATGCACACCGCTGCCAATCACTCCAACTGCGACAATGTTCTCACTTATGTGACGTATGCGCATAATACTGCTGCACAACAGAATTCTCTCTGTACTTCTACTTTACGGACGCGAGCCCACCTGCACTGTCCCTCCTTACCGCCCGAATGTTGCCGAGTTTACGACGGTGTCACTGGCTGATGATACGCGGAAGAGTGTCGCCAGCTTGCCCGCTCCTTCAGTGTACTGCTGACCAGTAACGCCATAAACACCACCGTGATAGCCCAAAGCCTCCGGCTTCTTATGCTCCGATGACTTCGTCTGGCTTTGGATCCCTTCAACCACTCCTGGTCTCTCCACGAAACTTCTGCCCAAGTATCGCGACTCTTATCACGTGGTTAAACAAACATCTTCCTTAAATTACGTAGTAAAACCACTCTGATGAACGACGCCGTGGACGCGAGACTAGACCACCTAAAACAGTATTGCGATCACTCTATAGCACATCAGTCGACAGGATAGCTCTTTCCAGAAAGGGGAAATGTAGTGAAGAAGATGAGTGCTACTCAGAAAGGCAGAGGGTACCACACATGCGGGAAAGAAGACGTTTGGTTGGCTTGGCACACAGGCTGGTCTCGTCATTACCACTTCACTTGTCCTGGCTGCTCTTCTGCAATATAAATGAGTGCTGCTTCTAAACGCCTCATTTTAAAACAAACTAACTAACTAAACAAATAAAATTAAACATTTAACGCGTAATATTTGTGCAGGCACACTGAATAGATAGTCACAAGCGGCTATGTATTTCATCGTCGGAAGCACCAGTGAAGGGAGTGGTTACGTTTATTTCCGAAACGCCCACACCTGAGTATGCTCCTAAATTCTACGGCTTCTAAGTTTCTTCCTCCTCCTTCGCCTACTTCGTAGGTCCAAATCACCGGCATATGATGTGACCAAAAAAGAAAAATTTTTGAACAATCATCGAACGGAAAGATTCGATGGAGCTGCATGCAGCGTTGTTTCCTGTTCGGTGACCGGTTCAACTATATATATTTCATCAATTCAGACCTCCATCTTCCCCTGAACCTATATGTCTTGTTCAGTATTAGAAGCGCCTTCATGTAAGACCATTTTTTTTCAACTAGCTAGCGAACGCCTGCACGAGAGAAACGCGCACAATATAATAACGTCGTACTTACACGTGCAGCAACAGATTGCTGAGTAAATCAGCGCTTGCCCTTTTGTGGTGAACATAATTTACACGTACGCACTATATCTTTCAAGCTACATGTGTCACTACTTATACACACTCTGAAGCGGCTTTCGTTGTAATTGCAGTAGCCGCATTCATAATGAATTCCGAAAAATTTTTTTTTTATTTCAAAAAACACATGCATATGCGCTTAACAAAAAAAAAAAGAGCGTGACAAAAGCAGTGATTAGGTAGCAATACTTTTATTAACTGAAGTGGATAACTGGCTTTTCGCTAAGGAGTTTCTTATCTAAAATCCGCTTTGGCCCAATTAGAACTCATATCAACAAGAGTGTTTTTGCCTTTAACGAAATAGAAAATGCGTCAAAGCCCATAAAATGTACAAGTACTTGGTTATCTGGACCAATTACGAAATTATTTTTTTTTTGTCGAGCAAGTAATGATATGTGCACACATTACGGAGCAGCACGACACGAGAACTGTTTTGTTACTCTGGGTTCGTATTCACAAAGATTCGAGGCGACCCTCTAATGCTTGAAAGCTTGTCTTTTGTGGCACGAACACGGAATGCGTCTATGAGCTACGCACCATTAATTTCTTTTATTTTCTATTATTATTATTATTATTATTATTATTATTATTATTATTATTATTATTATTATTATTATTATTATTATTATTATTATTATTATTTCTTACTCTGTGGGAGCTCAATATCTACCCATGTATATTCGGGATATTTCACCTCATACCAGTGCAGGCAGCTCTAATAGGGTGGTTACTTTTCTCGTTATTCTTGAACCTTAATTGGCTGCATTTGAAACCATTTTCCACTAAACCTACTATGCTCTCGTGTCATATCAGCCATGAACCCTAACTGCAGAACCACCCTTTTCGTACGGGTTTGCAGATTTTACTTCAAATCCGGAATTCGGTGAGGCGATGCGGCATTGCTGTGCAAGAAACAAGAACGTCGCTCGCTGTTCGCACCGTAAAACTCGTCCTAAGCGAATGCTCGTCTTGAACGACTCGCATTCAAAAATGTTTACATGGTACGTGTTCAGCCTGCAGTTGAACTGACTTCAGAATGTAGAATTGTCGCCTCCACGGAAGAGAGGGCGGGAATGACGAAGGGAAGGACGGGAGGTCAACCAGAACGTGTTCTGGGTGATGGCCAAGAGAGAGAGAGAGAGAGAGAAGAAAAACAGGAGGGCAATGGTTGAGACGCCCTGCCTCAATATCGCAATAGGCATCCTAGTGTGAGCACGAAGCGTGGCTCGTCTCGTCGCTGTTGTCTCCGCAGTGATTGACACCATCGCACGTCAAGTTACTTGAGATGCACAGAGTGTTGTTACACTGAAAATCCTGGCACTTCAGGTCGGGCATCTGATCTGCAAGCACAAGCGGCGACAAAAAAAAATGTAGTTACAGAAAAGAACACATGCGGTTGTTGTGCATATAAAGGCAGAGCACACGCACGCGCAAGCATGAATGAACGCAGAAACAAACGCTGTTGCCTTTTTTGCGCCCGCGTATGAGCTACGAGTGTTTTTTTTTTTTGTTTTTCTTGCACAATTACAATAATGAACTCGCTTTTGTCCACTAACTAACTGTATATACAGGCTGCCTTGTGACTCGTTAATTAAGTTTGAGCTTGATGTTCCGAAGTTGCACACAACTATGACGTTTCGCTTCCTTTCAGTGTTAATGAACTTGCCCCACGACTGAAAATACATACACGCTCTCTAAATATAATTGAAAAAACTTTCCTCGGCTTTCTTGTCTGCTATTTTTAATTAATGCTGTGTCTATAGATGAAAAAAAAAACGAGCCCTCGAAATTCTCCTTCTTTCGTTCATTCATAGCGAGGATCTAGTTCTGGCAGACATGATTAGCATGCGAGAGATTATTGGTCAGCTGCCAGCTCGTAAAAAAAAATCCCGTGCTACGTGACGCCAGCAGGCCAAAAAAGAGTGCTTCACATTCGCCGTCACGACTACAAGTCCCAGGTTTAAATGCACACATGTAGACCGGTGGATGAGAGCCGCTGTAGTAACCACACGCATTGTTTTAGGGCCGCACGTTCGACCCCTGCCAGCGGCACGCTACCTTTTCGTCCACTTTATTTACCTTTACATTTCCACCACACTTACAACAAATAACATCACATGAAAGTTTTTTTGGATTCCTTGTCTGTTAGTTAAAACTAATGCTGCATCTTCGAAAAACAAATAAGCATACCAATAGGTATAATTTCAATCGCTTTACGGGAACTTACCTGTAGCCTGTACTTTTAGTGAATTGCGGCGATTCATACAATCAAGAGAAATAAATCGTTAAAACAAATCATTTCATACAGACACAGAAATAAACTTGTCATGTAAAATGCTGTAACTGGGCTCATTTAAGATGTGCGTGCAACTGCATGTTTATTTCGGCCGCGAAAAAATGAATATGAAAGAAAATGGAAATGCGGCAGATCCCACGTATACCACGAGAATGAACGTTATGCGAAGCATGCGGAAAGAAGGTGACTGCGGCGTAATCTTTTATTGGGTGAGGCAGTACGAAATAACGCTAAAGATGAGCACAAGTGTGGTACACAGAGACATACGTTTAACAGCCGCATATATTTTATATAACCAGTTGTTCATAGTCGCGTAACGATGCCATCTACAACATCGGCATTACCAACGCCGGAATCAGTAAGCTGATATGAAGCGCTTGTTCTTGCGAGGATGACAACTCTGGATTGTGCTACGTAGACCAATTTCAGTGGATGGCGCTTAACAACAGTTGACTCTTGTTTCATAGGAGCACATAAGCAATGTTTACAAGTTTAGATAGCCAGCACTGCAACAGTTGACGTTTCACGAGCGTTGCACCCACATAAGGTATTTTGCCAAAGCAGTTTAGAGGCCTGACGTGGCTCAGTGGTTGAATACTTGATTGCCACGCAGAATGCTTGGGTTTTACTCCTCCCATGATTATTATTTTTTGCGTTCGTCGGGTCAACGCTGCCGATGTCACTTTTCCTCAAGGCGCTCACCAGTGTCTGTTGACGCAGTTCCCGAGGACATAGTGAACCACCTGTGACGCGCATATGCGCATACTATGACACCTACCCTGGGTCAATGCCGTACATGCATGGAAGAAACGGTCTGACGACGTACGAGGAGGACTTTTTCCTTTATTCATGTCATGACATCTAATGACCCTTCCTCCCCTACACGTGATCCTCAATAGATTATATACTCTTTCTAAAAAGAAACAGTAGTATTTACTAACCTTGAAGTAGTAAGCGTTTGTCACGTTCACTGCCTGTGTAATAACTGAAGGTAGTTACTGCCAAGTTAGTAACTTTACTGCCGTGACACTACGACTCACTCATACTCACCAGAATTTTACTCAGCCGGATACACTCAAACTGACAGGCCAGTCCGAGTCGGACTGAGACTGAGTGAGTCAACTCCCGAGTGAGATTGCCGACCTAGGCGCGCGTCTGAAACTATACCACATTTGTACAATTTCAACGCACCCCCGATTTCAACGCCCGCTTGACTTACTATGACCGAAAAACAATGTTACAGCTCTGGGGCAGTTTAAAAGTCGTTACCCGAATCTAATGCGCATGCGATTTTAATTTTTTCGAAAGAAAATGTGTGCGTTGAAATTGGATAAATACGGTAATTGAAAGGCGTTGCGTAAATATTAAGGTTCAAATCGCTTTTTGCATGCCACGTCAAAAGTAGAAAAAGCAAAAAATAAGGATTTGAATGAAGAAAATTAACTGCATGTCGACCTGCTAAAATAGGCAAGCGCTTCTCTCCAGAAAACTTTGCAGTTCCGACGTACAGTGGGAATCGATCATATGCGATGTACGAATGAGGAAGGTTGATATGTCATTAGATAGATAGATAGATAGATAGATAGATAGATAGATAGATAGATAGATAGATAGATAGATAGATAGATAGATAGATAGATAGATAGATAGATAGATAGATAGATAGATAGATAGATAGATAGATAGATAGATAGATAGATAGATAGATAGATAGATAGATAGATAGATAGATAGATAGATAGATAGATAGATAGATAGATAGATAGATAGATAGATAGATAGATAGATAGATAGATAGATAGATAGATAGATAGATAGATAGATAGATAGATAGATAGATAGATAGATAGATAGATAGATAGATAGATAGATAGATAGATAGATAGATAGATAGATAGATAGATAGATAGATAGATAGATAGATAGATAGATAGATAGATAGATAGAAAGCTCTCTGTCTGTCTGTCCACAAAAAAAGTTTGATTATATCAGCGCGGGTCACGTTTTGAGGCACCGGGCCAGGCTTGGGGGGACCTGGGCCAAGAATAACCCAATACTTATACTGCCGCAGAGTAATAACACAGATACGAGCGGTTGGCAGCAATCCTGTGTGTTAGCGTGCGTGTTTCTGAAATGCCATCGGACCAAGTTCAACTTCGCTGTGGAAATCCCCACATGTGCGAGAACCTCGTAAAAACATTTCACGTCTGCGCGCGAAAAACAGCGTAAAAATAGTGTGTCATTTCAGCGCCTCATCAACGATGCCAAATGGCCAATCACCATTACATCGGCCACGATAGTGAAGATCAAGGTGCATAGGCTGTAGCTGATGATTGCAAAGTGCATGTCCAGTTCACGTATAAATGCACTGTGCACAGATGCCGAAAGGTGTCTAATCAGTGCGAGGACCTGCGACGCACCATAATTCCTAATAGTAAGGCAAAACACAACGAAATATAAGCCCATCACACTTGAAATTGCCGACTACTATAGACAGGCATCCTCAAAACGCTTTCATGACAGACCACTCATGTTTGCCTCGGTTTAACAAGGCTACCCTGGCTACTAAGCAGAATTAATTATTTTGTCCAACATCAACCTTAAAGCACGATAGTGGGGAGAAGTAGGGTTACTCCTCCAACGCAAATATCTAAAAAGGTGAGGGGGCTGGCTTTCTTGGTGGCTAGCAATACAACCCCACTTACATGCACCGTTTCACAATTAACTCATGCATTTTGGGGAGCCCCTATCCTAAGCTAAGTCGGGCACTCATAAGCAACCGACTGCAGTGGTATACCTAGTTGACTGAGAGCGCAGACTGTGTGGTGCAGACAATGCAAGCGAATAAATGGATCCCTTAACATGTCTTGGACATCTGGAAACGCTATGCCATCATCTTCGTCTAAACAGTGCCTATGTTAACAGCTAATGGTACCACTTCGGTCAGTCAGCGAGTCTGTACTGCAACAACTGTGGCTCCACCGAAACTGTGGAAGATATCTTGAGTGCAGAACATATGCTGATGAGCGTGCGCTTTATAAGCATTGCATGCATTCGATAACCGAGGGAACTTTCTTCCTTGACTGTGTATTGGGACCTTTAGCCTGCCCCTCGCTACAGAAGCGTGCTATTAAACTTTTGTTCGCTTACTTGACAGCATCGGTCAGCTAGACAAACTCTAGCTGTAGCTTGACACCACAGAAAAACTATTAACGCACGTCCTCATTCAATGGTAAAAAAGGTGGCCTTTTTTTATTCTATCTTCTATATTTACATCATGTTTTTTTTCTCTCTCTCTTTCCCTATTCTTACATTCAATCCTCCATCCCCATCCCTAAGCACAGTTGCAAGTCAGCGATTTATATATGCCGGCTAAATTCTCTGCTTATCCGAGCTCTTTCTTTCTTTATAGAACTTTTAACAAATCAGCTATACATAAACTGTGAGACGATTACAAAGAATTTTGCCTGAGCTAGAACCTTCTTGTTTTTTTCTCAGCCAGATTGGTCGAACAAGACGTTCTTTATCACGTTTAATGGACACATCGCGACTAAACTCATCGTCCTCCGATGATAATCGGACTGTTAGCGAGGGGTTTTAGTTGAAGGGTGACGCGAGAATGAAGCTACCACTGATGCGGCTCACTCTTTTACGCAATAAATAGCAGAATTCAAATTATGCGGACGCAGGCCTGTATACTATTAAACATTAACTTTTGTGTTTTCAATGACTAATCAATTGAAACTGATCTGACGCAGACAAAAAGAGGCATACGTACGCGCGTAAAGCGTTCTTCACGCCGGCGTGGCACCTTAAGTAATTGACGAGCGATCGACAAGCAGACCAGTACCTGTAAATCGGTTCCTGTAGGCCGTGATCACGAGCTTGAAGCCACTCCCTTGAGGACTCTCGTTGTCTGTGGTGTACTTGAGAGTCCCAAAGTTTCCTTGTATGGAGATTTCTCCCACATCAGCGGGGGAGCTTCCACAAGACAGATTTGCCTGCGACCACAATGGAATATTGATATGTGGGGTTCAACGTCTCAAAACCACCATATGATTATGAGAGACGCAAAACAGCAAAGGAAGCCACGCAATTAGGCTCGAGCGTACATTAGGCAAAGTTATGTCACCTCTTGTTTTCTTTTTTTTTCCCGCGCACAACGTTCGTGCTGTTATTGGCAGCATCATTGGGATGGAATAAAATGTAACCATTTAAATAAGGAAGTACAGTCGGAAACAGCTTGAGTCGGATACAACAGACGACCGAAGCGCGCCGAAGAAATAGTCCCGCTCGTGTGCACTCGGCGGCTATGGCTGTCTACTGTTACATTTGGCCAGGCAGTTCACCGTAGCAGACGCCATTGTGCATGAGCCTGTATGCAAAAATGTTTTCACCCCGATATCGGCGCCTGGTCGGAAGCACAAAGCACGACGCCGTCCTTCAGGAGGGCCAGTCAGTTCGCTGTAGTCGGGTTACAAGGAACTCGACGGAAGCATCGCAAACATTCCTTGGTTGAACGGGGTTGAACAGCGTGAGACAGCGACACTGTTGCAGTTCTCGTGCAGTCAACAGCTCAACTCAGCCATTGTCACCTACGCAGGGTCGTGACAAAGCACCAATGGTTTGGTAGCGCGGGATGGCGTATATCCGTAGCAGTTCTCAGGAATGGAGCACCTGAACTACAGTGTTCTAGAAGGTTTTTGATCATTCTACTTGAACGCAGATACGGGCCACTGCTGGCGTTCGTGTCAGCGACCATCTTCCACACAGAGGAGCTCAACTTTCCCTCTCCTCCTGACTCTACCTCCTCTCCCTGCGTACAATCTTCAAGGCGAGGGCGGGGTGCGTCATTATGTGGTGCGCTCATGCTACACATTAAATATTTTCATGATGAAACAAGCGCTCGTGAAAATTTCATTTCGAAGCGAACACACGCATGTACGTCATTCCCAACTTTTCCTGTCATCATCAACTTGTTTCATCATGAACCTTTACCAACACACCCAGCTGGCAGTCATCCTAAGTGGATATCTTCGCCCATGTCCCTCGTCGGCTGAGTGGTTAAACGTTTACACCCTTTCTGGTGGGTGAACAAGTAAGACTTCGAGTCTTCTGATTCGCGGAAGCAGTGGTCACTGCTTGGGACCTCCGTGTTATCAAACGACGGGCCATGAAAGCCGAAGACATTTGTACAAAAGAGCTGCACAGTTACCTTCTCATCGTCATGTAAACCCACGTTCTGCCTCTTAAGAACGCGTCTCCGTCCTGCGGAACATCGCCTATACGTGGATGACGGCGGATAGCGGGCTACCATGAAGATAGACGCCGTACCCCCCACCTTTACTACTGGTGGCAGCAGCGGAATGCCATCAGCCCCAAGTCTTTTACACCGACCTATGCCGCCACTCTGGGCAGGGTTGTGTACATCCGGCTTGGGGAAGAAATTGCACAAACTTCAGAAGTTATTTCGATGCATTCTGAATACACCGCAAAGCGTACTGCTACGCACGGTATGAATCTAAAATAAACTGCACTCGCAAACGGAATAATCTTATAGCTCAGTGCAAATGGTCACGTCGTTATCGCTCGTGAGTGTGAAAAGTTTGCTACGTTTCCTTGAAACGAGAGTCACGAAAGTGACCAACTAAGAGGGGAAATAACGACGACGTGTTGTCATGAGCTGGTTAGCGACACATTCGTTTATCGAGGAAAGTATTTCTTTGCGGATAATGCAACAGAAGGTGGAAAAAAAAAACCAACAAGCCCTGCAGAGCCTTCAAAATGCATTGTTAGCCAGAGCAGTATAAAAAGTCCTCAAAATTAAGCGAACAGCCTATATTTATCTGTTTTAATGCATTCATGATCAAAGTCCAGAGACAGTAACCTTATATTTATTTCAGAGTAGTTTATCTTTTCAGCGCCTGAAACTACGGCTTACAGAGGCATGTCTGCAGAGAAGGAACAACAAAAAGCTTGTCCAAATGGCTCGGAATATGTCTGTTCCACATATTCGTGCTGGCGAACATACCTGGCCGCTACAGTGTTTTTGCAGTGAAATAAATGGGTTTCACATGCAAGAATGAAACACTGACAATGAGTAGCAAACCTTTTTCTGCGCTTTTCTGTCGTAGTAAAAGATCACATCTTGCTTTTCTTGGGGCAACAAATAAAAAGAAAAGCATGTGATCAGTGTACAGCCAAGGCCCCGTTTGTGTAAAGACTTTTTTTTTTTACGGAGAGGAGAATTTCCTCCTTTCTGGGCTGTTGCATGGGAGTACAAAAGCTGACGTCAAAGCCGCGGCTGTGCATTTATGGGGGGTCCCGCATTTTACCGAGAGACCAGAGAGGCCTATGGCGATACCCAGGGAGCCTTCAGTGAAAAGGGCTATAGCGCGCGAGTAACCGGCCTTGCTCGGCGGCACGACACCTATCGGCCGTTGTTAGTTGTGACGTCGCGTGCACAGGAGCATGCGCGGATTTGACAACGTGCAGGCCTGCTCTGCGCGAGTGACAACATCGGAACGCGGGCTCGTTCAACCGAAGATCCTCGCTCGCTCAGGGCGGTTTCGTCATATCTGTTTTGTAAGACGAAGTGCTTTTTGACTCGTAACAAACGCCTACATTCACAGCTCGCTCTTTGCGGCCGTTTTGATTTCGTGGCTGTCTAGAATATATTTTTACGCACCTGTTGGCATTGTCGTACCTTCATATAATTGCATGCTTGAAAGCAGCCCCAAAGCATGCAGTCTTAATGCTGGCAAATGCACCTAAAAGAATATTATAAGGTCTGCCCACTGCCGCCGTGACGTCACTCGTTTTGCCCGAGTGAGCGCGGGTGGCTGTGATTATATCACCACCAACATCTCCCGTTAAAAGATATAGTGTTCACGGCGAGTTTTACAAGCTTAAAGGGAAACTGAAGGGATTTTAGAATTCAAACTTCGTGTTTCGGAAGGACGGCCATTATTGTTGACGATGTCATAATTGTTTACGCGGTTGTAGCAGCAGGAGGTTTAGAACAGGCGAAATAAAAGCTTGTCTTGCTCCGCCCGCACGAGCGCGCTGAAAGTGTAGGCATGGAAAAATACTCCATCTTCGTTTCCTCTGGCCCGGAGCAAGTGTTCCTTTTTATCTTCAACCACGCACGGCCTCCGTAACTAACCCATGACGCGCCGTTGCCGGAACTAATCGAAGAGGCCACACTTCAGCAGTGCTGCTGTTGCAGATTACGCGGCATACCGAGGATGACGTCACCGTGTTCGCTCGGCGTATTAAGAAGCCCGGCGACCACAGCCACAGCCACTGGCACACACTCTGCCAGGGTACGTCACAGCGTGACGTCACTGGTGCACGTGCAAGGCGGTGGTTGAAAAAACATTCCCGCCGGTGGCTGAATGGGGTGCAGTCGCTCGCTGCTTGAGGCATTTTTTTTTTCTTTTTGAAAGCTTCACCTTCATCTCACAGTGGCAACATTAGCTGTGGTATGTGTCAGAGAAAATCTAGGAGTGTGATAAAGTGCGCGATGAAATATTCGCCACGCTGGCTGGCTGTTTATCTCGGAGAAGTGCTGTGTTGTCTCGAGCTGACTATTCATCCTTCTCTTTCTTACTCTTCTTCTTTCTTACTCTTCTTCTTTTTATTTCTTTCTTTTCTATTATCCGTCCGTCCCCGTCCCCCAAGTGTAGGGTAGCTGACCAAGCCAAGCTTGGTTAACCTCCTTGCCTTTCTTCTCTATTTATCTCTCTCTCGGAGAAGTGAACACACGTGGCAGCCTGTGCGAGAAACAGCGGCATCGCCTTCGAAAATGTGCACTGTTGACTGCCGTGTAGTGTGCGTTGAAATGCATCGATAATATTAGTTCACCTTTACGGACGGTGAAACTGTGAATATTGTGCGTGGTGTGTGCAGTGTGAATAACACGATGCGTCCTGTTTGCGAGAACAATGGTATTCGTTGTGGGCCGGTTTCAGTAACCGGTTGTCGATGGCACTTTACGATCCGACATTGTAGTCAAGATAAAAATACATTCGACGCGATCATCTGCGAGTGGGTACATCTCAGCGTATGCGCGGCGTGCATAAAAATAAAAGTGCATGATCTCCTGGTGATATATACGACTACGCGTGAGCTATAAGCATGTTGTAGCGTTTCCGAATCTGCATATATGCTTCACCACGGCTATAACTCGCAATATCGGATACCTGATACGTGTTAATATTAACAGCGGAGATTTTCGTTGCTTATTTTTACGGCTCGATCCTTATTAAGTGACAATGCACATTAGAAGTGCGTATCAGGCCTAAAGCAGCAATATAGGTACGAAAACACGTTCTAGGTGTCAAATGCAGCAAGGTAACTGTGTCAGATAATAATATATATTATGTTGTCGTGTTTCACATCACATGAATTGTTACTGGGTTATTGAGAAACGCAGTGGCAGAATTTCATTTTAATTTTCACGAGGATATGTTAACCTCAGCCTAACGCACGACAAGAGGTGTTTCTTTTTTTTTCATCTCGGATCAGACTTTTGCCCAATTAGTGATCATCTTATCTGTGACGTTGTGCACAGCACCTTAAAACCATGCTGCTGCCTCGTTTAAAACTGCATTGCACATGCCACGATGGAAATTGAATAAGTTTACATCCATGCCATGCAAATATTTCTCAGAGTGCCAGTCACCTAGTACATTCAAAACGTTCGCTTTAAAAAAAGATCAGACTTCTTTATGGCTGCTATCTACGTGGTTGAAGCCCCCTGCATGCTAGTCGGGTCTCTCAGTACTCTAAAGTTTCTCCATCCATCAAACTACGACGAGCAAATTTCCACACTATGAGCAGTGACCCTTTCACGACCCCCTTCTTTCAAAAGCTGTGACTTTAGAATATAGCATCGTAGAAATTTCTCTCTCGAAGGAATGCAGACACACAGCTCTGCTATGCAGAAAGATGCCGCCGGCAGAACTTTCTTGCAAACCAGCACCTGCTCCGAGAGAGGGTATGGTGGACGGGGTGCCCGCAGGGACGTCGCACTGTTTACAAACAGGGAGAGGTCTATTCAGCAGGGACCAAACTGTCCTTACACGCTACGACGTCATTTTTTTAGAGAAGTCCTTCAGCTTCCCTTTAACAGCTTTATTCTGCCTTTTGGGTAAAAACAAACAAAAAGCGCTGGTTTAAGTAATATTTATTGCGCTTGAAAGCGTTTAGAGATTCACCGGTGAGCCATTTCTTCCGCGAAAAAGTCAGAGATTGTACGCTATTGCGGTCGCTTTGTATAAGAGCAAAATTTTATGGACCAACAAAGTGACTAAATAAATAATGTAAATTTTATTCATTATTTATTTACACACGCACACACACACACACACACACACACACACACACTATCTAGAGCATGCAGAGAAACTGTTCCTAACTCATTTTCAAAGTTTCTGCAGTTTTATTTGTACTCTTTCGAACATCTGTCTTCATAGACACGTAGTCATTGAGCAGAGTGCGTCCTGTTTCCATAGGTAAGTTATTCAGCACAATATCAGGGTGATGATCATTGCAAGAGAAACCAAAATCTTTCGTTTCACAAAAATCTTTTGTGACCGACACAAGAAGCAGCGTTTCCTCTTTTGCTCTGGCCCCTCTGGCAATGGTGCGTAGTCGGTCATATAACTTAAGGCCTGGGAAAAATATTAGTACTGCAGCATGTCTATATTAAACCGTGTAGCCCCCGTGGGTGCTTCTGTAGTGTTTGAACCATCGGATCTACCCTCCTCGGAATCCCTCTCTTACACACTCCCAACAAATCCTACGGAGACGTCTCCAGACTCGCACTCTTTCTTCCCCTCAGCTGCTGTCCCACTACTGTGGCACTTCCCCGGAATGTTCCCTCTGCGGCGAACGGCGCGCCACCCTATCCTACATCCTATTCGGCTGCCCTGCTGATCGTCCCCCGCAGATTGGATTGGATTGGATAAACTTTTATTTGTCCCCCGCAGAGACAACCTGCCATCTCGAACTGGGAGGACTGGGATGTTTTGCTCTCGTCTGGGGACCCGGCGTTGCAGCTTGCTGCGGTGACTAAGGCAGCCGATGTCATCACGGTGAGAGGCATGACCATGTAGACGTGGTGTGGGACCGCGCGGTGGTCCAGGGACCCCGGGAAGTCCCAACACACTCGCTAATAAAGTTTTTCTGGCTGCCGGTTCTTGGATGACTATATTCTAGGTAGTGGTTCTTAAACAATCTTGCTTGATGTAGAGCTCACACACCTGAAAACCAATTAAGAAAGCGCTTTACCGAAAGTGTCTACACGCATCTAAACTTTAAGGAAACCTATTAGACTAAGGTGCTGACGAGACTGGCGCAAAATTAAAGTACTGCAGTAAAGTGATAGGAACACCAGCAAGGAACTACTATGCACAAAATCGATGCACTAAGTAATGCAACAGCATTCCTTCCATTTTTCTCAACTAAGTGAACAGAGGTAATACAACAAGTCTGCGGCGCTAATCGCCAATAGCAAAACCTTTACCGACCCTGAAGGAAAAACGCCTGTCCTGAAAATGTACAGCCACGCACGTTTATTATTTTAATGCCAAGGCTTACGCCAACAAGTCGGAAATACACATGACACCTTTATTTTAGTGCAAAAACGGAACATGGGGGAGATGGGACTTTGAAATATGTAGTATATGGACACACGTACGTACCTTCGGGTCACGAAGAAAACGGATCTCGACGTCAGCTTGATGAACGACACGCTTCCATCTCGTTCTTCGGTGTCCCCAGGAAACGAGAACACTCGAACTTCGGTCCCTTTGCCGCGACAATTCGCCACGCAGGATCGCCCAACCGTTCGAATTAGCAGCCGAACAGATTGCGGATATCCAGTTCACAAAATACATCGCATATCCACGCCGCAGTTCACGGACACCGAAAAAGATGATATTCTCGAGTCGCCAACAAGCGCACCAGCACGCCACGAAAGCATTCGTCGGCCTTAACAATCCATGTCTGTCGAGCGACGAGCGCACGTCTATACGTACAGCGAAGCACACCGGTCGTAACGGAGTGACGTCAGAGCCCGTCGCAGACACAGTCTAGGTGGCATTGTGCAGGCGTGTTTCATCAGTAGAAACGCGCTCCGTCCTATAAAATAGATGTGACAAAGCGCCCTGAGGAAGAGTGGATCTTCGGCTAAACAAGCCGCTTCTGTGCACGCGACGTCACAACGCGCAACGGCCGCAAAGTGTCCCACCGCAGAGCAAGGCCGGCTACTCGATCGCGCGCTATAAATAGACGTGGCCGCGGCTGTACTTAAACCATGCCTCTGTAACAAGCTATCCGAAGTAAGGATGACGTAACGGAAAATCACTGAGCAAAAAGTTAATATTGTGTCGCTCACTTCTTCAGCCACACAGCCCCGCCGCGGTGGTCTATAGCTAAGGTACTTGGCTGCTGACCCGCAGGTCGCGGGATCGAATCCCGGCTTGAGTGGTTGCATTTCCGATGGAGGCCGAAGTGTTGTAAGCCCGTGTGCTCAGATTTGAGCGCACGTTAAAGAACCTCAGGTGGTAGAAATTTCCGGAGCCCTCCACTACGGCGTCTCTCATAATCATATCGGGGTTTTCGGACGTTAAAGCTCACAAATCAATCTATCAATTCTTTAGCCACAAGCGCCAACATACGCCGGTGTTGAGCGTCGGCACAACGTGAAGTTTCACGGCACCGGCGTCGTGGAATTTTAGACAAGCCAGCACCTTCATATATACGCGGCTTCCCTTTTCTTTCTTCTTTTCTTTTTTGTAACGTCGTATATATGTGCGCATTTCCCCCTTTTTTGCGCAGAACATATTTGCAGTTTGTCATATAAAACATTGCACCTTTGCGCAAAAGACAAACCACACTGTTTGGAGGGGCTGTTTAATTAGGATTCTTAAAAGAAAGACGACCACCTTATTTTTAGCTCTAGCTTTGCAACCATTGACGTTCATCTATCTCTTATATTGACTCTGTTTAGTGCTCTGTTGCACGCGTTGTACTGACTTTATGGCAAGTTACACCTGACGCTGCGAAGCTTTCACAAGCACCGATTTAGGGTGGCCATAACTAATCCAACAATGGTAGTGTGTGTAGGATTCTGAAGCCTAATTATGTCTGAAATAACTTTAACTCCCTAAAAAGAAGACATTAACAATGTCTACATGAAAGAATATATATATATATTAAAGCTTTTCGTTAGACTTAAGTTGAAATTAAACTCCCATAATGGAATGATTAAAGCACATTTAGTGTTCATAATATCTGAGTTATCGCTTAAAGTCTCGTTTAAGCAACCACGGGAAGCAGCGAAGTGTTCTGTTTTACCACCTTGCTAAGTCCTGTAGCATGAGCACCATCGAAAATGGCTATATGGTCATGGCAGTCCAAGGACAACGTTTCAAAGCGAAGCACGAAGCGCTTTAAGATGGAGTCAGTCTGGAAGGTGATGGCGCAGTCGAGGTTGCTCTCGCCTTCAGATGTCAGCACGGCACCATCAATCGTCCTGTACAAGGGGTACTGTCGTTCTCCCGTGCACAACGATGAGATGTCAACTGTGAACAGCAAAACAAAAACAAACAAACAAAAAACAGCTTGCAGTTGAAATTTTTGCGTATATGCATCCAGAAATTTTTACATTTGGAGAACAATGTGGCGGAATATGTATATAATTAAGCCACTCATAATCATTTATAGATCTTATATAAGTCAGCTCACGTAATCATAAAGCAATCCTATGCAGTTCTTCACGTCCTCCACCCCCCGCCCCACACACAGACAGACTTCATGCAGGCGTACTGAACGGAGAGTCCAATTTCACTCTAACATTTTCAATAATTAAATGAATGAATGTTCTCTATTACACACACATAGGGAGCCCCGCCACGGTGGTCTAGTGGCTAAGGTACTCGGCTGCTGACCCGCAGGTCGCGGGATCAAATCGCGGCTGCGGCGGCTGCATTTCCGATGGAGGCGGAAATGTTGTAGGCCCATGTTCTCAGATTTGGGTGCACGTTAAAGAACACCAGGTGGTCGAAATCTCCGGAGCCCTCCAATATACGGCGTCTCTCATAATCATATGGTGCTTTGGGGACGTTAAACTCCACAAATCAATCAATCAGTGCACACATATGGAAAATATGAACAAACTGTATGGTTCGATAGCCAAAGGCTGGCGTGAGTCTCACGGTACACATAACAGCAACTGTAATAGTTCTACAAAAAGCAAGCAGAAGTAAAAAAAAGGAAATTTGGTATCATCATGGAATAAATATTGTTTAGCTACTAACAACTGTCAATTTAATTCGGTTAAACAAAGACAAAAAAGGAAAGTACATGACTTGTAGTAATCACGAAAGCTTGGTTCATATAGTGGTGCACAGATCTGCAGAATGAAACTGAGACGCAAATATCAATAAAAGTTCCCTTGTGTAGTTTAATAAAGAGAATAAAGATATTGCAACACTTTCAACCGATTATAAAATTTAGACCATTAAAGAGCTACACTGCCTACCGAAAAGTTGCCATGAGGCCTGTTTAAGGTCTGTTTGCATCCTTAAAAAAGATATTTTTTTGTTGTTGCTGCTGTTACTATTGTTTTTGTCTACATTTTTGAGAGGCCTGTTTATTCAACACTCTCCAGGAAAAATAAATATTGTTTTACAGGACCATAACAAACAAACGCTATGTTAATAGCGTACAAACTGATTTAAACACAATTCAATCAAGGTTGCTGTTCCAAACGGTGTCTTTGAACGATGCTAAGTGTCAACTTACATATTTCACGCACAGACGTTTCCTTGGGAGATCAGCCTATAACCTGGACAGTATGTGCAATGTTAAAAATAAATGGGCCCCTGTTTTCAGAAAATCTTGCCTGGAAAAGGCAACTTGAGTATGTCACCCTAAAATTATTTCAACTGCTCAACCTCATAAGACGCAATTTTTACAAAACCCGCGAAAGCGTTAAGGAACAAGTTTAGAATGCCACTTTCCCCCCAATACTTGAATACGCTTGCGCAGCACGGGACCTTTTGCCTCATGAATAAACTCGAGCGTATCTAGAACCACGCAGCCAAGGTTATCTTTGACAAGTACAACTTTAAAAACAGCATTTCATTAAAGACGACATCGGCTAACATACCTCCGCTCAAAGCCGCTTAACAACAAAATTTGAAATCTTCTTGGAATTTTCTTTGATCTCATGAGAATTATTAAAAACTTGCACATCCCGCCCCCCCTCACTTCATCTCTATGGGTTGTGATCATGTGTGTAAGGTACTTGAAATGCTCTGTCGTGTGAACATTTTTTTTTCTTACCTTCATAAACTGGAAGCAGGCTTCGTAAGGAAGCCTTCTCCCATTCTGAAACAGTATCAGAGTTCCAATTGTTTTTACATTATAGCCTTCCGTGAGATATAAGCTACATCTTACTATTTTAATGTTTTCTTTCTTTTTTTACATGATGCCTGATTTCAAGTTGTTTCTTTTTCGTTTTTGTGTTGCCACTTTTCCATGCTGTATGTATCCTATGCCCTGAAATCAGTTCATGTTTTCATCTTTGTATGTCTGTGCAAGCATATTGTGTCCTACGAATATTTATTTTCGCACTACCCCCCTCCTGCAATAATACATTTGTGCCCCTGCGGGTGCTTGTATAAATAAATGAATCAATTAATATTTCAACCCCTTGAAGAATTAGCGATATGTTTGCAATCTCCCACTCCTACTTCCGCACGGCACATACTCAGAATCGGAACTGAAAGCTTCCAATTCATTATTGCATATCAACACATCAGAAACATGGCGACATAATGATATACTATCATGACTCATTGTTGTTCTATGTTACAAAATCTTGGAGCAGCATTTTCTAGCACCTGATGTTCTTGAATTCAATGAAGTATTTGATTTTAATAGAAGGCTGGACTACACCGTAGCCCTTTTTATAAGGCTACGGTGTAGTTCGGAGTTATGCTAATGTTATGCACATTTAGGCCACCAAATTGTTTATTGAGTTTTAGATTGCCGTGAACTTAGTTCACAGACGGATAGACCGATATTTCGAAGCAGTCAGTCGTCAAACTTAGCTACCACACGCCTAAAGTTCGCGTGTTAAACCATTACAAGATGGCGACACCCAGATAAAACTGCAACGCTAAACAGGCAACAAAAAAGTTATTCCGCTCACTTAAAAGAGGAACACGCGGCTTCCAAGAATATTATTAATAACAGTTGATTGAGCACCCCCGAAAACCACCATATGATCATAAAAGACGTTTTAGGGGAGGGCTCCGGAAATTTCGACCGCCTGGGGTTCTTTAACGTGCACCTATGGGCCTCGAGCATTTATCGAGAATGAGGCCGCCGCGATTCGACCCCGCAACTTGTGGGCCAGCAGCCGAGCACTGGCGGGTATAGCTTCCAAGAAAGGCCGTACCATTCATTGTGATCACTTTTATACATATTCAATGCGTTTTATTACTTGGAGATTCGCTTTGATGAGTCCTGGATCTGTTTTCTAAGTAACCATCGAATGACCCGAGTGTCCAAGTTTACTGCCTCACGAATCGATTGCCGCGAAAAGTTTTCGAATCGGTAGAAAACGAGCGCGCTAGAAAGACAGGGAGGGATGGCACGGGCGGAAATTGCAAGGCGCGCGTCATGACCTTGAGCGTGCGCGATGAAACGCGCTCTCTGTGCGCGCTGGTTAGCAGACTAAGGAGGGCTCGCCGGATCCCCGAGGAATGTTGACCAAACGTTCCTCCCGATCGAATTGGCCAATAGCCCCGCCACGGGGGTCTAGTGGCTAAGGTACTCGGCTGCTGACCCGCAGGTCGCGGGATCGAATCCCGGCTGCGGCGGCTGCATTTCCGATGGAGGCGGAAATGTTGTAGGCCCGTCTGCTCAGATTTGGGTGCACGTTAAAGAACCCCAGGTGGTCGAAATTTCTGGAGCCCTCTACTACGGCGTCTCTCATAATCGAATGGTGGTTTTGGGACGTTAAGCCCCACATATCAATCATCAATCAATCAATCAGATCAGTTTAGTCTGTACTTTTGCTCTATACAAAAAAGGTAAATCTTTGAGAAATTTGGCAAGCTAGAAAAGGCGCAAACCTGAAAGACCCCCTTAAGTTTCTCGTCAGCTAGTCATAACATCGTAAATTAAGCAGCACTCTACTTGGGTCAAAGAAATATTGCTTCAAAAAACATCGCCTGCAATATTTGTTCCTTTTAAAAATGAGGCAACAATTGAACTTAGTAAGCTGGAAGGACTAAATTGAACCAGTAGTGACATAAACGTCATAGCCAATGTAAAATACGTCACAATGACGTCACAGCGAAGTAAAAGGGCTGGAGTTCAAGTGCGACAAAAATAAAACCAGCTTTTGTATCCCTTTTGTTAATATTTACAGAGAAATGACTTAAAACGATGTTTCCAGAATATTTAGCACTAAAGTAACTAAAGCTTTTTCTAGGGTGTCTATCTCAATCATTGGCAATGAGTAATCCAAAAATTTTCAAAAAAGAAAACGTTCATCAAATTGAATCAAGGCAAAGCAGAAGAAACTGTGAAAGTATGGCACGTGTGCTATTTTTTTTTGCGAAGCTTGTTTCCGAGACTAATGAGAACAAGCTCAATTCTAGATAATTACAAGTGGGAGGACTTCAGAACTTTATGCAGGAATCCATGGGTACACCTAGGTCGTAGGAATAAAACATTATGCTCGGAGACCCAAACAATATCCGGTAGAAAGTGTTCTGACTTCTTTTTCACACTCTTTTTTTTTAGGAGGGTGGGTGCGTTCTGTTGCAATGGTACTTTACGAAAAAACAAATTACACTGACACTCATGCCCACGCAAAGAGCATGCACATTCGTAAAACTTGGCCTGTCTATATAGCTTAAAACATATGCAGGTAACACTGGCAGGTTTTATTGCAACAAGCCGAAACTCATTGCGAGAGAAACTGAGAACGCATATTTCTAACACATGCTGACATCATAAATAAAATAAAGGTGGGGTACGACGTCTGCTTGAGTAAAGAAAAGATGAGCGATATATATATATATATATATATATATATATATATATATATATATATATATATATATATATATATATATATATATATATATATCACGGCTGGTTATTTTTTCATCCACTTTCCTTTCTTCTTATTTACATTCCATTGGTTCTAATAACTTCCCCTGTACATTCCTTGGCATTACTGTCTGTTAGATCTCATTAATATTGTGTTAAAACACGGAAATACGAGCCCTTAGGTATACACTTATTTCCCTTATATATATATATATATATATATATATATATATATATATATATATATATATATATATATATATATATATATATATATATATATATATATATATATATATATATATAAATAAATAAATAAATAAATATATATATATATATATATATATATATATATATATATAATGAAATCTAACAGACAGTAATGCCAAGGAATGTACAGGGGAAGTTATTAGACCGAATCGTAATGTAATCGTGAAGAAAGAAAAGT